TAAATAAAATGGGGGGATGTAACCGAAGCTGCGGGACGTCACTCGTCCAAGCAAAAACACTACGCTGAACACGCTTATGGTGGTGTGGTTTTAGACTACTTGTCGTTTCTAGTCTCGCATTGAGCTCGCTCGGTGGTCAGCTTATAAAACGATAATCCTAAGCTGGCAAGCGTGGTGGATGCAGAGAAAGGGATTCTTTTCAAAATAAAGTGACAAGCTGCAGTTGCATAGCTTCAGTTGACCATGCCCTGGTCGCTTCTTTTTATTATTTATAGTTTGGGAGCAAGTTCCAAAAGAAAAGGCTTTCAAATATGTGGTTGCCCGATCCTTTTTCCGTTTTAGGCAGTTCAATTTAGGCTGCATAATCTGGGCACATGATGTCGCGGTCACGTCCTGTGATAAGAATCGCGTAAACGATATAAAACGAGCACAAAGAAAAAGTTTTATCGCTCAGGTTTTCCGCTTTTTTGTACTTGAATGGAAGTAATAACAAGCTTTCAATTGTGCAAGAAGAAAAAGAGTTTGTAATCAAAAGCTTTACTCTTCACTAAATGATTTTTCCCGGACAATGTTTTAAAGATGGTTTTCCAGGGTCCAGGGTTTCCAATCGAGGGCCGGTCTTTTCTCTTGACTGTCTTTGTCTTTCTATCTAGCACACAATGGAAAGCCCTCATGTCAAATAAGTCGACCACAGTTCGTTCGCCTTCCCTAGTGGTTGTGCAGTTCGACGGAAAGTTTGAGATCTGGCATGTTGGTGGTCATTGATGGTATTGAGGCGAGCAGTCGAGCGGGGGATCGGCGGCCACAGTAATTCATAAGGTTGTTTCAATCTGATTGGCATGGTAGGTCGCGTAGCTGCAGTAGATTGAGTAGCACCATTAAGAACCATGAGAATCACCCACGTTATACAAGGAAACAAGCTAACTTGTACTTTTTCTATTTTGCTGTAGGATGCCTCCAGGGTTCCAGGGTTTCAATCAAAAACCGATCTTTTTCTTTTGGCTGTACTTGTCTTTCTATCTAGCACAATGGAAAGCCCTCATGTCAAATAAGTCGACCACAGTTCGTTCGCCTTCCCTAGTGGTTGTGCAGTTCGACGGAAAGTTTGAGATCTGGCATGTTGGTGGTCATTGATGATATTGAGACGGGCAGTCGAGAGAGAAATCGGCGGCCACAGTAGTTCTCAAAGCAAGTGACTTCATTCCGATTGGCATGGTAGGTCTTTTAGCTAAATAAAGGGGCAGCAAACATAGGAACATGGAGAACCCAGTTCATACAGTAGACAACTAAACTTGACATGTTTTTATCTTGTGTAGGATGCCGCCAGGGTCCGCGGTCTGACTGAATCGAAAGGCGCTCTGTCCTTGCATGTGACTTGTTTGGATCCATTGCAGACCCTCCTCTCGTGTTCACTTGCAGACGGTCTTTGCACGTTCCCTCTGCATGGGAAAGCTAACGCGGTCATTCTCTTGCTAATCCCTGGTGCTTCGTGGAGACCGGTGCTTGCCTCTTTTCACAAAGAGCCAATGTCACACTCTCAGATCGTTGCATTTATATTCAGCAGTGAATGGCGAGGTTAACTCAAAATCCGGGGCTTGGAAGGCGGCTGCTCAGATCGTGGCTTCACATCTCCTTTGGCTAACCGGAAGATTGGCCAGCACTCTGCTCGTCATGAGAGAGGTCCGTGGTTCTCTTAAGGCGTGTGCTACGCAACCTCTACTGCCAGTACAGAAATTCAGTAGCGGGTTGTGAGTGGGTTCATCTTGTCATGCAATGTACAAAAGCTAAAATCGCTTATCCATGGACTATGGCTGACTGTGCTGGACATAGTACATGGATGGCGGCTCTTCTGGATCCAGTGGAAGGCCACGGCGGGCTATAGCATGGCTACTGGGGAGAGAGTGGAGAGCAAGCAGCATTACGTCCTCGTCGTGCTCTCTGGGAACGTCGATTTGCGACGGCTGAATATGCTGCATAATTCTTTTTATTAGTAATAGTAGCTGTCAAAAAAATAAAGTTTTCTACTTTAATCACATAACCTAGACCGACATGTTCCCATTTTCCTGACAATCTTTGTTGCCGTGATCTCTATTAGGAGCACGATTCGCGCCCTAGACACTTGTGGACGAACTTTTACTCTAGTTCAGCATGTTACGGGATATCACGTCCTACAACCCTACCGAAGAAAATGTCGAGGTAGTATAGAAAAACCATTGCATCTCCGAGCTCTTTGATTGAAACTACAAAGAGGGCAATGAGCCTCACAATGCATAGTAGTGCTGATAACAACGCTTGCGCGTGCTCTCAGTGTTTCTAATCGTAGGCTCTCATAGTCAAGTAATGTGGCACACCTGCAACGGGATATACACTGACAAGTCTGACATGCAGATGCGTACACTTACTACTGCTTGTAAAGGAGACATTAGCTAATCATGTTAGGGCTGGCATCTCACTTGTTGGCCTAGTACGACCGCAATTTAAACCTACAAGATAGATACATGGCTGCCAGCTTATTCTTCCTTGACCTTTTCGCATGCTCTTGTGTGTACCTTTTCTCCGGTACCGCGTCTTTTATTAAATTCAAGAGAGTATTATTTTTATCGCTTGCTTATAAAGAGCCAAAATCATTTTCTTTCGGTAACATACATCATCAATCATCTGCTCTTTCTACAAATCACTATCAGTAACACTAGCAGTAAGTGTACTTGCTCTTAAGGAAATTACTTATGAAAAAGAATTATGTACTGTACGTTGGAAAGTGATATGGCTACTAGAATGATTTGCTATCCAAAGCAATTCATTGCAGTGGAAGTGTAACAATAAACGCGGAACATAATAGTTAGGTGCTTTTATTATGGCGCAGCTGTTTGCATTTAAGGGGAAAATTGCTGTATCCACTAGTATGCCGGACTAGCATTTTAAATTTGGTAGTATGTAGATTATGCGAACACAAGCCATGCTGGGTAGCATGCAACAGCTTTAGAATGTATTATCTTTCCTTCGTGTTGAAAAATATCAATCAAAACAATACAAAAGCAAAAGGCAAAAATCATAACAATAAAATTTTAACATGTTTAATACCATCAAACTCATTGGATGACCTTGTATACATTCATGCCAATATGATATTTTACTGCTATGTACATGCATGTTGTCTTCATGCGGTGTGTTTCAGGCACCGCACTTGGATGCGTTTGACTTCGTAACTGGTCCGCAACATGTCTGTTCACTCTGGCTGTGAGTACCCATTGTGCGTTGAACCGTTGATAAGATGCTGCTCTTTGGTACCCGATAGCTTGACCAAACCCAACTGTTTCTACTAGGAAAATCATTCTTTAAAGGACAACAAATTATTTCTTTCAACTGTGAGCAAGAACACCTACATCATTGTTCTTGAGCATCTTTTTGAAGGCGTGCGCGAAGCGAAGAGACATTCCCATACCGAACAATATAAATCACTGTTAATTCGTCTTCCTATGCAATCGATCTAGTATCAAAAATACCACAAGAAAGATGGACAGATCTACACTTCCATTTTTTTGTACTGTACCGCAAGCTTCGCGTTGACATAATTAATGTCGGCAATTTTCCATCTGTTCACGAATGTTGTTCGAGAAATTAATATTTAATCAAGAAGACTGTGAAGGTTTGCGTGCTCGCACGTTATGACGCAGCATAGGTATGTATGTAAACGAGCATATTTTCCTCGGCCAAATAGCAGGCACAATTTAATAAGTGTCGGGAAGATATCACTGCTTTCAAGGTGAATGTTTTTACTGACTGGAGGTTACTTGCTTGTCTGTAAGCGGGAAAAAATAAGAATTAAATGTAAAATATGGAGGGCATGCTAATAATGCTATATAGTGGTCATACTAAATACTTATCTTGGATCCTACACCCATGCAACAGGAACCATTCAAATATGAAGCCCGAACAGAAAGTGATCAAAGGCTCAGAAGACATTGCTGTCCAGCGGTATCATAGTTGGTATAAGATGCTGAGTGTAAGAGCGCTATTTAAGACCTAGTCATTGCAGCAATATAAGTCTAAAGTAATATCTTTGTTGGTAATGATATCGTAATTAAGATACAAATGTAACAGAAGCTTGCTAAGTACATCTATTTAGCAAGTGAACGCGTGAAAGGTATAATTTATATGCTATGATAGCACTAGCAGCACCGAACATCTCAAGCGCTCGCAATCAATGACATTATAGCAGTTCAAATACCAATTTTAACCCGCCTACGACTCTATTTAATTGTACAACCTCCATGCTCAAGTCTTGGTTATCGATATGAACCATTACTTCACCAAGACTCTCGCACTATATAGTCTGGCACATAACAACCACTGATATACGATAAAGGCGTGGAATGTTACACGGTGCTTTTGTGTTTTATATTTATTTAATCTATTTTAAATCAAAGGCTCTTCGATATGATAAATGAGCAAAAAAAGGTGGTAGTATCGCGATCCCGCCAGTGCCGGAGGCGGTTGAATGTAGTGGCACTGCAGTGGTTGAGTGAGGGCGGGGGAGGGGTTTTCTAAATAGGTTTTGGGGGAGGTTTTTTTGCTAATGTCGTAAGGGACAATTGATGCTTATTACAAGTAAGTTTATGGGCTTCGACTTTACGCTTCGTTCCATTCCCCGTCTGACGTTTTTTGGTAAAATTGTCGCGCGGATAAGTATATAGAAAGCGAGGGAGAGAGAGGCAAGAGATAAACCAAAGTGCAGTAAGGATAACCGTAGGACCGACGGAGACGAGCCAGTGCAGAAATGTTACTGCAGAGTGTGGCGCTGCTAAGTCAAGTTGAAATTAGTCTATGGCTCAATACAACATAGCGATGACTTTTATGTGGGTATTTACGAATGACTCACATATTTGGGGTGGACCGACTGCTGTTTCTTTAACCTTTCAATTCAGGCTCAAAACAAATTTACTGGCATTAGCAAACATATAATAACCATGACGATTGTACAAAAGGAAGAACGTTGCTGACTATAGATACCTTTTCAGAATACAGCATGTCATCTTGATAGCCCAGAGGGTGGCCTTGGCTAGCAGCAGCGTTGTTCGGACCGTGAGCTTGGTAATGAGGAACACGGTCCTTATCAACGATGCTGCCGCCTGCACAACCGAGACCGCCGTCTCCACAACCGAGACCGCCGCGCTAATGACCAATGCTATATCATCAGCAGTGAGCTCAAAAGCGTCTCGGTTGTGGTTGTCGTCCTTGGTGGTGGCGATGGAGGAAGAGGAGGCAGAGGAGGCAGAGGAAGAGGAGGCGGAGGGGGAGGGAAGAAAACTGGCGAACCAGCGGAACGCAGATTGCAGTGCCGAGGCAGCTGCAGGCAAAATTGATTTAAAAGATGCATTTCTGTTGTGTGTGTGTGTGCGTGTGTGTGTAAAACGAGAAATAGTAGTGTTTGAAGAGTAACGAGATATCCAGGATCGAACGAAGCTTGGTATTTATAATGCTAGAACAAACCCTTATTCAATCCATCCATCCGCAACAGCTGATCAATCACCTTTTGCACACTCAACTTATCATTCTTGATTCATCATTACTACTTCTACTTCATCCGAGGGTTTTTCTGACACTTAACCTTGTTCTTGTCCGGTCTTCCTTGTCATTACTCCTGTGAATTTCTTGTGGCAGAGCATCGGGAAGATAGATCAACAATGGAGGATCTGCTTTCAGAAATAGTAGGAACCCCATAGAGAAAAGTAGAGAGATTAATTGGCAGGTCGGAAGCCATGTGTCGCTTCACTGAGGGTTTCTTTTCCTCTTTATAAACATAAATTACGATTAAAACATCTGCATCGGCACTACTTTTCGAACCCGCTCCCTTACAACCACAAGATATCATATATCAGCATTTAGCAACATCATAATCACATGTTGTTTTCGAAAAAAAAGAGCAGCAATGAGAGGAGCTCCTTCTCAAGATATGCCGTTTGATCCTTGACGCATCATAGTTCCTTGTCCTCTAATATGCTGATTAATGGCCGTCCAACTTTTGCACTGGTTGTCTCCTAGTTTCTTTCACGATACTTTCGTCCATGTATACCCTTTCTCTATGTCCTGACATCCTTCCCAGCTCTTTCCAAGCAGCAAGAACACTGCCACGGCAAAAGAGAAAGCACAATAAAAACAAACAGCTACAGATCCATGGATCTAATAACATATGATAGACACTGATAATAAAATCAATGGTTCATGCTTTCCTAGACGTGGGCTTTTTCACACGACCACAAGCCATTTCTCTTGTCCAGGGATACTAGTACTACACATACAGTAATACTTTGATACCAACTCCATGCGCGTATTATTCTGATATAATTAAAAACCGTTGCGACATTATGATCGAATAACTTGTATTTCACGATACCCTTACATTGTTCATATGCCCGGGCGTGCTGCATTATTGTCGTTTTAATTTATGACAAACACAATCAACAGTGGCAACGAGTTATCGTGATCAGGAACAGAATTCTTACGGGACATACTGCAGCCATGCCCAGTAACACGTTCTGTGTGTACATTGTAGATGAGCACGCTTATTCATGAAGTTGTCTAAATGCCAATTTATCTAGGTAACGCCGTCTGGCTTGGACCCTGTTTCTTCAATTCCCCAGATCGTCTGCTAGTTTTATACAGTGGCCGCTCGTTATAGTGATATGCCCGGTGAGACCCAAACCCCATCACTATATCGAATTATCACTTTATCGAATTGTAGTTCCGTCAAAGATATCTGGTACATAGATTACCGGGAGTATTTGGCGAGCTCTATAAAAGAAGCTCTAGAATCACATCCTGTCAAAATTGATAGTATGCAACTCCTTAAAAATTGTAGTGTAGGAGAAGAAGCTGAAAGGCTTCTATCTGATGAGCTTGGTGCTGGGATTTTGGATACTCATGAGGAAACATGTGGCGTTGATGGTATGATTTGATACCACATGAAGATTTAGAGGATATCCATGCACCAACTTCTTTCAACGACCTCATTAACGATGCTATTATTGATAGAGATTAAGGTACGTTCATAAACGGCTGATGTAACTGCATATGTAAAAGTCACAGGCTTGTTTCTGATACAGACAGGTAGATGTTGATGAAGAAGAGAATAACTAGAGAAGACGAGATGAGGAGAAGGAAGCATTGAAGCCACTGCATAGTAAAGGAGAGAGGAAGCAGTATATGAGCGATTTTTTGAAAACAATGGTGGTTGAAGACGACCTGCACGCTCAGTTATATAGGCTTATTAGAAAAAAGATGCGTAGACTAGACTCTGAGATATTAACCAGTGCAAAGCAAACTGATCTTTTTTCCTTTTCTGATAAATAAAATTATACTATTGGTCTGCTCGATATAATGATATTTCTGATGGTTGATATCACATATCACAATAGCGAATTAGTAATAATTCCCTGCTTAATTTGAGTTGGACCCGAAAAACCCATCACTATATCGAAATATCACTATATCGAATATCACTATAACGAGCGGCCACTGTACATAGTAATCAAATAAACAAGTGCTTCATCTTACGCAGCACCCAGTATTCGCTCCGAGTTTCGCAATCGCTTTTGTTTACCTTGCTTACACGAGGTCCGGTTCCCGGTATTGCTGCTGCTATTCTGCAATGCCAGTCACTCAATTTTTACAGCAGGTTGTTTGTACGTTTGCTAAAGCTTCTGTACCGGATGATATCATGTGAATTTAGTGTATTTATACTCGGAGCATTGTGACAAACACGCTTGATTTTGATGCTTTACTACGTTCTCAAAGTGCTGCTTACAAAATATAGGACGGACCATCATCGCTCATCATGAAATAAATTGGCTTTCCTGACAGTGACAACATGTTGGCGATATTAGTTCTGTAAAAGCAGTGATTAATGTTGTGCAAAAGGTGATACATAGTGCATACCAAGATATATGAGAAAAAAATCATTAGCCGGTGTGAAAACGCTGCCATACATATGATAATGGGGAAATAAATTCTTGTTCTTACCTTTCGTGTACTTCGGTATCATGGTAGTTTACATTCAATTTGTTGGAACGACGGAATAGTATTGGAAGAAAGAGGATAAAAGGCAAAATGCTTCTTTGACCAAGAGAAACTCTTAAAAGTACATCGTAGAAAGGAAGTAGGTATTAGGAAGGGCTTGTCAGGAAGTGTAAGATAAATGCTTGTGGATACACGAACAAACGCGTAAGAAGAGTAAAAACGCGTCTCCGGGCAATACATTTTAAAATCCTAGCGACGCATTGCGGTTTTTTCTTCCTCCTTGTATTTGAAACCACACACGTATAAGGAGGGCTCCTCAAATCCTGTCAAACTATCTATTATATTCCTAAGAACCATTTTCAATCTGTTGTGATGGCGTCTTATGGAGGGGCTGGATCGGCCCTTGCCAATGAACTGCCTGATACCGTTGATGGTTTACTGTGGCGAATGCGAGGTGAACTGACTTGTCCGATCTGGTATGTTATAGTGTTTCTTTTTCATTACTGCTACAAACTTTAGCAATTCAGCCAAGGAAAGAAAAGAAGACTTATGACTATCATTATTACCATTATAGTCTTCAAATGTTTAAGCGAAGCAACAAGCACGCCATGTGGTCATACGTTTTGTCAGGATTGCATACACCAAGCACTGCGATCGGGCATGACAGGCTGTCCTGTGTGTAAGCAGCTGGTGCATCGCCGACGGTTGTACGATGCCAGCTCAGTGGATCTGATTGTCCATGAATTTTTGCAGCTGCGCGCCGCGTATGAGCAAGAAAGCGGGCACGGTAAGACTGTTATTATAAGGAGTAAAGCAAGTGTGTCTATGCTTAAGGTTGTATGCCTTTAGATTTATCGCAACAGTTACCTGCTCATGATTGGCGCGCGGATCCGATATCTGACCTCTCGCAGCAATTCCCATATCCAACCAAGGAACAAACCAAGGTAAGAAAGCACACTAGCAGTGAGGGAAGAGAATAAACTCTATGGGCTGCCAAATGGATCAACGGACTCAACCTTTCATCAGGATACCAAAGAAGAGCAGCAGCAGAAGCTGTGGAAGCAAATGAAGAAGATGGACCAATCCCACAAACAATGAATACAGATGCAACTGATGTCACTTCACTTGAAATACGTCAAGGTAAAGGTTGCACAAAAATGATCATTCGGTTCGCTCATCAATGCAATTACTAACATTTTAATGAAAAACTGTGTAGGTGGTGAACGGGACCAGCAACAACAAGAGCACTCGTCATGTGAACACATCATCGCATGCACAGGCATCCACGACAACAATGTGGGATATTTCTTGGTATATATGGCTTCTATTTATGTGAGCTTCTTGTTTTTTACAATGTCAGTAATTTTTATTTTTTACAATGTCAACCATTCCCGGCACCTGCCTTTTCTTTTTCTCTGGGATCTTGTTTCTGAAACCCTGTAAACCGTGTCTGTGCGCCTTGTGGCCTGACGGGTGCACGTATCTTTATATTCAAAAACAGGCGGCGACACCGTCGGGGGGCACGCCCTGCATGATACCGGTGAAACATACTTCGTAGGACAATCAATACACGCAGACCACATACGCCTTCGTCTTGACCGCTTGACCATGTCTCTTCTGCACATGTTTTTTTCTTCGCTACCATTTTGCTTTCTCATATGTTTTTAGAATGACGAATCACAAGCCACAGGACGTGTTTTAAGCCCGGGGGTTGAATCCAAAAAACATAAATACCCCCACAATTTGCAGGCCATCCCCTTTTTTCTCTTCCTTCACACCCATGGATCCTCCTGGTTTTTTCCCTTGGCTCTTCCCACCTGGTCTTGCCTCTGTCGGTCCTGGTCTCGGCCTTTTCCCGTGGTCCCTGGCTGCCTACAACCAGTCCCTGCTTTGGGCTGTCTAGTCTGGCGTTCAAAGGTATTGGTCACAACCGGTCTTCGGGCGATCAGAGGACGGAGAAATCCTTTTCAGATTTTCGCCATAGAAATATGGTAGCGTCCTTTCGCTTGGATGCCTTGTCTGCTAGTCTGGTCTGGTCTGCCATGGTGGGGTTCGCAATGAGGAGCCAGGTGCCACTGTAGATCGCGTTCGACTCTCAGGACTCGTCTCTCTGGCATTCGGCCCTCTGACATTCGGCCCTCTGGCGATCGTCTCTCGGCAATCGACGCTCGGTAATCAACTCTCTGGCAGTCGACTCTCGGCAAACGACGCTCGGCAATCAGCTCCCAGCTTCAGCGTTCGGCTCCCAGCATCCGAGTATCCAGTAAACAGCTCCTCCAGCATTCGACAACAGCAGCAAATGGCCGTCCTTTTGGGTGTTTCAAGAGTCAATTCCTTCCCCTGCCCCTACCCATTTCCTTTCCTCTTCTCTTCCTTCCTCCCGTCCTTCCCCTTCCACTTTCTCCACTCACAAGCAATCTTCAACCGATTGCTTGCACTTGACTCTCGAGACTATGTGTACGCTATGGCTCCCGCTCGTTTGTACCAATGATGGCTTGGGTTTGTGGTTGATTGACTCAAAGCCAAATGATTGGGAGACTGGGACACCCAGGCAGAGGCACTTGGTGGTTTTCCCTACCTCCCCCTTTTACATACTTCTTCTGTTTCTTCTTGCTTTCTTCATGCTTTTTGTATAGCCTGCAGATTGTGCGAACTACTTGTTGAGGACACTTTGTAAAATCGTGCTCTTACTATATGTCTTTATTGTCCACTGATTGTGTTCATTAAATAAAATTTGTACTCTTCGACAATTGATATTCTTAACGATAACTTCCGTCTTTTATAAAATGTTTCTTTACTCTATAATTACAATGAGTAAAAACCTGCTCTTTTACTTTATGTCCTGCTCAAACTCGTTTACAATTTCTTTCCTTGTGAAGGTATTTACGTGTCACATGACCTTGCAATAGCCATTTTCTTTCTGACTTCTGACTGTGTTCAATCGTCTTCGCCGCTTCATTTGACAGTTAGGAAAGAGCTCATGCTTTGCCGTGCTATGTCCGACAATGTCATATGGCTTACATTAGATTCGTAATTACTTTTACTTTGCACTGACTTGGTCGATTCTAAACATAATATCCAGGCAACTTTTTGACGCAAGCATAATGCACAGACCATGTAACACAATTTCAACTTGTTGTGAAACCCGTTGCGTAGCAATATAAGTGCTGGGCACATCAGAAAGTTTCTTGTGCACATCCCTCCGGAACCAATCCTGGCTAGTACCTTCGCCTGTTGTGTAGCCTGCGTGTGGCCTGTGTGCGAACGTCTTCAACCCACTTCTTGCCTGATAACGGTCATACGTCAGAGTAGTTCCGTCTTTTCTCTATTGTAACCTACCTTGTTTTTCCAATACATTCGGATTAATAAACGGGTTCCTCCACTTAGTATTGGCTTTGTAATCTACTTGTATCACTATCTGTCGGTTTACTCTCTAACATTTTCATCACAGACTTGGTGTAACTATGAGTGCAAATTTATCTCACACCTGCAACAATACGCTTACTGCGCAACACCACTCTTACTGCGAGTGCAAAAACAACTCACACCAGGTGCAAAACCATTTCGCACTACTGCGGTATCCATTGGATCAAGGACCAATTAGATTAGTCATAGATAGTGTATTAGAATTAGTATAAATAGACCAATATTTTGTATCGAATAATAAACAGTTCAGTTCTTTAGCTTCTCTTTCTCTTAACTTTAGCTTTTTCCTTTCCTATCAAAAGGATTGTCTTTTGTGGCTCCAGACGTAATAATCCCTGGTTGTTGAACTCCCACACTTCTATTTCATCTCTTTTGCTTAATACTTAGCATTTCATCCAGATTTATCAACTTTTCTTATACTATCCATCCTATTAAACGGGATTCGTAACTCTTACACAAACTAAGACGTTACACTATCATCTCATAGCTCTTCATATCTCAAATGCTACTCCCTCACTGGTCCTATTAGATATCATATAAGAGCCATCTGCCATAATTTGTTATATACAATATGCTTCGTTATTATGTACAGTAATGTTTCATCCTAAAGACAAGAACGTACGTTACATATACCATGCCATCAATGAAAAGAAGCGTTTGTGATGATTTTATAAGCATGAAATATTATGCAGCATCATAATAACCAAATAATTTTTATTGTATGATCGGTGCACATTTTACGTTTTAAAGTATTTTGTTTTTGTTGGCGAAATGTAGGAGAGATGTCGAAAATGTTGGAGATGTAAGTTTTGAACGAATGAATGAATTGTTGGTATATATCAGTGTTAGAAAAAGACATTGAACTTGAGGTAAAGTGAGTGTGGAATCATTGTGATATCTTTCTTTTTTTTGATGATGATGATGGTGTTGATGATGACGATGATGATGATGATAAAAGAAAGTTTGGGGGAAGGCACCAATGGTTGCCACCTGTTGACATTGTTAATGGCTGAGCGACATCATCTAACAATTCAACGGTTTCATCTACAATTCTTCTTCCATTGTATGCGAGAGTCATTAGGGGAGTAATCGAGAAATCAAGTTTGAGTCGGTGTGGGGAAACTCCAATGGCTCGGTTTTTCTTATGCGTGTAATGAGTCCGCAGGGACGTCGACATCCAAAAGTGCTGCACTACCACCTAATGAATATATCAAGAAGTACTTCTATGTTAATACATGCTTCGTGTATAAAGTAGCATCTTTTATCCAGGAGTTTGGTACAAAAAGTATATTGACCTGAAACACTATATCCAGTGACGTGACATGCATAAGAAGACTTAAATGGTAAGTGACCGAAAGCAGCATGTCTATTAGCACTAAAGGCAACTTGATCGCACTGTCACGGAACGCTTTCGTTTGATCACGAGCGGCTCCAACTTCAGAGCATCCCAGCTCTTTCGATCCATATTTAAAAATTGTATTGCCCCTGCGACCCATCCTTCGATTCGAGATGGCAGTAATTGATGATAATTGCCGGGATGAATTGATGGCATTGGCGTTCGCTTCGCTCGAAATCTCGGTGCTGTAGAACGAAAAAAGATTATTAGATTGTATGTAATTTGCTCTACTATCTTCAGCCCGTCTAATATCTTACCCTTTTGCTACAACGTCAGACCCAAGGAATATAGTATTAAGCAGCCCAAATGGAAGGTACTGCTGATCTGTTTCGGGCATATTGGTAATGCTGAATGACTTGGTTCTGAGAAAAAGATGCGCAATGTTTTGTAGTTCCGTCGCGAACCACACCTTTAGATGTTCGGTAGAAGGGTCATCGATTTCTATGCTCCTGGCATATTTAAAAACTTCGACACTCGTTTTCTGTATAGAGAAAGATAAGCATATAGTACTGTTGCTGATGTTATCGTTGTTCTTTTTCATTATCATGTATATATACAACGCCTTTTAATTCTCTGTAGTATTCTTTAAGAAATTCTGGTTCTTGACATTGAAGTGGCCCACCTTCGTTTATGATCTCATTCAATTTAGCTTCGGCGAAAACTGAACGCCAATTCTTGTCAGTGAGGTCCAAGATTAGCGACTGAGGGGGTTAAACCTTAGTTGCTGTTTTTTATGTAAACAAAGACTTGAGAATTATTAAAGGGTTGAGATTAATTCTAGTAGTTGAGAATTTTCAAAATTGAATTCTATAATAAATAATAAAAAAGTAATTAAATATGGAATCAGAATATAATATTGAAGAACAAATAAATAATGAAGTAAATAAAATTGTTATTAATAATTGGGGATTTTTGGATAAAAACTGGCCTATCATACAATATAATTATAAACATAGAACTGAAATAAAACATATAAAATTAATAGATGAAATTAAAAAAGAATTAGTAGATAAATTAGGATATATTGTAGTTTTCTTCTTTTTGACAGTAATTTATACGAATAAGGAATATCCGGGACCATATTTTGAAATTGAAAAAGGATTATTTTTATTGTATCATTTAGTTTCAGGTATTTCTAGAATAGAAATAAATAAATATCTTCCACAAAGTAGCTTTCATAAATATTATAAGAAATTTTGGATGGATGAAGAAAATTATAAAAGAATAAATAAAATTATAAATGAATCATTAATAAATATGTTTTCAAATATAAAATTAAGAGTATTATCAGCTCATAAACATAATCCATCACTATTTAAACATATAACATTAATAATTGATGGTCATGATAGTAGAATTAATTATATTAATACAGATATAAAACGTGAAAAATTATTTTCGTATAAATTTAAAAAAAATGGTCTCAGAACACAAATTATTAGTGATGTAAATGATATGGTACTATATATTTCAAAATCTGATATGTGTGCAGAAAGTTCTGATGGATCTATGTTTTTAAATATGAAATTATATAATAAATTAAATAATTATGATGTTTTAGCAATGGATGGTGGTTATACACTTTTTATCAACCAGTTCATTGAATTATCCAGTGAAAAAGGTATTGATTTCAATAATAGTAATTTTATATATCCTATTAGAAAGGAAGTTAATATTGATTTGAATGCTAATGAAAGACATTTTAATGATGTTTTTGGAAGTTTTCATTCAAAAGTTGAAAATCAATTTTCAGAAATAGGTAATAAATTTAATAGATTTAGTAGTAGTAATTCAATTGCCAAAATAGATAATATTAAATTCTATAATCTACAGTTCCGTTTAGCATGTTTACTAAAAAATATACAAAAATTCAGTGATAAATTCAATATAAATATACAACCTCATCACAAATTATGGGAAACTAAAAATTTTGAATTTCCATTTGAAGCTAAATTAATAGATATTGTTATTAGTAATTCTATAGAACAAGCAAAAAGAAAAGATGAAATGTTAGAATTACAAAAAAATTTATTATCTTTAGATATAAATAATGAACGAATAGAAGTTGATGATTATAGTGATAAAAATAAAGAAGATAGTAGTAATTATGATATACCAAAATTCAATGAAAAGAAACGAAGAAGAAAAGGTAAAGGAAAAGAAAGAGAAAATAATATACAATCTATAAGAAATATAGGAAGTTCTAGTGAGTCATATGAAATCGAACAGATTATTGGGCATAAATATGAAAATAATACATATATGTTTTCAATTAAATGGAAAAATTACAGGCATAAACATAATAGTTGGTTATCAAGTGATAAATTTAATGAAAAAGATTTACTGATAGTATATATTGAAAAGCATAACATTGATATAGAATTATAAAATCTAAGGTAAAATGTTATTAAAATATAAGAAAAAAGGATTTCCAATAGTTATTTTTATTAATTTTCTTTTTTGTTTTTTTTTCTTTTTTATGATAGGATCATCTACCTTTTGTATAAAATTTTCAATTTTTTTTCTTTTTTCAGGAATATGATTTCGGTTATGTTTCCTACAAACAAATTTCTTTTTATCACCTTTTTTAGTTATTTTTTTTCCACAGAATTTACCTTCATATTTTCCTCTTTTAAACTTATGAGTACAGAAGCTATTATCTATAGAAAGATATAGAAAATAGTCTGTTGAAAATAAATCCTTTATTTTTTTATTAATTTTTTTTTTATATTTTTAATTATATTTTGTTCTATAAAATGATCAAACTCAGATTGTATAAAGGTATCTAATTCATTACGTAAACATAAAGATAGCTGAATGTGATTGAGTGGTAGAAATTCATTTAGACAAACCATTATGATAATACTTTTTATATAATAAAATAAATTCAATTTTTTTTAAATAAATTTTTTTAATATGCATAATTTAAAACTCCGAAGTTAAAAAAATTCAATAATTTATATATAATTTATTATAAAATCTCAACTATAGGCATAGTGCTTAACCCTCTGAGACGGGCTAAAAAAAGACCAGTAAAAATCATTTATCAACTGACTATCAAATTCAAATCAAAGATAATGTTTTTTGCTTACTGATAAAAATCGCACTTCAGCGCAAAGTCCATGACTTTTTCCTCTACGGACACAAGATCAGTTCCTTCCTCTGCTGCTTGTGCCTTTGTGGAGTCCAATAACCAGAAGTCTTTTTTATGCACGTCTATGAACTTTCGAAAACGTTCACGTAAGGCATCCTTATCTTGTTGGCAGATTCTTGCTTTTAGAGTAGGTAAGGAAAAGGATGACAATGGATGCGAAGGTGATGAGGAACTAGGAACAGGTGCAATAGGCGAGATAGCCGTGTTGTTATTGCTGGGCGTGGAAGCTGTACACATTGCATTGTTGTTATTATTATATTGTTGATGGTTTCAAAAGAAGTAGCAATAGTTACAGCTTTTATATCAATACTGGCATAATAACTAGAATGCGAGAACAAAAGAAGACCAACCATACACGAAAGCTTACCGAACAATTTTCTCCAGCTGACTCTGCTTTTGGTCTTATGTGTTTTAATTGATTTAATATGTTGTTATGGTAATATATGGCAGATCTGTCACAGAAAAGTACTTACCAGAGCCTTGTTCAATTGGTGTGCTTGTTTCTGTATTATTCCTGACCAAAATCTGTCAGCCGATTTCCTAAAAGGAGTGTTTTGAGTGATGAAGTCGAGATTTTTGTCAACGAAATCAGCGATGCTAGGATCCTGTTCGTTTTGCAGGTAATTGCGAATAACTTGTAAAAAATATAATTTAGTTTATTACGCGTTAAAGGCGCTCTTCTACATGAGTTCCTTTGTTTCCCCCACCTTTATCAACTTCTTCGGTTGCCATGGAAATGATTGATGCAATTTTAACGGAGCAACAATATGCAAGCACACAATCCGATTTCCCCAACTTGAGAGAAAATTGCACCGCCACCAAAATTGGGTTTTTTCTTTCTCTTTTCACCCACACAACAACACATTCAAACTGGTAAGAGAGTTCTTATCATAGAGTAATATTGTTTAAATCTTTTTCTGATATTTTTTTTGATAGTATATTAACATTCTCTCGCATTGGTGCCGGTTCATCATATTGATAAGGGAAGGTGTAAGTTATGGTCTCCTTGAATTTTACATTAAAAAAAAAAGAGGATGGAGGGATCGTCGTTATGTCATCTGGATTCAAAGCTAAAACTAACGCTTGCATTTATTTTAGTATAAAACAGATTTTTTCTTCCTAATTATCGCTTACGATTATTGTCAAAGGGTTCTTGATGGACCCATAGCACATTGTTCTGCTTTGGTTCCCACTCGTTGTAACCCGAGTAGGCTGCGATGAACCCATGTAGTTCGTTCTGCCACTGCTTTCCGCTCCATAACTACACTTTTTTGTTGTTATGCGATGAACCCATGTAGTTCGTTCTACCGCTGCTTTCCGCTCCATAACTACACTTTTTTGTCGTTATGCGATGTCTACGTAGTTCGTTCTGCCGTGCTTTCCGCTCCATAACTACACTTTTTTGTCGTTATGCGATGTCCACGTAGTTCGTTCTGCCGTGCTTTCCGCTCCATAACTACACTTTTTTGTTCTTATGCGATTTCCACGTAGTTCTTTCTGCCTGCTTTCCGCTCACACATATTTCATTTTCTACTTATCTTAACTAACCAGTATATAAATCTTTCAAGAAGTACGAGCGTTTTGGTTTTGTAAACAGTCGAAACGAACATGGTGATCGCCAAGCGAAGTTTTGGCAGCGTATAAAGAAGTGAACGTCCCGGATGTCAAAACACTGACGATCAGTAGCAAAAAACACGCGAGCGACACAAATGCTCGCATTTGAAAAACGTGCGGAAAGCAGCGCACGATGCACCCGGAAAAGGCGTCGACCGTTGCATTTGGCAGTGCAGACGCTTAATATGCACGAACTGTAGATTTGTTGCTCGTCAGGATATACATGGCGAGCATGCGTATATCCACATCTGGATGCTTCTTGGGTACAAAGAAACTATTTTGTTTTACACCGTGACCATACGTCTTAACAACGTGTTCATAGTTTCTAAGAGCAGGACTATTATTGCTCTTATCATACAGTGTTTTGAAGATTTTGTCTCACGATGCTCGCCAGTACCGCGATACAGAAGATCGTGTCGTTCAAATATTGTCACGTTGGCATTTTGCGGGTCTAGGGCAAAATTCAGAGCTCGGATGCGACTGTAAGTATGATCTTCAATGTGTTTCCTTCTACATAGCTTAATGTTGTATGTAATGAGAAATCTCAGTCTAAGAGAGTACCACAGCTGCCCGGGATCTTTGTGGCTCGGTCTGCTGACTCACCTGAACACGGTGCAGGCCGAGGAACCTTCTCAACAGTTTGCCGAAATCGAAATTACGTTCAACACAACGCATCAACCAGCTTAAAGGACCACCAGCACCAACATTACCAGCACCAGCTGGAGACGTAGTGCGGGTAAGCATAATGATATAGCTTAGGATGGATAGGGCGGATGATAAAAAGGAATCAAGCACTTAACATGAACTTATTAGGCTCCCTCCCTCCCCAATCCATACGAAGGACAAGGACAAATAGCACGAGAATTGTTAATTTTTTTTTTGTCTACTCGACACAATGAAGAACGTTTCATAGTCATAATGTGATTACATAATTCTGATTTTAAACGAAAGTGGTAGTGTGATAAGTTCTAGGTCGAAAGAAATTTCTCGTAAGAATCTCTTGAGACCGTCAGAACAAAATAGGAAAAGTTATTATGCTAGAATCTTCTCGAACCTTTATTTCATAGCGAATTCAAAGATATATAAAGGCAATAAATCCAATTGATATACATTAATCTTCTTTTTCGCTCGGTCATTACCAGCTTCCTCACATCTCTATTCTATCCCTTCCATTTTTCTCAATTTCAACTTCCCAATGTCGCCCCTGGAAGAACAATTACACATGATGCAACAACAAATTGTTGCTCTACAGGAACAACTCCACGGTGCTACTACTACTCCTATGCAGTCAGCGGATGACACTGCTACCCTTCCCTTACACTCCATGGGTACTCGACCCCATTACGATTGGTCTCCTTCTGAAGGTCTTACTGAATTGATGAATTTGGATGTTCCATTGCACACTTCGTCGCTACTCTCTGACTCAGAACGTAAAACCATCATCGAGTCCTACCCTCCCATGGCGCACGTGGACTACAAGGCTCCGGCTACTATCCCCACAGCGGAACGTGCAATGAACAAAGGTCAGCGCTATTGAAGCAACTGCAATATCAATTGTCAGCTGTTTACCGCCCTCTTGACATTCTCAGTCATGAATTGGTCACCTTTGAAGCGGACAACCCTAATTTGGAACGCTATTGTACAATGCTTCGTGATATCCGCAAGCTCTTATTGCATGTCGGTGCCTCTATGACTCACGCTCGTAACAATATCGCTCTTCGTGCCATCAATCCTTCCTTTTCGTTGAGAGCTGGTAACGAGGTCAATTACACGCTCCCTCTTGACGAGTTCCAACACACATTGATTCAACAAACTACAGCACGCAAGGCTACTCGAGAAGCGACTATCAATAAACGTCAACGTCGTCGGGCTCCCAATGACTACTCTCAATCTTCTGGTTCTTTCTCGAGTTTTCCCGACCAGCAGTTTTTTCGATCAGGTCCACCCTCTCAGCAGGGTGGTTTCAACAACAACAGCAACAACACCAACAACAACACCAACAACAGCAACCACAGCGGCCGCAACAACAACAACAACAACAACACCTTTCGTGCCAACAACAGCAGCTACAACAACAAGAAGCACACCAACCCTTTTCGTCAGTAATCTCAACAACGGCTCGTACAACAGCAACATCCGACCCAGTCGGAGGTCGGCTCAGCAAGTTTTATACACATTGGACTCAAATTTCAATCAACTCATTCGTCGACACCACAATCGCACACGGCTACAAAATTCAATTCCACACACAACCACCAACGACAACAACACCAACGCCCATCCAGCCTTTTGGCCCGGAACAGACTCCTTTGATAGATCAGGCAATCCAAGACTTATTGTCCAAGCAAGCAATCGAACCCGTTTCCAACACGGAAGTCCGTCAAACACCAGGCTTTTACAGCTCAATGTTTGTCATCCCGAAGAAGGATGGCGGCGTTCGACCAGTCTTCAACCTCAAACGGCTGAATCAATATCTGGATGCCCCTCATTTCAAGATGGAAACTATTCGGGAAGTGGCTCTAATGATCAAACCCAACGATTAAGTTATCCAGAAGGAGCAAGCAGTAAAATAATACGGAAGTTTTAGTTTTATTCTCACAGCTATTATGTGAAGATGAAGCTTGACCAATTTTTTTTGAGGTTGCCTCCTCCTTTCGGTTAATAATCTCGCAAGCAAATTATAGCCTGAGCAACTGGATTGCATTTCAAACGCTGATAAATGTGGTGCTTGTGTGAAAATGTCACGTTTATGGCCGGACGTTAATTTTATAAAACGGTTGTTTCGTGGCTTTTTTCCCTAAGTGTATGATACGGCGACGAATCAACAGAATTCATCGAGATCTTATTCGGAAACAACAAGCAACGATTAGTCTACCCGATAACGAAACGTTTTTACGCTCAAAAGCACTTGGGCAACAGTATCTAGGCGACAAAGGTTACAACGGAAAAGGTGGGTTTGCTCTATTTCTCTATGGCCATATCGAATTAGCCTTTATACATATACGATTGTATATGGCTTATTACTCAATGCCGCTGACCACTTGGATAAGCAGCGATCGACCAAATAATGGTTGTTGGGATGGTTGTCTTTAATATATTTACTGGAACGAGATCAAGTTTGGGATTGAGCCTTTTATCATCATGTGAACAGATATCTGAAGATTATTCTTTGTAAGCATCGATGGTCCGGATGGATGGGGGGACGGGTATATCAATAGTTATTCTTGTCGCTATATACAGTATCATTATTCTTCTTTAAATGCTCTCCCTTTCCAACACTGTTATGTATGTACATTCTTTCTTATGATATACTTTACACAGTATCTGGGTAGTAGCTTGCTCAGTAAAAAGCAACGGTCTGGTGGGTCACTTTGTAAAAGTCGTCTGTCATACAGGCACGCAGTAAATTAATCATGGATAATCACTAAAACATACTTGTCGACACGTATACCCATAATAGCAACTAATTCCAATAAGAGGTTTCCTGCTGGTAATGGTATGTATTGTTACTTAGCAATGCTACTTCTCTCATACAGCTCAGATTGTCACCAAAAATGCCAGAAGCTTGCATATGATGACCAAGAGTCAAAATACGGCCCTGAATTTTAGTTTGAGCTTATTTCAAACCACAAGCTAAATTTTTCTTTGAGGTTTTACAGTTATCAGAGCAGATGCACCATTGGCTCGTCCCGATCTGTGTGAAGTGTGCACAAAAAGAAAGGGCGGGGATCGACACACAAAGGTACGCACACACATAGGGCGGGGTTAGGCACCCTCACTTAACCTCTTTCCACTTCTCTCTTCTCCTTTCAGGGACTCACACCCGACGACGACCTTTCGGTTAGTGAGATGTTTCTGTCAAAATTCTTGGCAAGAAACACCAACAAGTCCAAATTAGAGCTTCTGACAGAAGCTTGGATTGGTATTCAAAAGTATTATGAAACCGCGGCAGGTACGCATTTGGGCGGGGAAAAGAGAAAAAAACGATGGAGGAACTTTCGTCAAGCGCAGACCGGAAAGAGAACAGTTGAAAACAAAGATACTCGGAACCTCATTCCGTAGAAGTGAATTATAATGCTTTACTAACGTGATGGTTGCACTCATTAATAGATCCTTTAAAAGATGCAGTTGATCTGACACCCATCCCGGTGTGTTTGCAGAATATAGTTAAGCTCATTCAGGCGGAAGAGCTTGAGTATGAGCGGGCTAGCGATAGCCTGGAAACAGGGCCGTGTTTGGAATATCTTTTGCACAAACGAGTTTTGGAAGAGCTGGTCGAGTTCGCCAGAGTCGATGTAAGGCGCGGTTGCGAAGAAGTGAAGGAAGAGGAAGAAGCGCAAAAGAGAAAACGATTAGTAACGGAATAGAACGTCTCTCTAGACTCCTTTCGGAATGCGGATTCACTGCCTCCGGTTCTTTTGTAGCTTGGTGAACAACGTCCATGCCCAGCTCCTTCCTGAACGTGCAGTCCACGTACCGCTCCAAAAGCTTATCAACTCATGCCATCGTCTTATATCGCACCACTACGAGCAAATGGCAACGGAGCCCGAGTCGTGCCCTGAAGAGCGGATCCAGGCCATTTCGGAGCTGTCGTTGGAGCTTGTTAAATTGATGCACGGTATCTTTTCGCATTTCAAAGGAAGCAACGCAGCGCTCATGGATCTTTTCTTTGAACGTGGCTGGTGTCGAGGGCTTGGCGACAACGTTTGGCGAAGCAGCAAGGATGGGCGCACGTTCCACAAGCGTCGCGAAAGCACGGATGAGAAGATTGCATGGAATATGTTTTTGACGGTAAGCTACAATTCGGGTCGTAACAACCGGAGGGAGACACAGAGAGAGAGAGAGACGAACGTATAGCATATATTAGGGGTAGTTTACTCATTCCAGGTTAAGCCACGGTTTGATATGTTTACATATTTGATCGACTACATGAACATGCCTGGAGAAACGGGTGAAATTGCGCGCGAGGCCATCTTGTTTGCATTGCGACTCTTGGATGGAGACCCGGAATACGTGTGCTACGTTGTTGAGTATTCTGGATTGTGCGAAGTCATGGTAAGTTCTGTTTGTGTTGATGCTTCCGAGCTGTTGGATGAAGGGGGAAACAAGCCTAAAATAAAATTGGCCTAGGCTGAACGGCTCGCTCTGTTTTATGCCAAACTTCCAAAAAACACCGGCGCCTTCACGATATCTGACAACAGCCGTGTCGTACCCATACGGCCTCCACGCCGTCGAATCTCTCTTTCCGTCCCTGTCATGATCACGAACAACTCCCTGATGATCACAGTGAACACACATCACACCTTCAAAAAGAAGAGAAGAAAGCGAAGCCCGTTTGACGTCAATTTTGTCCGTGCTCTAGAGTCTGTGCGCGACAATGACATTGTTGTCGACGAGTTCTATAGCTTTTGGGAATACCTGAACGACGTTGCTCGTGTGGCCGACCGCCGATTGATGACCGCTCTCATGGCTCAACTAACCACTACCTTTTGGCATCCAGTCGTATGCACTGCCCTCAGCTCTCCATCAGCAGAGCTCGCTACTGCTGCTACAGCGTACACAACCGAAATGATCCGATCATTGACAGATCAAAAGCTGCTCCATGCATTTCTAGTTGTCTTGTTGGGCGAAGAAGGCGGCGTAGGCAAGGATCTGGAACCAGAAACACGCAGCTCACTACCACGCCATGATCTTATCGACGACGATCATGAGGAAGACGAAAAGAGCGAAGAGGATGAAGAGGAAAAAGAAAAGGATAAGGTGGTCTCCATGAGCGACGATATTGACGAAGACCTTACGCTACGTGTGCTGCTCATTAACCGGATCGACGCCGACTATCACGATCTGTCGGTCTCGACGCTGCGTCTGTTTGACACTGTTCTTGAAACATACAACCAGTTTGCTATTTACAACCTGATTCTTCGTAACTATCTCGATATCACCCCCGAAGGCGACTATGTCGACGAGGTGGAAAAGGATGCTGCAGATGCATCATCTCTGGGGTCCAAAACTTTTGATGAAAGTGCCGAAAAGACCAAAGATGCAGACGAAACAGAGGAAGAGGCTAAAGAAGAAAAGAGCGAAGAAGACGCCGAAGCAGATGAAGCAAACAAAAAAGACAAGAAGACAGAGAAAGTGCGCTGGCTGGTTGAAAGGTAATGATGCTGATATGTTCATTACAGAACATATCCACTAACATCCTGCGCTTCACTTATAGGATTCTGTCACTGCTACCACTTGAGGACGAACTTGAGCGGATGAAGTCCCCGCCGCTGTCATCCGTCATCCAGTCCGAGTCACTTGCGTCCGCTGGTCGATCGCCAGGCCCACGTAGTTCGACAAGCATCGATATGGATGGCCACCGTAGCAGTACTTCCGCCGAAAATCTTCAGAACGTTGTTGTGCCTGGCAATAGCTATGATGACTACTTTCATGAAGCACGGGAACGGTTTCAGTATGGTTTGCTCGCCAAAAACTTCTGGCGAACACCGTACCCACCACCGAAAACGAAAAAGGACTATGCCCGCGAAGCAGAACATCGCCGCGGACGTCCACAACGTCGTCCTATGAGTATGATTGTCTCATCCAAAGACGCTGCAATGCATCGTAACTTTGATCCTGACAACGGTAAAGAACCGCACAAACTCTGCGGCAACTTTGAAGGCCTGTTCATGAGCCGGATCTTTGACCAGTTCTTCAAGCTAATGGAGTCGTCTATGGAGCAGAACTTACTCGTGACAAGTATCCTTCAAAAGATTGTTGGTGTCGTTGATAAACGGGTCGATGGTGTCATTTGCGAGTGGAGAGCCGTCCGTATTGGCGGTGATGGTGCCTTGTACGGTGGTGTCTGGACACTTCCCAGTGCAAAAGGCAACAGACGCAGTCTGTATTCGTTGTTGGAGCAAGTGACTTTCGAGGCCTTGAAGCGTGCACAGCTTGTACCCAATTTCGAGACGCGAATTTCGATTGCCAAGAAACGCGGTGTTCTTCACGGTACCAACAACGGCAACGCGAGCAACGGTCACCATCATCAAGGCCATGGTCAACAGCCTCAACTCAAACGTTCGGCGTCGTCCTTTACGCGCTCACCGACTGCGGGATCTCCCCGTGAACAAGGCAAGCTGTCTCGCCATCCCAGTCTGTCGCAACTTGTCTTTTCCAAGAATTCCCCTTCTCCATCTTCGCCACTCAGTCCTGGGTCACCTTCCAAATCCACAAGCGTGCTACCGCCCCGTAAGCCAAGTCGTGAAGGTCTGACCGAACTGAACACCACCAACTTGCAGCAGCAGCAGCAGCAGCAACCAGGCACACCCAATGGAACAAGTGGACCCAACTCACCGTCAGCCATGTTCTTCCAACAATCACAACGGGCAAACGCCACGCCAGTGACAATGACCAACCCGTTTGCCAAGCTGTCCAACTTTGTCAACTCATACATTGTATTGCAAGAGTTTTGTAAGGAGTTGGCCGCTGTCATCCTTGTACGACATGCCACCAACTACAATGAAACGGGTTTGGTGCGTTATCAGCAGGACCCACGAGGCTCTGTGTTGAACTTGCCACAGCAGGATTATTGGTTCGAGAACGAGCACCGTCACCACCAACAACTAGAAGACGAGTACAACCTCCTCAGTCCGGCAGACAGCGAGCATAAGCCAAGCATGGATAAATGGAAGAACCGCATTTCAATGGTATCGACATTGGCTGACTGGCGAAGTGTACGTAGTCTGGATATCATTGATGAAGCTATCACTGCCCGTGTTCGTTCTGCTTCCAGTGATGGCAAATGGTGATTTATCAAGTATTCCCCCTCCCTTCCTTCCTTTTGTTCACACTTCTTCCTCCGTCCGTACTACCCGTTCACTTCTCCTCGCTGTTTACATATACCGGTTCCCTTCGTTTCTTTTTACACTTTTTACACTTTTGAGATATTTATTCATATAAAAAAAGAGCTGTACAATCCGTTTACATTATCTTTACAGACAAAGTCGGGATATCAATATACCAGCAGCAACACCAACGTTTAAACTATCAACCAGATCACTCTTGGTATCACCCACAGATGGTATGCTGATGAACTGGTTGCAGCATCGCTTCACATTATATCTCAGTCCTACACCTTCATTGCCCAGTACCAGCATTGTCGGCTTGTCAACAACTTTGCTGCTGTGCAAGTAGTCTGCCGACGTTTCCATAGCTGCAGCTCCAACAATATGCCAGCCTTCCTCAGACGAAGCCTACAATTTCTCATCCCGTTAGAGGCTTGGCTTGTTTTGATGAGTTGGGCATTCGAATAATATGCCGTACCTGAAGAAACTTGACAAGGTTCCGTGTTGCGTACACATCCATCAATTCCATGGCACCAGCGCTCACTTTGGAAACGGCCGGTGTCAAGGAAGCACTGTTCTTGCTACATAGTAGCACGCCATCCACTCCTAAATAGTACGCTGTCCTAACACACTTGTCAAAATTTTTGTTGCTGGCTTGTTACCCACCCTTCTTGCTTAAAAACCTTAAGATAGAGCCGAGATTCTAAATAGAGGAAAAAGGGCTTGAGCAACCGATCCAATTAAATACCAAAATAGAGCGTTGTCTTTTACCTGAGGATCCTGAACTTCATCCAGAACGACCCACACAGGGGGTCGATCCGAAGCAGTCTTGAATGACACTGGCTTTTGGGTCACACCATAATACTCTCCATTATCCACTTTGGACATGCCCTGAAGAGTGATCGGTATCCGTGGAGAGCCATCAAGCACAACACCCTACAAGCATACTGTGTGAATGGGTTTGTTCCGGTCTCGCGTGAAGCAGGAAAAAAAAGTATTTTCTGTACCTGATGCGGTTTGTTGGCTGACATATTGTTCAGTTCACCTTTATCTACCTGGGAAATTGGTATGTTCTGCTGCTGGCAGGCATCCAAGATGGGAGATACACGTGTGCTTGTCTTTTGTTTAGTCTTGCGAGACGCACCATAGAATACACGAAAAAAAAAAATTAAATGTATATACCGATCGATCGTTTTTTGAATGTAGAGTTTATCCAAATGGACGCGCTTTCGAGCATGTAACGCAGCTTGAACACTTGACAGGCCATACACATATTCATTCCGGCAAGCTGATGTGCTTATAGACCGAAGGTTGCATCGAGACAGGAGTGATCGACTCATTTATTATAAGAGCAAGATCAAACAAGGGTGAAAAGAAAAGTCGGGACAGAAGAAGGGGAAAGGGGTGGTGGGTGGGGGGTAGGAAATAATACGAAAGATATAACTCAGTTACAGCAAAAGCACAGGGAAGTGGTAGGGTATAATCTATCGACGCATGCTACGGCCCTGCATCTGGTACACATTCTCCAGCTCGGTTTCCATAGCCTTGATCTTGGCGTGCTGCTCCTCAAGATCTTTGTTGAGACGGTCGCGCTCGGTCACAAGCTACCATGCATGCATATGTGTTTAGTATCCCACCACTAGAGCATCAAAGAACACACATCACTGAAGTAAATGTATTCCTACCTGAGCTTCCCATTGACGGAATCTGTTCTCTTCCTTCTTGACTTGCTCAGTGAAAGCCAGACGAAGCTTCTCCTCCTGTTCCTTGTGCTTGGGATTCTCGTACTTCTTCGACCTGTAGTGGCAGTAATGGAAAGTCCGGTTGTTAATAAGCTAAACTGAATCCGATCGATGATACGATAAGAAAAACAAGCTATATTACTTTGCTTCACCAAACTTGCGAGTCTCCATCTGGATTTGGCGATAGTTTTCGTAATGGATTTCCTCAGTTGTCGAAATCAAATCGTGCATATGTGAGCGGACCAACAACGTGCGAAGCTTCTTAAAGTCGCAGTGGTTCTCATTCTCGACTTCGGCACAGCCCCAGGAGTACTGACGACCCTTGACCTTGCGGTTGTCGGCAGTTACAACATCTTCCGTCGACCCGATGACAGAGAAGGGAAGTGCGCTCATGATGTCTTTGTTGTTTGTTGTGATCGATTCGTCTTCGCTCTCGATGGGGCAAGAGTACACGCGGATGTTTTGTGCCTCGATGACGTCCAAAATCTACAAGAAAACCCAACATTCGCTCTCGGTGAGAAGAGTAGCACTTTATATAAAGAGAATGCATATTATTACGTACATTGCGCTTGAACTTGGCCATGTCGTTCGGGGTCAAGGTGTCGGCCTTGGCAATAACAGGTATCAAATTGACACGCGTTCCGAGACGTCGCATGATCTCGATATCCAACGGCTTGAGCCTTTACAAACGGTTTCGTTAGTGTCCATATACATATAACGTCCCTACTACACGCATGAGACAGAGGTTACTCACGTATGGCCGTTGGGACGGATAAAGTAGAGACAGGCATGCACACGAAGATCAATGATGCCAGCGCGCGTGGGCTGTTGTTCCTGAGCCATGTAGCTCTCGTGCTGGTCATCCAAGAACTCTACAATAGGCATCCAGCTGTCACGGTTGTTGACATAGTCGCCAAAGCCAGGTGTGTCGATGATTGTAAGCTTGACTTTAAAGTTCTTTTCTTCGAGCTCTGTACAACACATGCAGTCGCTGATCAGTACACCTTTTCGATGTAAGGCACGCCACACGCACGTCCTTGAAATAAAAAGAGCCTACAAACCTGCTTTGGTGATTTCGATTTCGACAGTCTTGTCTACCTGCTTTGCGTGGCGTTTGGCGAGTTGTTTGGGGTCTTTGATGGAAGTCGTGAACAAGGTGTTGACAAAGGTCGATTTGCCAGTTCCACTTTCGCCTGCACATGATAAAGAAATGAGTTTTCCGATATTGCCAACGGCCCCAAACCCCCGCCCCTGAAAGACTCGGAATGAACAGAAAGTATATATATATATATATATATATAAAGAAGAAAGAAAAGGCAAGAAAGGGAAGCTTTACCGCAGACCATCAACGTGAATTTAGCTCCACGCTTCGAAACGATCTTGTGACGTTGGTTGGGAAGGTGGGCAACACCCACTCCATCAGGCATCGTTGCAGTAGGGGCCATGTCGGGTTTTTGTGTGAAAAGGAAAGGAAAGGAAAGGAAAGAAGAGCAAAAGGGCGCATATAATAATTGACCTGTCTCGCTCTCTATATTGGGGTTTCAGAAACACTTGTGTAACCACGCTAACCTCGAAAAAGTGCTGCAGCCTCATGCTGGCCATGCCGCCCCCAGGTTGATCCATTGCGCTTTAGCAGCAGCCCATGTGCAAGTCCCATTTTTAGCTCCCCAGCACCGACTACATTCATTATTCTTTCTCATGAAAAAGTGCTTCTTTCTTTCCTGACTGTACCTGCACAGCAGCGAGAAGAAGAAACAAATGCTGCTGCTGCTGCTGCTGCTGCTGTTGTTGGCTGGTCCACCCCAGTTCACTGCATTATGATAGCTTCACATCTCGTATCTGTGGCTATGATGTATGTACCCAGTTGTAGTCAAGAGGGGTGATATCATATGCCTTCTAGCTGTCAGCTTAAAGTCCCTTGCCGCTATTTACATATACAAGAATATTCTCTATCACATATAAAAAAAACTCTCGTACTCTTACACTTCTGTCGTACAAAATCAAAACGTGGACCTGTCGATTTTCCGATTTTCTGCAAACTATACAATACATGCTTGGACTCAATGCTCAATCTGTAAAAGTCACGAAAACAGCCCCGTAAACCAACCTATAAACTGAAAAGCTTATTAGATTATGGCTCCGTTGATGCACCTGCTTCTTTGCAACCTCTTGTGGGTATCATTACACCAAGGAGAACGACAGGTAGTCGATGCGTGAGGGAAGAGGCATTTCTTTTGGTCGGATAATCTATTGTTCCGCTGCCATTTTGCGTGGCTTGTTTATGGGGGGATCCCTTGCTTCCCTGACAACTTGTCTTTTACCCAATAACCTGCACAATATAGAATAATGTTTCGATTCGCTCGATTCGCATCGGCTCGCTCATTTTCAACACAAGCCGTTCAACCACCAAAACAACCTATCCACCTTGGCTCGCTTGCAGATAATGCCGGTGCCGTGACCCAGGTTCGCTAACTGGAAATCTTTCCCTTCCGTCCATTGAGTAATTTATTTGCCTCCAGAGTCAACCAACCTTAATTGCTGAACGTTTTAATCCATTAGCGCAAACGAGTAGGCCGTGGCCCTGGTTCAGGACTTGGTAAGACAGCAGGTCGAGGTCACAAGGGTCAAAAGGCACGGTCAGGAAACGGAAAGCCCGTCCCTGGCTTTGAAGGTGGTCAAACTCCCTTGATTAAACGTATCCCCAAGCGCGGTTTCTACAATATGTAAATATCCATCAAGGAAAATCACACGATACAGGATATACAAACATTCTAACATGAAAATACTGTTATTAGTCACGGAAAGGATTATCATCAACTCAACCTCGATCGTCTTCAACACTGGATTCAAACCGGCCGAATCGACGCGTCAAAGACCATCACCATGAAAGAGTTATTGGACTCTCGCTGCATACACAAAATCCAGGACGGCGTCAAACTCTTGGGCGTTGGCTCTGAATCGTTCGCCCACTCTATTCAAATCGAAGTCTCGAAAGCATCACAAACCGCCATCGACGCCATCGAGAAAGCAGGTGGCAAAGTCACCCTGTGCGATCTCAACAAAGTGGCTCTGCGAGCTCATGTCCATCCCGAAAAGTTTATGTAGATAATAATCATTAAGCAGCAATAAAGTCACTCTGCTTTTCCTTTTTTCATGTAATACACAAATGTTAAAAACGGTGCTCTTTCTTGATATCTAAGGGATCATCGACATGGATGAACTGCAGTGTTCATCTGGATATGGTTTGATATCATGAGATGATGCATTCTATTCTTTTAATTTTATACGAGGAAAGATCTATAACGTACAATGATAATAGTAAAATTACAAGTGCAAAGCAAAAATGATGAGAATAAAGACGATTACTCTTCAGTATGCGGATTGCCCACGAATTCTTGGATATCTTTTATAAGTGATTTTTTCAACCGATCTTCACCAAGCAAGCTGGGCATAAATGCTTTTTAACAAGGACATGTGTGTTAGTATAAGCACGTGTATCAAGTATCCATCGAGACTTCAAATTTTTGAGCATACCTGTAACGCATTGAGCATGCTTCAACCGCTTATGGATCCGAATCCGAACATCTACATCGTCTCTACGCTCGGGTGGCAGTACCTGGCCAAACGCATTGTACATATCCACTGATTGTTCGGAAAGAACAGTAGTGTCCTTTTCTCCATGTACCAGCATGATCCGTGGGATATTTTTCAAAAGATCATCCGACTCAACAAACAACTCTTCGTTTGTTTCGACAAGATCGATGGGCGAGTTGACTCGAAAGTTTTCCAGAGTTTTACCCATCACACGTGTCATCGCCGAGATCTTTTCAACACCTCGTCGTTGTTCCGTCAGCAAGTGCCGTTCGATCGAGTAAACACCGGCAACCCTACATATAGCGCAAAATCACGTCAAGGACTTAGTGATAAATGCTATCATACTCGCATATGTGTAGATACTTACAATAATAAGCCCTTTACACGTGGCAACGGTTCCTGGATGCTCTGTTTCTTTGCGACATCTATTGCATTTTTCAGGATAACTTGTGCACACAAATGGCCACCAGCGCTATGACCCTACATAGTGGCATGATACTATTCAATGATCTATACATGATTGTCACACAAAGATTAAAGAAATAGGCACTATACCATCAAATAAATCTTTTCTCGATCCCCATTGATCTCATCGGCATTGGCATAGGTCCATAGCAGAGCTTGACGAACATCGTCATAGATAGAATCCACTTTGACTTGAGGGTATTTCCGGTAATCCGGTACCACCACCACGTATCCAAGTTCGCGAAGTGTATTTGCAAAGGGAGTATACAGCAACTTAGATCCCGAGGACCATGAGCCGCCATGAATAAAGATGATGATGGGTGGTTTCGATTCAATTGTTCGTTCCGGGTGGTATACGTCTAGTAAGCATGAAGAGTGTGCGTCCGAGTATTCGACGTTGCGACTACAAGGGCAAATGAGAGGGGACCGATATATAGCGAATGTTCAGTTGAAAGCCCTATACACAAACCAAATATGTATTACTTGTTTTACCTAACCAACTGTCTAAAAGTATCTTGCACCTCAAAGTATCGCCAGTGAAGATATGCTGCGATGCGGGGCAAGTCTGTTATCCAACCAAGGATCAAGTGGAATAGGGCAATGTTAACCTTGGCGACTCGAATAGGATCGTAGGGTAAATTAAACTTGGAATCTCGCTGTGCTTCCAGCAAGTAGATTGACCAAGCCAAAAAGTATGCAGCGCCTAACCGTTGGTAAAACAGAATTCCAGTAAGTTCAAGTTGCTTCTTTTATATAATGTGCTTGTGCTTTAAAACAAATCCAGCAATCAACTTTTTTTACCAATGGCAAATATACATAGCGGTAAGCTAAGAATGAGCAAAGCGACCAGTAATGGCAGGCAGAATAACGAGCCCCATACGTACAGGGAGCGTGAATTCAGCTTTGGCATGCGAAAACGAAATCGAAAAAGGTTTTTTATGTTTGGCGTGTGTTAAGTATTTCGTATTTGTAGAACTATAGTGCTGAAAAAAAAACTCAGTTACAGAAGTGCATTGATCACTGGATGAAAAAGAAAAAGTTCTTTCGAACAATCTAAAATTCGACGCAATACTCGATATACGAATAGTTACATATAGATTACACCACATACAGCATGGAGGCAGAAGATGCTGCCACGTACTAGTACTACTCTTGCCACATCCTTACGCAATGGTTTAAATCAATGACTTCTTTCGCCTCTTCCAAATATCCACGGAAACAGAATTTCTGTGTACAATTATAGTGAAATACGATAAAAGCTAATATTCTACAATGTCCTGATGGACAACAAAGACATACACCCAATGGATACGTCTTATAACTTTGATGTCTTCTTCGCCTCTTCTTCCTTGACTTCAATCCGCAGAACGTTTCGCAATATCTTTCCAGTAGCGCTCTTTGGGATTTGATCACGGAATATGAGCGACTGGATTTTCTTGTAACTGATCACCTTTTCTGCCACAAATTTCTTGAGTTCCTCGGCTGTTTTCTCGCTGCGTTCGACGCCTGGCTTGAGCACAATATACGCGCGAGGAATTTCAGTAACCTGCTCTCGATCATATACGCCAATGACAGCACAATCCGCTACTCCTGGATGCTTGAGCTATATGAATAATGGCCATTGTTGCTTAGTCAACCAGTTTGTAAAAGTATACGCCACTATGCTCGTTCCGCTCAAAGCTTACCAGTATGCCTTCTAGCTCAGCCGGCGCGACCTATGCCCAAGATGTTATTCATTAGCTTCTCTTTCCTACACAACTCTTTTCAATCAAGTCAAACCTGGAAGCCCTTGTATTTAATCAATTCCTTGATACGGTCGACGATGAAGACGTGGCCAGTTTCATTGATGATTGCAACCTTAAGTAGGGGATATACAGTCAGTGCCAATAGCTCGCATGAAATAAAAAAGTAATCCTTGTTTCAGCAATACCGCTCCTTTCTCACCGCCCATTCCCAGTAGATATGACTTACGTCTCCAGTGTGAAAATATCCCTCGGCGTCAAGGCAGTTTGCAGTTTCCTCTGGGCGGTTAAGATATCCCTAATAAGTGATACAGGGGAAAGGATGTCAGATCCATTGTAACTTATGCAAAGGACATTCGAAAAAAAAATAGTACCTTCATGATGTTAGGGCCCTTTACCCATAGCTCACCGCGCTCACCAATGCCAAGCTCTAACATAAAGTACGCGTTTGGTATTTTTTAAATCAAGACATAATCGATCAAGCTTTAACTTTGCGCCTTGTTATACCTTTTCCTTCGTCACCCATGATTTTGGCAAGCAGATTGGGTACAAGAACTCCGGACGAGCCTATGTATATATTTGGTTAATCAGCAACTATGTTACGTGCCACTCTTTCGGTTTCTGATATATATATAAAGATTGAACCAAGTACCTGGAACAATATTATCTTCGGCCTGAATACAGACAGCAGGCGAAGTCTCTGTAAGTCCATAGGCTTGCTTTACACGACAACCGCCAAGACGTTTTTCGACTTCAGCGGCCAAGGATGCATCCAGAGGCGCTGCACCGGATAGCAAAGCATCCAGGGACGATAAGTCGTACTTGTCAACTGCTGGAGATTTCGCCAACAGCAACAAAACAGGTGGTACCACGCAGCTGAATGTGATCTTGTGCTTCTGTACGGTGCCACAGAACTGGTCAAGATCGAATCGCGGTAGCACATACACTGGCCTATGCATGTATAACGGCGCATGCAAGACAACAGTCAGACCAAAGATATGGAAAAAGGGAAGGATAGCCATAATACGCGCAGATTCTTTTTCGTATAAGCCTGCTTCCAAAGCGCAATACTGGAAAATGTTGGATACCATGTTGCCATGTCTAACAAGGAGTAAAATTGATGGATTACTGTTAAAAAGGTCACCAACACCAAGCTCCTCTTGCTCATTCTTTTCTTACGTTGTCATCACGCCCTTGCTCTTTCCTAGTTAATACAATGTCCGAGTTAGCAAAAAACAAATTTGTGCTTAACAAGACACTCGTCCGCTTACCTGTTGTTCCCGAGGAGAAGCACAGGAACGCAAGCGTTTCGCGAGCTTGTTCGGCTGATTCAAACTCAACAGGTTTGGCAACGCGATTGCCGAGTAAGACTTTGCAATAAGGTTGGACACCTTTGACCACATCGTTTCCAAAAACGAAGACATTAGCTTGCGCGATGCCAACAACCTTTGCAGCGCTCAAGGCCGTTTCTACGTTGGATGGGTGAGCGACGATAACCTTGGCCTTGGTTTCACCGAGTTGATGAACCAATTCGTCGACGGTGTAGGATGGGTTTGCGGGACTGACAGTTCCTCCTAAAGTGGTTGTGTGTTTGTTAAAAGCCCCATCCGACTAAGCCTTTTGTCTTGTTGTAATACTGACCAGCGACTAACGTGCCGAAAACGGGCACAGCATAATCCACCTGTTTGTTGTTGTAATATGCCATGTGATTATTTATTAAGCAGGTTGTTCTTCTTTCTTTTTTGTGAAACGCTCATTGCTCGTTCTGATGAAAACAAAGCAAAACACATACCAGATTTGGAGCATACATTGCAAGAACGTCTCCTCGTTGGAACCCACAGACATCTTGTAGTCCAGCAGCGAAACGATACGCCATGTCCTTAACTTGTTTGAATGTAAGTTCCTGACCGGATAAGGCATCCACATAACAAACGCGATCTACGTTCTGGTTATCCGTTTCGAAAAGAGTATGTATGATCCCAGTTTGAGGCTGTGGAATCGAAGGATACTTCGAGGTGAATAGAGGCATTATTCAAAGGAAAAAAAAGTGAATGCGGGGTGGAAGGTAAAGAAAAAGGATTGATTCTCATGATGCAGCTGCTTAAAAATAATCGAAAAGTGCGGGGTTGGCGTCTATCGCTCTGTCAGCCAATGGGGAATAAGCTCCTCATCTATAATCTTTTGTAATTTTAAATACACAAAAGTACCAACGACTCTGCTGCAGGAGTCACTTATTCATGCATAATAAGATAACCTAAAAAGTTACCAACGCCAAATTTGGGCATGTCTACCTTTGTCATATAACATCTGTCGTGCTTTCAATCCGAGGTTGTGCCTGAAAGTTTAAAAGTCGTATTTTTAAGACTTTTTTTTTTTTTGATTTGCAAGCAATTGAGAAGTTTTAATACATTTTTGTTGTAGCTTGTGGACTAATATCCGCGAGCATACGCAGCCATCAAACCAGATACTGTACTGATGCAGCAGCCACTAGCAGCCTCATTATGCTATTTCTCATATTCGGATGTAAGTTACTGACATGACAAAGTGGATATGAAAACGACCAACAACCAACCGGAACTTCATGTGTTTTCTGAGAGCTACAGCTGCCAGTCACTTTCAGGGTGAAGCAGTGCACATATTATATCTTTGTGGCGTTAACATAGAAGCATTCTCTTAATCTATCAGGAAGCATAATCCTTGTACTTTAACCGTGCCCAGTTCTTTTCTTCCCCAGTAGTTGTAGCTTTACATAATTAGCCATCTCAATTTCAATAGAGATATGAATTCCTATGCAACAAGATCCATCAATCTAGCAGCGTCACTTATCACCAATAGCAGTAACAATAAGACACTGATGTTACTTATAAGGCAAGGGCTCCTAAGCTACCTTGTACGTAGAAAATGGAAAATATTACAGTTCCTTTGCATGAATCCATCCATTTCAGTGCTGCTGGAGTAATTCTGATAAGGCAGGTTAACATTGCTTCTGCAGTAAAATGGTATCTTATTACGCTTATCCTAACAAGAATGTAGCAAGCTATATATCACAAAAAAACTGTTGCTCATTAAAAACACTAAACAGTACAGAAAGAAGGAGACACTGCCGGGTTCAGTACGCAAAATAAAAGGTATGGATAAAATCCGTGCCAACATATTGTCTCGGCTGTTGTTGATCGGTGTTGAAAGTATCTAATATGATTATACGAATATAACAGGTTACAGCATGGATCTGCCTAATTATATGCTGCTACAAAAGCGCTTGAGAGAGCGTTTAAAGCAATATGAATTTGATTATAATTACTTAGTGCAATGATGCGGCATGGTTATGTAATCCTATCCTTACTGTTTAGTGTCATTATAGTGGCGGCTACTAGGAGAAGATTATTGAAGATACCAGGATTCTTTCTGGTATAGCGCAAGGGACAATCAATATTCTTCAAATATAAGCCATTCATGTTCTGGCAGTTAATTCAGGGAGCACTGCAGTAGGTATCTCCTCCTTTATATATCATAGTGATTATGAATAAGAATCTAACGTGTAGCGCTAGCTGTTGACCTTGCAACAACAGCACATCTGATGAGCTTAAATATTAGCGTTACACACATTCTTTCTCTCTCTCTTTTACCGATTTCAGCTGCTAAAATTTGTGAAACAATGCTTTGTAATTCATTTGCGTAATAAAAAGTGTTTACGGTTTGTGTCTACTATCTAACACTCGAGAAAAATGTCTTTCTTCAAGTTCGTGGCGAACCACTGACGCACCACTAATGTCGTCATTCTGCATTTCAGTTTCTTTTTCTACATCTAAAGATGATGACTCTGCAAGAAAACCTGTAACCAACAAGCTATATTGCAAAAAAGCTAAATCACGAGTTGTAAGAGAGAGAAAAATAGAATGCAGCAACAGCAAGATTAACTTCGTAACGATCGAGTTGTCATGACGATGAAAGTGAGCATTACGGACAGACAGACTATGGATTGATTAAGAAAAGATTGTCTAAGATTTCCAAGCTGATGGAGAGAAACACAGCAAACAAAAAAGCAAGCGCACGCATTGGCAGGGTAGAGTGAACTCCCGACCGATTGGAGTTTTTACTCTCTCTCTCTCTTTTCTTTTTTCCTTTTACTTTACATTTTTATATTTATTTCTTTTCTTTCCTTGTTCTTTTTGTTCTTTCCTCTCTTTTTTTCCTTGTTTTTCCTTGTTTATGTCGAATCAGAACTCACCAGTGTTACCGTCTTCGAAAACGTTACAGCAACAACAGCAGCAGCAGCAACAGCAACAGCAACAGCAGCGACAGCAGCGACCGCCACGGTATTCTCCGCCGTTCAGAAGCAGCATTCTCGATCCTGATCCTCTTCATCCTCCCTCATCATCTGTCCAAGCAAGTTTACCAGCACAGAACGGTGTATCCAAGCTTGTTAATGGCCATTGCAACGGACAAACATCTGGTCCTGTTGGCATTACAGCTGGCATGACCCCGAATGGAAATACGCAGCGATTAGCAGAAGAAGCAGCAAAAAAGCACTTGCCTTTACGGAAACGCATTGGATCGTTACCAAAGAAAAAAGCTTGGATTCCGCCTCCTGTTCCTCATTCCACCAATGCTACGACGACAGCTGCGAAAAGTCCAACTGCTGCTGCAAGCCCTGCCACTGGCAATACCATTACCGCACCACGGCCATCTTCATTACCACAAAGAGAACCTGCACAACATCAACCAACTAAATCATCAAGGACAACAACAACGACGACAGAAAGACGAGTGTCTTATCCTCCGACGCCGACGAGCTCGCATGATATAAAGGCAGCTGACTATTATTCTGCATCCCTATGTTCAGACGGAGGCGAAACAACCGAAACGGACGAAGAAAAGAACGCTACAGACTCGTTTAAAGAGAAAAAGCCTCCGGACCGAATGCAGACGGTGATTATTCATCCCGAACGCAAACAGCAGCAGCAACACCAACATACTGAACGACGGATATCCATGCCATTACTATCACAACCGCCCGCTATACCCAAGAGCAGCACTAAGACCAGCTCTACTACGATCCCACCACCCGTCACCAAAATGAAACCACTAAAAAAAGTACAGCACTGGATCATCAAAGGCAAGATGAACGGCAGTACTACCAATACTACTACTGTACTTCCGCATACAAATGGACTAGTCACTGTAAGTAAGAAAGGAGAAGGGGGGGGTAGAAAATCATCAGTGTGTATCTAAAATAGACTCATCTTATATTTCTATTCCAGCCTTCCGAAGAACGATTCAATGAACGACAACCTCTCTCCCGAAAGCCATCATGGGCAGAAGACGATCGGGTAAATAGCCCTTATATATATTCAATATGCCTTGCCTTTCCCTCTTTTCTTCGGTTTCACTTTCTCAACCTTTATTCCCAAAAGCTAATCTAAGGTTTTATTCTTAGCCTGCACCTAAAAAGAACAAACGAGGTCGACCTCCATCAAGCCAGTCCCGCCCATCGTTTCTGTCTGATGCAGCATCCGACAAAGCACGTGCAGGCGAGTCCATTGTAGCCACGGCAATGGCTGCTGCTAAAGGGAGCAGGCGTAATAGCATGCGACAAAACGGCACACCAAAAAGTAGCAGCAGCAGTAATGACTACTCTGATGAAATACTGTATTGTATTTGTCGCAAGCCATACGACATTCCACGCTTTATGATTGCCTGCGACAGGTGTGACCAGTGGTTTCATGGTGAATGCATCGGCATCAGCGAAAAGGAAGGCGAGTTCATTGACCTGTACTTTTGCGACGAGTGCTCAAAAGGTAAGGACAATAGCATTAAGATTAGATCTTTATGCTACGTTGCTTAAACTAACTCTTATCAACAGTTACAGGCAAAACCACCTCGTGGAAACCAAAGTGTTCCAACCCGGCATGTCCCAAGGCAGCCCGGATCGGATCGCATCAAGGTCATGTGTCGAAATACTGCAGCAACATTTGTGGCATGCAAGTAGCTCGTGCACGTCTTGAACTCGCTGACATTAAGCGCAATGCTGGCGGCTGTGCGGCATCCTTGGGCATTACCGACATTGTTGCTCGCCGCGAAAAGAAAGCTCGACTGGAATCTCTCTCTGACAAAGACGATCAGAAACGACTATTACGACTTCGAGAAGCAAAGCAGAGAATGAAGACTGAAATAATCACTGCTGATCGAAAACTAGCATTTCTGAAAGCTCAGGTCCAGACATCATCTCCAAGCAAAGAATTTTGCGGCTTCGATACGCGATTGCTCTGGCCTGACAGCGTATGGCATTGTGTGTGTGACGAGTTCTCGAAATCGGATAACGGTCGGACAGTAATCACCAAGTTTTCGACGCCCAATATGCATGAGGATTACAGCGTATGTTCTGAACCACGGTGTAATCGCCATTTTGGGTGGCAAAATCTCAAGATGCAGGAGTTCGAGCAAGACCGTTCCGCGCTTTTTAATTCCTTGGCAACGTTTGTAAGACAACGTAAGCAAATTAAAGCCCGAATTCGAAGACGACGAGAAGGTGCTTTGGAGGATACGACTGAATGGTTAGCTCATGCTACAATTACACATACCATTACAAAGGAACAGTAATATATAATTTCCAAAAAAACCTCTATGTACATAGTACACTTTATTCTTAATCAAATGCTGCTATCAGTCAGTTTTATATAGCAATAACTGTGTGATTCAATTATAGGTTCGTCATAATGGCATTTGCTCCTTGTTTTAAGTTTGAATTTGTAATTTATTAATATGTCAGTTTTATTATGTTTTATATGGAGTATGTGAGCGTTCCCCATGAATTGACTACCTTTCAGAGATATGTAAATGAGCTTCGCTTTATCGCTTTATGTAGCAGCAGCAAAATGAGTAGCCCATCATACTTAGGTGCTGCAGTAGTACAACAGTACAGATGAGATGGATATATGCACATTATGATTGATACATCGCTAATCTTACATTGCAATCGTGTGAACTACCTACCTAGTACCCATGACGGTCGTGGTTAAGCATGTCACTGTAAAAGTCAACTGGCTGGAGCTATTTACATATAAGATATATGTATTGTATTCTATTACATGAGTACAAAAGTAACATATGTAGTTAGAGCTCACATTCAATCCGGAAATGTTGCTAGTAAGTCCCGAAAGAGAAGGCTTCTTTATTGGCGACAACATCTATCCATTATGACGTATGATGCAAGACAATAGTAGCCATATCACCACTGTGCAATGTGCACGCATGTGCTTACCCCGCACAGCTTATTTTACGGCTCCGAAAGTACTGCTACGTTTAGGCATTTTTATTTAAGCACGCCCTTTATACCTGCCCAACCTCTCTTTCCATTGACGACACACCAAAAAGTCATAACTTGTACATATTAAACACTCTTCATACCCCCCTTCTCGCTCCTCCAAACATTTCATGTGCTCATTGCTTGCATTACTGTTACTATGGGCGACCACGATTGTAGCACAGCCACAACGCTTCGAACGCGATTATGAGAATCGAATATATTACACCTTTTACACGCCAAGTGGTGCGTCAGAAGCGGCATCCATAGTTGCTCAACAACTCGGTGCTCGGTTCGAGGGTCAAGTGGGCGAGCTACCCCAGTACTACTGGGTGAGCGAATCTCGTCACCAACTCGACAAACGAAGCGACGGCGATCTCGTCGAACGGTTTCAAAAGATTCGTGAGCGACGGAAACACGGCAATAGTGACAGTATTAACTATAATAAACGGCGGCGACGGACTGTCGACGACCTGATTGACCAGATTGAACGTGTTGATCGTCAGGTACCAAGACGACGATTGCATAAGCGAGGTGTATTACCAGTGAAACGACAGGTATTGGACGACGACAACTCTCTTTACCCGCCCGTCGTCGAGAATGTTGGTGAAGAACAGACAGCAAATCATGAAGCAGTGCCTGTAGATTGGCTACTCGATCAACCAGATGGATTCGAAACACTTAAACAGTCGTTGGGTATTGAGGATCCTGGATTCGAACAGCAGTGGCATTTGGTAAGCTAAAGCAGTAATGATTTTATGCTAGATGTATGCGCTAACAACAGGCGATAATTAATTAGGTGAATCAAGAGCAACGAGGCCATGATGTCAATGTTACTGGCGTATGGAGTCAAGGTAAACTACGCGAGGGTGTTGTCATATTACTTGCTCTTTGCTACTTGTACATTTTAAGGGGTAAAAGAACAATGTGCTAAAAATATTAGGCCAATTGAAACTATTCTTGTAGGGATTACGGGGCAAAACGTGGTAGTGGCAATTCTTGATGATGGACTTGATATGGAAAGCGAGGATCTTAAGGACAATTTTGTAAGTTTTTAGCCAAGTATCCTGCTTGAACATCAAAGCGAACGATAAGAAATTAACAAGAAGTCGTATACAAGTTTGCTGCAGGGTCCTACGATTTTAATGCGCGGACTGAATTACCAAAGCCGAGGTTAGAAGATGACAATCACGGAACTCGGTGTGCCGGGGAAATAGCGGCTGTTAAGAATGATGTCTGTGGTGTTGGCATGGCTTATGGCGCGAAAGTTGCTGGTAAACTGTGGGACAATTATTGTCTCTTTCGTATATCTGTGTTATTGCTAATTACTTCCGTGCTATGTGACAAATACTAGGTATTCGAATACTGTCGGAGGATATCACTGATGCGGAGGAAGCAGAGGCTTTAAATTACAAATACCATGACAATCACATTTATTCTTGCTCATGGGGCCCACCGGATCTGGGTGAAGTAGCGGAAGCACCTCAGGGAATTGTATTAGATGCCATTGTCAACGGTATACAGAAGGGTCGCAACGGGAGTGGTACAATTTTCGTATTCGCGTCTGGGAACGGTGGTGCCAATGACGACAACTGCAACTTCGATGGATATACGAATAGCATGTACACGATCACCGTGGGTGCCATAGACCGACTTGGCAATCATCCGTATTATGCCGAACGATGCTCAGCACAACTTGTGGTGACTTACTCGAGTGGCAGTGGAGGCCATATCTACACCACAGATGTTGGACGCAATGTATGCTCTTCACGCCACGGAGGAACTTCAGCAGCTGCTCCGCTAGCAGCGGGCATTTTTGCTTTGGTGTTGTCGGTACGGCCCGATCTCACCTGGCGCGATATGCAGCATTTGTGTGTGCAAACTGCGGTACCTGTTTCGATCGAGGATTCGGACTGGGACACTCTACCCTCAGGCAGAATGTACAACCATAAGTTCGGATACGGAAAGCTTGACGCCTACGCCATTGTTGAGCACGCGAAAACGTTTGAAAACGTTGGCCCACAGACGTATTTGCAACTTTCCCTGGCACCTGCTGATAAGCAAGATATACCCGATCTGACGGATCTTTCAGGCAACGTGGATAAAAATGATGCATTAACGAGCACCATTACTGTCACTCAAGAAATGGTTGATGCGGCCGGATTGGGTCGCATGGAGCATGTCACCGCTACCGTCAACATCGAACATGGACGAAGAGGTGATCTAGAAACTTTGCTGGAAAGCCCAAGTGACATTGTCAGTCAGCTAGGAGCTTCAAGAAAGTTTGACGCAAGCACGGAGGGTCTCGTTGACTGGACATTTATGACTGTCAAGCATTGGTATGTAACTATTATACATTGATACTCGCTACTCTACTACAGCTTCAAATAAAAACTAATACTCATGTATGGAAAATACAGGGAAGAAAATCCTGTTGGTAATTGGACTTTACGGATTGTGGATGGTAAAAACCCTCAATTTACGGGCAAGTTTATCAACTGGACATTGACTATATGGGGCGAGATGGCACCTGGATTTGAAAGCATTCCTGTACATACACCAATCCAAGATGATCAATTCAATAATCCGACTCTCGCTCCAGGCGAGTACGACCCTGATTCACCTATTGGAAACGATGATAGCGACGTCGAGAACCTTGACTCCGCTGATCCCGAACAAGAATCATCAATACCACCAAACAATGGCAACGGCGGCAGCCCATCCTCAAACCAGGATGAAGCTGCTGTGTCACCGCAGCCTATAATACCCACACTACTTGATACACTGGACCGGCCACGCGACGACCATCGAAGCTTTTTTGCATACATCATTGGCGTGCTGCTTGTCGTTGTCGTTGGCGGAACAGTGGCAACCATTGTCCGAAAACGACTCGCTGCACAGCAGCCCGCATCACAGACGACAGCTTATACAGGCGTCAATCGACACGATGCAGATCAATACGAATTCGACGTCCTTCGAAATCATAGCCGGCGACATCATTATCCCCAACACCCCCCATCACTAGAGCGCGTTTCTGAAGAGGCGGAAGACGATGTCGTCAACGAAACGTCAACTTTTATCCCTACTACTAGTGTCAGCACGAGCAGCAACAGTAGCACACCTACTAGCAATCCCATGTCAAAACGTCAAGCATCATCTTTTAAAAAGTCATCAGCAGACGTAAAGGGCAAAGCCGTCCTGCGTTCACCATCTTCAGCATAGTTTAATTCTCCTTCTTTTTGTAATGTAAAAATAGTATAACTTTCTTAATACATCTCTTTCATTTAATAAATTGTGATTTTCATGTTTGTCTTTATACTCTGGTGAGGTGGTACAAGTCTCCTTTTGCATTGACTGATGCTAAATTATACGATAAGCATCATAAGCATCAGCAAGAGTGCGTGAGTATAGCTGTAAATAAACATTAGCAGATAATGCTAAATTATGTCTTCGTTTTCTTGACTCATAACCGTTTCACACAAAATCCCGTACTACTGAAGCAGTCTCAGCAAGAAAGCTTCCGTATCATATGTATGGGTATATGCTATACGGCAAAGGGAGGGATGGCTTCGGAAAACAGGGCAGCTGAGCCAACATTTACACGAAAAGACGTTGATATGATTTCCAATTGATTCATCTCTTTGCGAGCATAGTCATACCTCTAATAACACCATAACATCATCATAGAACACTCACTACATAACCCTTGGGATTAATTTAGCGACTGCGAAAAATATTAAATATTAAGTTGTAATTAGTACCGTCGAGAGTCCTATGTAGAAGTAAATCACCATGATATCTAATTAAGCCAAATCGGTGGAGCTGTCTGTGACTATGATGGGCTGGTCAGCCGCAAGATTGAGGCGTTTTGTATGAGCCTACAGTTATAGGAGCAATGGTGTGCAGTTACTCTACCACATTTTTATCCTTCCTTTTTTCGTACACGCCCTTGCTTTTGTTTTTAGGTAAACACTTCTTTTTTTTTGCAATATAAAAGATTAGGTCTTATTCGAACCCTCACGACAGTCGAAACTATACTTTAAACTTTTATGTATAAGACTTGCTCAGCTTAATTCATCAAACAAATGCAAGTATTACCGAAAGTAACACTACGCAAAAAGCCACTGCTGCATAAGCTCGGGAAATGTGAACGAAGACAAAACTGGATGATATGTATGTGGATGAACAATTTACAGTTGCAACCAACGATTGTATGCATCCTGGTGAGGAAGATTTGTAGCAAAAGAGCGATCAGTTACTGCGCCGCACAAGTGGTACGGGTAAAAAGAAAGCTAAGTTACTGTAAGCAACGATAAATAGGTGGATATCCTGTAAAATCTATGATGTTGGCTATTTATCTGTCATGGGCTAATACCGTCGGTCGGTTTTTTACCTATATTCGTTAATTTGACAAGACGGATTATGTATGCGAGATGGAACATAATAGTGGCTTGGGAGTAGTTTTATGGCTGGGCTTATGATAGCTTTTTTAACTGTTGACCGGCTAAAAGCAGGATATATGATCCCCGTCTTGGGAGTGCGCAAGAGCAGAAGTGGATTGCTGCGGACAACAACAGCTTAATCACAAGTAAAAGATTGGGTGGAGGCAGGGCTGAGAATAAGAAATCACTTATTACTGTCAAATTGCTAACAGTGCTAGTTTTTCGGTTGTTTATTCCACTGTTGGAGGGGACGTCTGAAAGTCTCACCCCGGAACATTTCGTCTGGTTCTGGCACTTTTTGTGATATACAGTATTATAATATACATTAAACAATTTAGCAATTATATCGTGGTATTGTGCTTAATAAATATGATTTATTCAACGAAGTAGTAGTAGTACATAGTACCTGTTGGCAAATTCTTGGTCGGTGACGCCTTGGTGTTTTGCTGCTGTGGAGGAGCGCAGTGTTGTGAAGAAGAATATCGTTGATGTCTATGCTGATTTGTTGTTGATGGATTGGATGGATACTGCGATGTGTTCATGGCTACTGGTGGGGAAGGGCTGCCGATTGAGCTGCTATCCGTTGTTAAAGGCTTTCTCAGGATAATACATGAGAAATAAGAGAGTGAATCCAGAATTGGGGAGAAAATGGTGCTATCGAAGGTGCGCGTTCAATGTATCATATATAACTTTGGGCCGCATTTAATATGCCGTGTCAGGGTAATAAACGTGCTTATCCACCGCATTCTAAATTAGGCTCTCGATTCAGCTTCCTCTTCCACAGACTGTAGACATATATTGTTTTTGCTTACCAAAATTGCTAATTGTGAGTGTGAAAATCAGATTAATTACTAGACCAGATCAGTCTTTGCCAAGGTTGAGGTTAAAAAGTACTGATTAAGATCGTCGCCACCTATCTCGCTTTTCGCTTTGTGCTTGACTCATATAACACAACTTACCACCAGTTTAAGAGTTTGCTGCATACTATTAGATACAATGTAGCGAAAAAGCTTTTTTTGTCTAATCGACTAACATAGAAAGAGACCAGTTGGGTAATGCAGTTCTGGCTAACTACTACTAGTATTAGTACTACTACTGCTATTACGTAGCAGCACACTTGCTGTCGGGATAAAATTGCGGATGAAAGCTCCGGGATTTCCGGAGGTGAGGGGTTCGAGAGTTCTCTGAACTTTTACAGCAATATATAGTTACTGCTCCCTTGACGAGTAAGATGAGTTCATCTACGTTGGATTCAGTTTGGGCAACGCCTTCGGATCGCAAAAGAGCAGATGAAGGATTACCAGCTACACATTACACAGAAGCATTACGAGTAAACAAGGATTTACACCCCGAATCGTCGTCTACTTCTCCATCGTCAACACCATCACCATCATCACAGGCAGCACCGTCCACTTCAATACATACGCCAACACCACCTGAACCGACATCAAGCACTCTTGAATCTCGTTGGGCTACGCCATATGACACATACAAGGCTGAGCGAGGTATGGGGGTGACCAAATACTCGGAATCGCTAGCTACAGGGCAAAACGACTTGCATCGTCGAGAGCAACAGCAAGTATCGGTGAAATGGGGCGATCAGGGCACCCAAGTACTGCAAGATACTCATGGGTGGCAGTCTGCGAGCAACAGTGATGGCAGTCGTTGTGGCCGAGATAATTATAATAGTAGACGTGACGGTGGCAGCACCAGCACCAGCAGTAGTAATAGTCCCTATGATCCGTCCCAACGACGATCATGGAACGCTCAGCAGTTACGATCACGAGCCCCATACTTACAAGCTCGTAGAGATGAAGATAATTTGAACAATTTATCGCCACAACATTATCAGCAACAACCACAGCCTTCAGCTCAACAATATGAACCGGGATCTGCACACCCATGGAATATGATAGCGATGAAAAACAGGGTGCCCACATCAACAACAACAACAAACAACAATGGTACAACACGATCGTCGACACATCAATACAATCAAGACCCTTCCTCCTCTCCATATCCGTTGTGTAACGCACAAGTGGAGCACAAGATCACTACTTCTGCCGATACCTCTGTACCATGCAAATCGTATAAAGAATGGACTAACGAAATACGACAAAAGCTAGAAAAATACGCAGATTGGAAAGAAGGCAATGATTTTATCAATTCGCACCCGTCGTTGTGGGAAGGAGGAGATAACAGTTGGTGGAGCGAGCAGGATTTACAAACTTCTCAGGGCAATGATACAACAACAGGAGCCACTGACAACAAAGCTGCATCTCCTTCGAGGTCATGTATTACAGTATCACAGCAGCCTGCCCAAAGTAACTATTATGACAACAGTTCCGGTGCATATAACGACACAAATACTGCAAGTACTGGCATTGACAATACATATGGTACGACGACGACGACTACGGAAAACCAATCAACATGGAATCCTGAAGCATACAAGCCATGGGATGATGATGATGATGATAAACCGGCCCCACAACAGCAACGGCAAATAGCGCAAAATTACGGTGCACATACTCGGGTATCATCGTCCAACAGCAACCCTCACTATGATTACAACAGAATGTCTGGGCCGACACTATCTCGGTCGTCATCCTGGAATCCAGAGGAAACGAAAAAATCCTGGGATGAACCAGTTTTACAACAAGCTATTCAAATTAGTAACCCGATCGACACGCCGATTGGAAGCGGTGGTATACGATCACCAAATGGAACCGGATCGGTAGCAGGAAATTATCAGAAAAGTACAGATAGACCGATGTATGGAGCGCTTGTACGGCAGCATTCGTCCCCGGGATCATCGAGTCCCTCTGATAGTTACAACGGTGGTGCATCACCACAATGGCAGCAGTTTAAACAAGATCGACGATAATTTTCGTCACCATACATCATAATCACCATGATTCTTTTTCAATGAACCATGGGATTGCAGACTATAGATATACTATACCAACATCAATAAGCAATCGTCCTTTTTTAACTCTCAAAGAAAGTTTTGCTGTCAGAATACAACCCCCCCCCCGCCTCATTCCTGCCCATTTCCACAATAATATATTTCTTATATAGCATCATTTTTTTGAGCATACGCACACACAATCAAATCAAGATTTTACTTTTTTTTATATTTAGTAAATCCAATAACTGGTAACGCATACATTCCAAGGGTAAAACAGAAACGATTTCTATCACGCTGCGTTAAAGTCTAGTTTATAATGGTACAAGAACATTAAAAAAGCAATAGAACAAATGTTGATCAATATTATATCTTAGGGAGCTCCGTCTATTCAGAAGACTTCCAAAGTTCGGGAAGCACCTTTGGTAGGTCGTGGATAGTGCCAATTTGATAATCACCATGATTTGATATTTCTGGATTATCCGCTACATGCACAGCTGTCCATCCGAGAGACTAATAGTAAGCGATCTCATCCATTAGCTCATCCGATATGGGCAAACTTTTGCCATACACTTTTGATATTTCCAATTTATTGTCATTACCTTTGCAACGTCAACGTTGGCAGCAGAGTCATCAACGAGATAACACAAGCTTGGATCTGTGACGCCAGCTTCTTCCATTGCTCTTTTGTATGCCGCGGCCTCTGTTTTGATAGAATCTATTTAGCAGAGTCATTTTATCATATTACGCCATATGTTGACATACCAGGTTTGCAGACAAAGTTTGGTACTCGGTAATCAGCAAAGGTCATTCCTGGAAAACGATACAGAATTCCAGTCAGATGATTAATTACTTTTTGATTAGTTGCCTAATGATGTATCTAACCTTCAAACTGATCATCGATCCCCAGGAGCTTTATGCAGCGTTCAGCATGCTAACAGAATAAAAGATAGAAATGTAAGAATAATTATTGCGTACCCTTCTCTTTTTGCAAGAACTCTTTTTCCTTTTTACCGGATAATAGGCATTGGTAAACACCCACTTTCTCGTCGACGTCAAACCGGCCAGCATCTCTTTCAACACTGGATCAGGCTTAAGTATATCTTCAAGTGGAAGGCCACCATCTACTTTACTATCTGTCCTCACCCCAAAAATTTAATTCTCGTGTTACATTGTAATACTGTATCCAAGAAGGAAAAGACAAGCGTACCATATTCCAAAGGATCAACATCGTGATGCTTTAATAAACCACGTAGCGCTAGACCATAATCCGAAAAGTATCGGTTTCGAAGTTCTTGAGCTGATTTAAACATACATGCAATTCATATAAGATTTGTGCGTTTGCGTGCGCATTAATCCAAAACCATCACCATAATAGCGCAGCTTCTCTGTACCTTCTTTATCGGATATTCCCATATTTACCATATACTCGACGATTCTAATAAGACGGAAGGAAAGTTGAGTGATTAGTACCTTCTACGGTTCGTCTGTTCTCTATATTCGTCGAGCATTGTATGCACCTTTGTCTCATGAGCTGGAGAATGCCAGTGTTTTTGTGCTATTATACAAAGTCTAGTGTTATACTACTATTGCTGCTAGGTTCATACTGCGGCCTCTTGCCCGCCGGCTTTTTTTTAACTGTTGTTGTGGCAAAAGCTTACGTAGAGACAATTGTCGCAATCGAAGAAAAAAACGGGCTTATCAATAGTCATTGCTCTGGTACTTAATAGCCTTTGGGTCAACGAACGAATGGGTAACATGAGCTCAGCTAAAAAGAAAGCTCAAGGTATCACTAAACCGAAAGATAATGTACCTGGGATACTAGATGGAGTTGCCTCGGGATAAATATGATCCGCTGGTGAAACCAAAGACGTGAGGAGTAGAAAAGAAGTTAATGCTGAACCACAGCAGTGTTTCAAATAAAATAGATACAGCCAGAAAATTTGAGTTTCATGTATGACTCATCTTTTGTATACATACACACTGGTGATCACAAACAAGTGCACGCTCGCTATATGTACGATATTCTTCTACATCATTCAGCATCAAGTATCACACTCCACAAGTATATGAATATATGAATCGTCGAAAAGATATTTCTACTTAGTTTATTAAACTGCAAATTCAAATCTCGCCAAAAGACACATGTGGTCACTACCAAAGTTTCTATTTGGTAATGAGGGCTTCATCGACTCCTCCGGTGGTAATACCAGAATCTCAGTAGCCGCTAATGATGCTTCGTCCCTTCGCAGCAACATGTAGTCCAATGTGTTCTTAAAAGCCGCTGTATAGTTTGTAAACTTGGGTTCACCTGAGACTGGATCCGAGGTATTGGGGTCGATTGATCCATGACAGCTGTATACGCTATGCCATGCTTCAGGTGCTTCCTTGTGCACGATTGCTATGAGCTCAGATGTGGGCATAGTGTTACTGCTTGTTTCGTGATCAACTGCTTCCGATGGTTCATCTTGCTCTGCCGGTGCCTCCTCTGTTGCTGCTTCTTCTTCACCATCGCTGCTCTTTTTCATCAATGATCCAGGGTTTTTACGAGAATCTTCTAATTGTTCTTCTTTTTCAGGTGGTATACGAACCATGGTAATAGCAGAAAGGCTAGCACCTGTAGGATTCATGTTAAAGTCTGTTTCATGTAGTGTAAATAGAATATAGAAAAACATTATCATTAGCTAGCTGAGTGATACCAGTGTTTGCAATTAGAAACGGTGCTGGATGGTTTCTCTCCTTCTTTACCTCCTATGGGCATAGGTACCCATTGCGTATCTGGTTCGGCTTCTTCTAGCGATTTTTTAACGCTGATAATTTTATCAATATACAAAGTTGCTTGTCGTACCCGCTCATAAATTGCAACAGGTCGCCAATACAAGTGGGTATTACCGACGACTAAGCCGAAATTTGGATGATCGACGTGTCGTAAGCCCATGACTTGACCAATATTGCTTGTGATCCATGTTTTCGGGCACTTCGCATTGTCGTCGTAATCCACAGTTTCGTATTTTGTCATTTCAAAAACTTTAGGATTATAGGCAATAAGGAGACCTATAAGCATACATCCCCATTTACAAGTTAGAGTCAAAGAATCAGGTTAATCTCGTAATTGCTGCTATTAAAATATCTGAATGCACAACGAGATTGCCTCCAATGAGCTAGTTTTTCTTACCATGAAGTTTTTTATCATGTTTGGTATATTGAGCGTTGTATCCTAGCCTTTCAAGGATGGGTTTATAATACTGTTCATAATTGTCCACCTCTACAGTCCCGACAATAACCGAATGATGATTGTTAATAGCTTAATTTCTTCCTTTCTTCACTAAGCGATAAAATGATCTGAAAGCATTCTACCTTGTAGACACATGACATCTGGTTTATATAGTTCTAGTTCGGCCGATACCATATTCCGACGTAGTTTCTATATATCATCAAATTATTGATACAATAATTTACAGGAGTGCATGGTGATAGAAAATAAGGACGCTACGTACCCATTTAAGCATGTCACCTGAATCGGGAAACAGCTTGCGTTTTACCAGACACTGTCCCAATATCTAATAATAGCAGTATTGACAGTCAACGCGACTTATGTGAGCATCATGCTTATTCGCGTGAATAGTACTTGAGAGAAAAGAAAAGGAGGGGAGAGAGGTGATCCCTTACGTTGAATGACATTATAGTGAATGTTCCAAGTGGCGGTTTTGCCAACTGCTTGCGATTAGGAATGACATGGAACGATCGTACGAAAGGTTTTGGCTGTTGTTGTTGTTGTGTCTGCTGCTGGTTTTGGCTAAGCTTTTTTTGTTCCAGCTTTTTGGCCTTCTTCTCTTGTTTGAGTTTTTCGATATCAAATTGGTCCTTGCCCATGGTGATAAAAGGCGATCGTTTGATCTTTCTTGATGTATATTAAGGGTTTGGTGCTTTTATAAGAACATAGGCTTTATGCGGAGTTGTTGCTGATCCTTTCAAGTTTGTGCACCGTGTACATCCACGATGCGCTACCGCAGCGCAATGTCGTAGAGGCGCAGTTTAGCTGGAATTCGTGTTACTCTAAAACTTCATATCAGTACGAGAAAGGCTGCGCCCAACCGAACCATTTGCTGCGTATTTTGTGATGCTGTGCCGAAGGGGACTGAGAGAAAAAAGGAAACATGTTACGAGAGTAAGTATTATTGATTTTGTTTGTCAATATCAGCTGATATGCATTCACCATCATCCACTACATTTGACGGTTGTGATTAAACCAGCAATATTGATATATGTGGAGAATCATTGAGTTAAAGATGTCAATTGACTATACCGCTGTGAATAGCCCGCGGCAAGATAAAAGATGATGATAGATTTTGATGGCAATTATACTAGTGTAAACCTAACTATCAGCTTTATTTCAACAAAGCTTAGTGATAAACGGAAGGCACTGTCTCGTCAGTATATATATTCCCCAGCTTGGATGAGATTTCATGTGCATCATCCTTCAACACACCTTTCTAAGCTTTCTTCTTGTTATTATCAGCAACCCATCTCTAAACCAATATGAAGCCTGCTGTTTTTGCCTTGCTCTTTTCTCTGGCTCTCGTTCTGATGCTCACTCTCTTCCAAACGGTGGATGCTGGCGGCCATGACGAGGGTTATGACAAGGTCTATGATTACTGGGGTCACGGTAAAGATGGATACGGCTATGGATGGCACCACGGCTATGATGGAAAGCATCATCATGGTGGTCATCATCATCATCACCATCACCATCATCACCACCATCACCGTCGTGACTTATCTGACTCTGCTTCATCGAGCGCTGTCGAGAACGAAGGGTAAATGTCCTCAGATTTTATTTTATCTGTTGTCTCTAAATTCCTAATAACCTTGCTATATATAGTACCACGATGTAATGGAAGCACCCGTCATGCCAGGACGGCCCACCAGCAAGAATTTATATCAACAATTCTTTGTTATTCTTCTCCACAAACTTCCAAATTACTCTTTTTCTTCATTCCCATGGAAATATATCAATTCTATCTATCTGATGGTCCTCTTTAAATAAATGATATTACTCAATATGTTGCGGTGTATGATAAGTGGGTAAATGGGGAAGGAAAAGAAAATGTATAACATTCTAAATTTAAATGTGCAATAAGTTCATCCACATACATATTTTCAATGATTGTCAGGACAGAATAAAGAAAGAGCATAATAAAAATTATTTTTATCGACTTCTCGTCAAGGTACATATATAAAATCATTATTTTCACACACCGTGTACTGCTGTTGCTGCTAAAATTCTATCCTATTTTGTACTGCAATCATACATTCTTGGAGATTCGGGAAAAGAGTAGTTAAATCGCGATCGGTTATCCGTATGCGTCGTATGGTTCCTCCGCAATAGTGGTGTAGCAGCTGAAGGATATCTGCGACGCCTTGATCTTGAGGATGAAAGAATTCACCATGAACTTGCACCGGTGATAATACTATCTCTTCTAAGCCCTTATTTACTGGGAGAATGTAGTCCTCAAGGAGATGCTGTAGGACATGGAGATTCGGATGAGCAGAGCCAGTCAAATCGAGGACGCGAAGATTGTGACAGGTTTGAGACATCCATTGATAGAGTGGGGCTCCCAAAGTTGTTCTATGGTTTAGTATACGCAGTTCACGAAGACTGGCAGGAATAAATTTGAAGATACAATTCACTAGAGGCGGCATGTCAATTGATAGCACCGGATCAAAGAGTAATTCCTCGCTACTACAGTCGTGGAGCTCGAGCGTCTTGAGTCGTTTGGACCATTGGATAAAAAGCGGGAAAAGCTTGACTATGCGAAACAGTCGCAGCGTAGTAAGCCTAGGGAATAACATGCCTGCGACTTCGAGGGAAACTGAGTCGTCAGTCAGTACAAGATGCTCTATGATATCGGCATATTTCTGTGCTGTGTGGAGATTGGCGCGAGTGATCTGGGCATGATTGCGGTAAAGATAGTGAAGTGCATAAGGATTGAGCTTTTTCACACAGGCTGATTTGATTAGTGAATTCCGATCATCTTGGAGATAGCTCAGAATTTTAAATGAAAGCTCGGTAGGCAATTTTTTAAGGGGAAACATAGTAGAGCGTTGGGATGATTTTGGAATGTGAGGAAAAAGCCTTTGATGTGGTGATATATATCTAGCATGTCGCCCATTTTATATCCAAATATAAGAGCATTTTGTCATTGTTTTTTGATATAATCACAAGCGATGGCAACCATTGTTGGAACATTATGTAAATAATGACACTTCTTAAGCTCATTGGGTCATCGTATAACTTATAATCCGTGAAAATTGTATTTGGCTCGCTTACTATTTGACACTTAGTTAAAGTAATGCCTATGTTATATACACATACGTTCTGCTACTACAGTACGCATATATCAGCGGTATACTGTAACAATAGCTCGCTTTTATGTGATGCTTACTTTTACCACAATAGTACATAGCGTAGTCACTGTGTAAGTATCATAATCGATAGTACAGCAAGATATTAGCACAAAGAGTTTGTAAATTTTAAAGATTGAACGTCTTCCATTTTCTGCTTTTCGGGCTATATATCACTGTATACAGTTTGTACATATGAGGCGATGGTCCATTGTTTGCTGCATATGAAGCTCATGTTACAGCGCTGTTTTATTTTTGTCTTCCAAGATGCATATGTCGATCTTAATCGTCGTAATGCTTGCGATCGATGCATGTCACGACATAAGGGCTTACAGCTACTTTATGCAGATGTTTTTCATCGTTTCTCTACCTTTTTAGTACTATACTGTAAAGGAAACGATGCGGTGCTGGTCATATTCTACGAAAACGGAGACAAATACAATACGATTCAAAATGGCAATCACTTTATTAACTTGCTTCGATTCGATGACTAGAGGGATTATATGTATGGATATTAGTATACGCAAAGTCAAAGAAAACAAAATAAAACTTGATGTAAATGACGAGTTGGGAGTCCTAGGGTATTTACAGGAAGAAAAGATAAAGCCGCTACGTGATGAGGATAATAATGACGATAAGCCGATGTCAAGTGTTTGTCGCCATGCTCGTTTTGTTTGAGTGTGTACGCTATTATTTATGAGCTGTCTTCTGATGTGAGCACCCGGTAGAGAGAAGGTAGCCAGTCTTCATTATGGGATGTTGTTTCCAATACAAACTTCCACTCCTCAGCCTTGTTCTTGAGCTGATCCACAATTGAATCAAGCAACTCATCAGGACATTCATCTGCCTTGACAAAGCACACCAAGTTGAAACGTTTCAAAGGAACGCGGATATCGGCTAGGAATTGAGGTATCTCGCGAACATGCACATTTCGACATGCAGCGATAGTCACTTGTTCAAATACTGTCAAAGATTCGCCCATAATGTTGAGCAGTTTGCCATTGAGCACGTCCACATCATCCAATTCTAGACTCTTTAGGTTCTTTTGAACCGCAGGACTTTGGATGAACCGGATAAAGCCGCTTTCGGACAGTGTGGTACAAGATGAGAGTCTGAGTTCACCGAGCTGCTTCATATCTGCAAGGCAGCTGAGCACGCTGTCGTTCATCAGGTTGGATATCGAAATGTCTGCGCGTCGCAATTCAGTGGCCTGACGCAGAAAGGCACATAAATCTTTGGTCAAGTCCGGTACCTCACCAGGAGGCTGGTCGTCTAGGTTGACAAGAATCAGGTTTCGCAACTTTGGGAACGGTAACCGAGCCCAGTGTGAAAGCGTCATTCTGCCGAGAGGCTCGTATCCCTTGATACGTAGTAGACGTAAAGTAATGTGATGTTTTGCGATCACCGGGTGTAAGGCGTCTGCATCTGTAAAGCGGTCGTCCCCATCGACCACCAAGAACTGAAGGCCTTTGCCAGGATGCGTGTGTGCTTCACTCCATCGAAAGTTGTCATCGTGGCCATCATGGATCTCGATGAGTTCAATCACGTGGCAGTTGTAAGCAAGGGCGTGTAGCACGGCAGTCGCGTCGTCGCAATCTAATGCATTGAGACTCACTCGGCGGAGCTTGGGGAGCAGGTGTAAGAGCAGATGCATGGACATCGGTCGACCGTTGCCAAACATTTCGATGGTGAGTTCTGCCAAGTTCTCGTGTGGCAGGTGCATGCCCGGTTCAAATAAGCACCAGGGCTCGTCCTCAATGGACTCGTCCGTTTGGGTCACCACCGCGCGGTAGACAAAGGTCACCAAATTGGGAAGTTGCCGAAGAACCACTGTGGGAATCATGTATGTATCCGTAGTCAGTTTGTGGATATACAACAGATCGAGTCGTGCCAAGGAAAACTGGCTAATTGATGTAAACTTGTATAGCATTGACGTTGGCCAAAAGTCAATCATCAAGACCGCTTTCGCAAAAGGAGTGGACGTATATGAAGAGTAATATTATAGGATAAGCGATTTGTACATCAAGTCATACATATACCCAATAACAAAGGAAAGAAAGTAAAGCTGGTGTGACAGACATATACGTTTCTTGTATGGTACCTTCTTTAATGCTATTACAATTGTGCTCGATCAAAAAGTTCAAGGTTACCATAGCATGGATAGCCTTATCACGCGGTGATCGTTGCTGACCACCGTGTGTGTTAATGCGGAACCGTTGCACTGCACTGCTAACCAAATAAGGAGTGTAGGGTTGTAATGTGGATATGCTTTGGTATCCATGTTCGTTGGATATTTCATGCCACAATCCGGACCAACTCAATATCTTTGATCGCCAACTACGACACACTCTTGTGCAACGAATACATTCTCGAAAGGTCAGCTTGGAGTAGATCTTATGCCAGATCTCCGAAGGCAATTCGGGCAACATTAGGTACTTTATTTTTCGTGACAATGCAAACGGGGGCAATGGCACGATTGAGCAAGTGTTTATGAAGAAAACAGAAAAAGTAGCGTGGTGGGAGAGGGAGGGGAAGGGGATGTGTTGTTGAGAGGGAGAACCTAAAGAAGAAATAGACAATTGTCATTTTCGTTTAGTATGTTAAATGATGTTATTTTTTCTCTACTAGTGTTATTCTATGTATTTAATCCTAGTTACGTGTGCGGTACGCATACGCAAGCTCATGCTGTCATGGGCTCTGCTAAAAGCTTTCTATTTTCGAACTATACTCTTTGAAGCAAGGGGATCGTCGCAGAACGTCATAATTTCTTTTATTTTTTTGTTGCTTATAAGCCTAGCCCAACACAATCGCACTAGTATTTCTCCGTCGTAATCTCGACCCTCATCTATACAATACAGCCCGGTCACAGACAGATAAGAAAAACAAACTGCAATTTATTCTTATTTGGACGGTAGGAAAGAGAGAAACAGCCGTTAGATTAAGCTATTGTACAATTCTTACCACGAATATTTATGGTGTTTTTTTAAAGAAAAAGACGACATATGGCTCATGTTATTTGATCTATTGCTCAATTAGTCTGCTATCGTCATCAAGCAGACATGTCGTGTAACTTGTACATATATCAATCAACCTTCAATATAATGCGTAGCCTCGATATATAAGAAGACTGCATCAACGGTCAGAATTTTCCGATGAGCAAAATACAGCACCAAAAATGGTTGTAGCTAGATAGGGACCTTTTTTTTTGTTGGCCTTTCATTAAAACAAGGAGAATGCTATACGCGTTCCTCAAAGTTATAACAACGAAAATTATGCAAGAAGGGGAGGGAGAAAGATTGAGCTACTTTACGCTAAAGAAGCACGTGATTGAAATGTGGACACCAACAGATAAAGTCGTGTAAAGCTTCAAACGGCTTATCAGATAATCCTTCTGTTATTTTATGCTAATGAAATACTGTCAAAATTTATACTGGGTAAAACGGGTATGTATAAACGAAAAACACCAGTAAGATTAGTAATAATTGCATCATCTTCTTCATCATTTATTACAAGCACTGCAGAAATGATTGCGTGTAGAAGACGAATTACATTATGTACCGGTAAAATACTTTTTGTGCTTCTAGTTAATTTAAGCATATCTGTGCCCGAGATATCACTTAATGTAGCGCTCGCGTCACTGATCATCAGTTACCGGATAGTGTAACCTCTTACATTAGCATGACGTTCTCCCAAACAACACAGCCAGTTTTTTTGCTTCTTCTTCTTCAGCATCGAATAATTATAAAAAAAGGTGGGAGGAACGTGAACCTAGAGGTACTGAGTCCTTACGAATTTCCTTTTTGTCGCGCATGAGCATCATTATATACTGTACCGGCAATCTTATTATAAGTGTAATGTTTTTTCTAAAAACTTGAAAGTTGAAATCAACATTATCCTCGTTGTAACTATGCATGATGTATGAGCTTTTAACGGACAAACAGCATGGTACGCTGCTATCTAAAACAAAAAGTGGCGAATATACAATATACAAGACTCTATAGCTCCTGACCATTACTATTGCTGCCGTCTTCGTCGTCGTCATTGTGACATCCATCACAATCTATCTATACAATAACTTTATCTCAATTTCTTAACTTTGTGAAATGTCATACAAATTGTTGTAATGCAGACATGAGACGAGCTTCTCGCCCTTATTATATGTATGCGTTAGAATATTAAGTAGTATGCTCGAGGTGTGGTTGCATGTTCCCGCGCTTGTATGAAAAGGAGTTGCCATCAGTGACCCCGTTGGTCCCCCTCACCCTCTTCGTCTCATGTTGAAAAGCAGATAAACAGCATGGAGATACCGACTTGAAAACTTGTGTTAAAACGTCTTTTAAGAAGCTTGCCAATCTCACCACTCCGTGAAAGAAATTATATGACCTATTGGTTGAGCTTTTTGGCAATGGTTCTAGTGGATGAAAAGTGAAGGCATCATTTGCTTGGCTCAATGCACTATTGCTTCTCACTACATCCGTCTCTTAGTAGTATGCTGTGAACATAAAAGAAAGAAAAAATTACACATTATATTAAATAGTATGAGGAACGCACTATTTTACTTAGAAATGACTTCTTTAAGAGTATATCAATAGCCGACATCATACATAATCACTAAGGGCATTATTATGTTTTGAAGGCGATCTATCAAATTTTTGACCACACAGCAGGTAAGTCTTGAACTCAGCAGCAAGCAGGATTTTCGTCGTTGCTTCCCTTTGTTACACCTTGAATCGAACTATGGCTGCGATCACTTCTGGCAGAGACGATTTTGACTCCATTTCAGAGGTAAGTACACATACATGAACGATTGCTTGTAGAAAAAAAAAGAAGAATAAACCACTCAAAGTTTCTTTCCACCATGGATTTATTCAGGGTTGTTTCTTAATCTTGCCTCAAACACAACGTGCAGGAACTCAATCGAAATCAACAGCCGGTCAAAAACGCAAACGAACGACGAGAAAAAGTAATAAAAGAGAAAGAGAGTGGCTGTTTATACATTGGACAAACGATTTGACGCAACCCATTTTTATCTTTAGTCCAAGGCAAAGTAGCGCGTCGACATGTGGACGAACAACACCATGTACCTTACCAAGGATTCGAACAACTTTTCGGTAACGAAGAATCGACTGCTTGTATGAAAATGCGACGAATTGCTTTTGAAGAAGCCTGGACACAGACACAAACTATTATCAATGTAAGACGAACACCGAAATCTCCATGTGCCAATAGCCAGTTACTAAAGAAGCAATAATTAGGATATCTTGTTGGATATGAATCGAGCTGCATTGAACAAAATCGCATCATTCGTCGAGACTTCGCCAAATAGCGCTTCTCAAGGGTAAAGTTGTCAACAAATAGAAATTAAGCGACATGTTATACTGATCACTTGTGCTGTTTTAGACTCGTCCATTTACCGTTTCATGAGATACCCACGGGCCTTGTTTTTGCTGGTCAGTTCCTTATCTGTTTTGCAGACGAAGAAAAAGAGAGCAAGAGGGAGGGCTGGAGGATAAAAGGAGTCGAGTATTAACGTGTGATATGTGTGCATGTGTGGCTGGGAAACGGATAATAGGTATCAATACGCCAGATCACAATGCACAATTCAAGCAGATCGCAAACAAGTTATCGGAAAACAACAGTAACTTTGTGGCGCTGTTACAATCCAAGGACTGCAATAACCTGAAAAATATGATGAAAACGATGATTGAGCAGTTTTTATCCATTGATGCCGAACCTTCGGGAAAGGAAAAAGAGGATCGACAAGAAACGGAACATGATGATGAAATTAGCGAACAAGAAGAAGATGACGTCGACGAGGATGAACATGAGGTAATCTTGAATGATAAGCATCACAGAAAGCGAGGAAAATCAAAAGTTACTTTGTGTATTCACATGCATGGCGCGTGTGTTGTGTATAGGGGACAACATTGTCATCAGCACTGCTTACGGGTACTACTGCTCAGTCAGGCAATTCAACATTTGAAATCAGCAGCGGTGGTGGCGGCACTAGGATGAAGAAACGGGCATCCAAGCTTCCTCCATACGATATGCAAATTCTGGAAGCATGGTATCGGCATGTGACCAATGTGAAGAAAAGCAACCATCCACCACCAAACTTGGTGGTGGTATTGCAGGATTTAGAATCGTTCGAAGCAAATATGCTCCGAGATTTCATTACTATTTGCAGGTAAACATTAGATAGGAGAGAGATAAAGCGGGGTGGGATAACTAAATACACCATTACTATCGTTGTATTTCTTAGTGAATATCGACTAAAGATCCCCATTGTGTTTATTATGGGCATTGCGACGTCAACTGAAATCCTGCATCAGTCTCTCACCAAGGCAACCATTGGATTGCTCCGTATTGAAAAGTTCTGGCTGGAGCAGAGCGATGTATGGTTCAACAGAATGCTGGAGGCGGTAAGGACTAAAAGAAATAGAAAAAAAAGGAGAGGGAAAAATAAGGTTTGAATTACGTTTGAAGGAAAGGCGGAAGGTGGGGGGGGAGTACAAGATTGCGCAAATCATTTCTTTGTTTTTTTTTTGGGGGGGAGAGGCTGGGTTAGGAAGGGGGAGGAATGACAGATTACCCTTTACATTAAAATTTGTATGGAGAGAGAAATTAGAGAAAATCGAATTACACTAAAGAAAATAATGTGATTCAATATTAGGTATTCATTGAATCGGTCCATACGCTCAAATTCGGTGCTAGGCCATACAAATTCCTGCTAGATCATTTTTATCTATATGACTTTTCCATGGGGCGAGCCACCGCTAGCTTGAAGGTAGAGATACTGATGCTGTTTGAATGTGATAGAAAGCCAGCCAGATCAACACGGGCTACAACAGCACTAAGAAAAGGAAAAGACACTAAACCAAAGACGTAATCAATAGTATGCGTTGATGCATCACTATTATGGCAACCCGCTCTCCATATTTTCGCCACTGGTAGGCAGATCAGAAGACGACATACGTAGCACCTTGAAGGAGTGGCACGACGCGAAGCTGCTGAACGAGCACCACATTACAAGTCTACGTATGCTATCCTCTTTTCGAGCGCACGTGGATGCAATTGCCGATCAAGACCCGCAGCAGGCCCTGCGACTCCTTGACGACGACAATGACGCATCGTATTTGATGACAGAAGCGCTTGCAGAGTTTATCCTAGGCCTGAAGCGATACCAACACGAGTTCCAGTACGGGATCGAGCTTATTCGGGCGCTTCAGGGCCAATTCTCCAACAATGTCGGTATGAGGAAATCCAAGCGAATGCTGTTGCTGGCGGCGCTCGAATCCCGGGACGGCTTGACGAGCAGTGAAATGATTCTGTGGCCGGCGAGTCTTGTGCGCAAGCTTGATCCGGCCGGGCTAGACCAGCTTGTCAAGCGAATCAGCCCCGTGGTGGAGCAGTTTGGCTATGCATTGCCCTGTGATTGGAATGAACGCCTGCAGATGTTGTTAGGGGCCGATGCGGCGTACCAGCAAAAGGTCGCAAAGAAGCTGGCGGGCATGGTGTTGCCTGATGAGGAAAGACGAAGCACGGAGACGGCGAAAAAGGTTCAGATGGAATCCATGGATCATCTCAAGCAGGCAGGCACAGATAAGACAAAGATAGCGATTGAGATTGCGGATTGGATAAGCGAGACGCTAAAGTAGGTGGCCCCATCCATTCCTTTATCCATCCATTCAGAATGCTTCAATTTTATTTTCCCTTATCGCATGCGGCGGATGTGAACTGAAAAGATAATGAACTACGAAAAATAGGGGCTGTCTGCGATCATATACCACGGTGCCCATGTACGAGTTGGTATACTATACGAGTGCTAAGCTGCACGAAAAGGTAAGGCAACAAGGTTCATCTTACGCGTGTTCTGTGTGTGTTCTCTCTCTGTGTGTGTGTGTGTGCTTGTGTGCTCTGTGCTTGTGTGTAAGCGTGAGAGCGCGTGTAAGGGGCGGGGTAGGGGGGGCACACCCAACCGAAGAAAACCCAAAAAAAGCAAGATAACTGATAAACATATTTTACCGGCCGTTAGTCGTTCTCTGCACAACCCCGGGCCGCTATGCAAACGGGGCTTGGACAATCTTACCATTACCTGAATTGCGCGTGCTGTTCGGGCAAAACCAAGCATCAGATTTCGCCGTCAGAGCACGACACGTGCATTTTGTACAAACTGTACCTGGAGTGCGGCCGAATGATTAACCTGTTTGACTGGTTCGTTGCCTTTGGCTATGTCCTTGAACGAGAGAAACGAAGCAACAACAAGAGCAAATCATTGAGTGAGAAAGAAGTGCAGTAAGTGTTGCTACTCTGTCAGTTCTATCTTTAAAAGAGCAAACCCCCCCCCCCTCAAAAAGAAACAAAAATGTCCCGTCGGGGGGAGTGGGGTGTGCGGTAAATGTTTGTTGTGTTTTTAACCAATCGTTCTTTTTACCAGGGCACGCTTCGTCCGATCAGTAGCAGAGCTTCAATTTCTAGGCTTTATTAAGCCGACTCAGCGGAAAACCGATCATGTTCAACGATTAACGTGGTCCAATGTGTAAATACGATTCATTTTAAACTTTGGCGGGTCAAATAATAATAAAAAACAGGTGTTCCCAGACATTGGCACACAGAGAACAGAATAGAAACCGGGAATAGAAGAAAGCCGGGTTGAGACTCTTGTGTGGAAGGGCAAAAAGTGAACCGGGAAATGGCCCGGTCCACACTTTTTGGCCGGAAGATTTCTTAATCCGGATTATGTTACAGCGTGGCGGAAAAAGTGAACTATTTGAGCCCGGATCATAGGCGGATTGTTCATCCGTATGATCGGTGGTGTACAAGTGTATTATGATGGATTGCATGACGATTTATTATTACTACGGTAACCACTTAATAGAATATACTACGAGTGCGATGGATGGGTACCGTCATCTGATCCTGTAGTTCCTTGGCTGTGTCCCAGATATAGAAGTCCATCAGAATGGCATTGACGGCTTGAGTTGGATCGATTTCCTTGATACGGCGCACCATGAGCTCAACAGCCCAGATGGAGTTTCCTCGAATCTCGATCTCTTCTCGTGATCCAGAAGACAGTAGCTCGCGTTTTTCAAGCTTCGTCATGAGATCAGCTGAGTACTTCAGCACGCCGAGTGAGTACAGGGCCTATTGTAGCAATTGGGGATTAGGGTATGTTATGTTATGTGATCCGTTGTTTGGTTGTCAGTAACCAAACAATGATGTAAGGTCCTTTTTCCCCCACTTTCTAATGATGGAGTGGATTGGGAACAGCGCCCGTGCATTTACTGTTTCATGCTGGCTTGTGCATTCACTTGCCTGCGGTACACTAATAAGTATGTATGAAGAGAGTCCGGGTGAGCTCATATTGCATAGTGACAAACAAGTCGCTATCCGCTATTTACCGGTAATCTGCAAACATGGTAATGGTATCAATGTCGTAGAATTCGCCGTAGCCTTGACCGTCAAAGCATGCCCTTGAAATGGTGTTGACGCAATGTTTTTTTGAGAATGATAATGAGACGAACACAAGATTTTTTTACCAAGTAAAGATAATAAAAGAGAAATGGATCAATGAGAATGTTCTGCTCTTCCTTACCATATATCGGCAATCAATATTTGGGCACGCTTGAGGATAGCAACTAAGGAGTCAAGCGTTCATGATTCAATAAATGAACAGTTAGGAGATGAATGAAAGGAGGAGGGGGAATATGCAATGCTGCTGTTCCAAGCAGGGAGGGGATATCTAACTTTGCTTCCACCCTACATTACCTTGACGTCCTTCAAACGAATGGATATCGCGGAAAGACGGGAAATACTGGGTCAGGAGTTCCAAGAGAGCCGAGGCAGACTGACGGGCTTGTCGGATGCAATTCACAAACGATCCGTCGAATTCCTAATAACAAAAAAAAAAAAATGGAAAAAGATATAATTGGTTTGTTCAGCAGTGGAGTGGTACTAGTAGCTCTTCTCATCATATCAATCTCGGACAGACGCACCTCAAGCAAGACTCGACCTGCTTCGCGCATGACGGCTATACGTTGGTCCATCAACGGGATGTGTTCCCGTGTATCAGATGCAAATACGGCCTTGAGGTCGTCGTCACTGGCATTTGCGTAATACGACGCATCTGTGACCGGGATGCCCTGTTCTAATGCACGGTTTATGGCTGCGCACAAACTCCAGTAGCCCGTGTACGCCTTGCCATGTAACACGACCGTGTAGCGTTCCGGATGCGGCTGGCATTTATCTGACTTATCCAAGTCGCTCCAAAATGAAAAGTTCAAAATATCCACCAAGAAGATCCTTTCCGTATCATCCACCAAAAGTGAGAATGGGCGTGAGTGTGAGAGAAAAAAAAAAGGTGATGGCGTGGCTTTTTTTTTGTGTGTGTGTGTATGTGTGTATTCTGAGATAGAGTTGAGAGAGAGAAAAGTGTATTACCAATCGACTGTGCTCGCGTCTAATTTTTTAGGTTGGAGTTCGTGCTCGTTCCATGTTTTTGTGCTATACTGCCGCTGCTTCATACTTTCCATGGTCTTTTGGGGCGTGTCATTGCGTTTTCAGTTTGCAACAGTCAAGATACAGCAGCAGCAGCAGCAGAGAGTGAGGAAAAGACTTACAGTACGTGCCGCGCGATCAATCGCGTCGAGTGGAATGTGGACATGAGCACTATGCTATTTGGAGGAGATTCATCTTTGAGTGTCATGGCCCGTGCAGAATGGTGACTCCTTTCTTTTTTCCCTCTTGTGTGTGGTATGTAGACAGGTAAAGGGGGGGGAGGAGGAGGGTTATACCTGAGCAATAAACTGAGCGCTGTCTGCTACGTTACAGTCGTATCGGTGGGTGCTACTCATGATAATACGGTTTGGAGCGACCGACTACCACAGCTAATTTGGGAGAGGTCAGACAACCAGTCAGCAGCAGCCCTGTCGGGTTCAGTCGCAAAATTGACGCAATCGATTGGGTTTGATTACGTTTCGCGCGCGTTGTTTGTTTTTGGGGAGACAGGACAGGTGTTTCAAATCGCAGTAACAAGGTTTGGCTGGTGGGTGTGCACTGTGTGATTATGTGTGTGTGTGTTTCCCCGATGGGTGTGTCTACGTTATACGTGACACAACCGCATTGACAATCCGCTCGCCACGTGGGATCGCTTTCCTGGTTACCGACGGAAAAAAAAAAAGAAATTTGGTGGGTGCAAAGGAAAAAAACAAAGGGCACTTCAGGGCACTCGCTCTTATCTCTTTTTTTTTTCCTCTTGAAATGGTGAAAAATGTGGGTTAAAGTAAAAGGTATGGCAAGTGGAAAATGAGTATATAGGTCTCTTCGGATGTACTTTGGGCCATGATGACGATGATGATGACGATGATGATGATACAGTAGATTGAGTATTGTAAGCGATATGGGGACTGAGCAAGCCAGAAGTAGGGTTGGGCGATCGACCAATGGTTTTTGTAAAAGGTGCTCGTGCTTTTTTTTTCTTTTCTTCTCCAGACTCCAGATTACGTTTACAAGCGGAGCACTTTTGTCTCCCAATGAGTGAGTGAACTGCTTGCGGTTCTGAAGATAAGCTCGCGTATTAAGAAAAACTAAAGCACCGAGCAGCGCACCACTGTGTACGTACACTAAAACGAATCAAATATCAAACAGCTTACATACTATATCCCCAAGAGGAGTTATTTTTCCTTTGCGGATCTTCGCTTCTTCTTGTGCTATGTAGCATGTGTGCTACGCCTTTTTTTTATTTTTTTTACGTCATTTAAACTTTTTGATTTTGTTTTTTTTTGGGTTTTTTCGCGCTCTTTTCCTCTTTGCCCGGGAACAAGTTGTGTTACTCGGGTGGTTTTTTTTTTCTATAACAGCCACATATACAAACACATGTTCTCACACCACCACCACGCACACCCGACACACAGCGTTCTTGAACCCGAAAGAAAGAACATGCTAAAGAGGTATGCAATACTTCCAGTTACTAACTCTTTGGTAATTATCCCCGTGAAAAGTTTCAACCCTAAAAGTGTCCGTACATTTCCCTGGGTTTGTTTTCGTTTTCGTTTTCGTTTTTGCTGAATCCAGAAAAGTGCGAAGGCGGGAAAGGGCTTATTTTTGCTGAATTTATATTATTTTACAGCCCCCATCTTGCACAAACCGAAAAGGAACTCAGTAGTCTACTTTTGTATGTGTGTGTGGATTAGATAAACAAATGCGGGGGGGGGATTGGGTAGTTGGGGTGCTGTTGGTTGCTTGTTGCGGGACAAAGAGCGATGGGTCATGCTATATAATCCCGTATATGTCACTTTGGCGAAAACTTGCCTTTGTACTATTTACATCGGCTTTAGGTTTTGGTTATAAGGAGGAGCTGTGGAGTTAGAACAGAGTGAATGTACGGAAGGAAGGGAGGGGGGGAAGGACATGCATACACACAAAAGAGAGATGCTATAGTTCATTGAGTAAAAACAAATGATCGACGCTGTTTACGGAAAACATGAAATTCTGTCAAGAAATGGCTTTTTTTAGGGGTTAGCGACATGAACGTACATGTCATGCCTTGGAACAACAACGCCCAATGGCGCGCACTCGCAGCAAAAAAAAAAGAGAAAGGCAGCAGCAGCCATTTGCCGTTGCTGTAAACATTCGAAATATAGTACATGGAATAAATGCATCTCTGCAAAATACACATATTAGCCATTGCTAATCAATAATACTGGCCAGCTAGTAAGGGTAAACAATTTCTAATAATGCTTGTGTAATCGAGCATAGTCGTGTGAAGGTAGAATTCATGACACTCTTCTATGCTGACTTGCCTAGCTGACAAAACCTAAACTGCACTCTTGTTATCATCAATAATAGCAACAGTAACTCTTGCTGCTGATACTGCTGTTTGGCGATGATGATGATGATGATGATGATGATGGCTGGTGCACCTTCTCTCTGTTCACTTTGTCTCTGTATTGGATCTGCCATATACACACATACTCTCTCTCGTTCGTCGCATTCGCTAACTCTTACATTTCCGGTTCTTCCATTGCATAATTATGCGTTCTCCTATATGCGCCGCCCTGAACAAATCCCCCTTTTTTCTATTATATACACGCCCTTCTAACTACTACCCTATCTACCTATCTATCTCTCTTTCTTCTTTTCCATACACATCTCCCCCCCCCAAAAGTTATGCGTCGTATAGACATTGCATGATTTGCATGTCACCACAACACCCGTCGTCTTTAACGGATTTTTAACAAAACAAACGAAGAAAGTCATTGTAAGTCATCCTTAAGACAGTTTCAAAGAAAAAAAGAATAAATAAATCGCTTTGTTTGGTCGAATTATTTGATCTCGAACTGGCATTTGACCAGGTTACTGTCCCCCGCCTTACTAACCCTTTTTCTACACGAATTGGCGAGAAGAGAAAAAGTAAAAGAAAATCGAAAGAATATAATAACCAATGTCATTTTATTGCGGGATGAAACCTAACGAAAAAAGAGCTTTACCGATATTCTTTTTTCTTTGGACAAAGGGGGTTTAATTGGATTATGGTTTTAGATATGTAATTGAATATGTTGTTGTTGCGCGGATTAAGAAGAATCAAAAACGAAACGATAACAAAAGGCAGATCTAGTCAATCAAAGGAGAGATGGTGGCTAACTAACTTTATCGATCTACTAGATGACATGAGACGCTTTTTTTTTCCTAAACGTTCTCTAATTCCTGAGCGTTCATCAATAACAACAGAAAAGAACAAGAACGGAAAGTGAAAAACAATTTACTTCTTTAGCAAAAAAACAACAACAAAGAAAACGTCTAAATGTGAATTAGATCGAATGGTTTCTGTATCATTAGTTCTGGATCAAGGAACAGGGTACTGAAACCTCTCTGTCTCTCACTCTTGTTTGACTCGTCCAATCCGTGGATATTCGTCGTCGGTTTTTTCGGATCCAGGTGTTACGTGGTAACCAAATATGGGGGGTGAGGTGTGACGGGGTTATAGTCTCGGTGTGGTGATTCGTGTGCGGGGGTGGGGGATTTACCATGGCAACGAACAACAATCTGCTACCATGGAGATGAATTATCTTTTTTTTTTTTTGCGCCCAAATGCCTCTACAGATGCCCGAACGTATTGTATGTATTATGTACAATGTGTGATGTGCGTGCAAAAAAAAAAAAAAAAAGAGAGGGGCTGGGATAGGATGATGATGCTGATGTGTGTGGGTGGAACGAACGGAAGAATGATGATGATGTTATACGGGAAGGTGTCCTTAGGTCGCGGGCAACTGCGGGGGGGGGGGTTTGGAGAGAGAAAGTGAGAGAGAGACCAAAAAGATTTGAATTGGCTCAACGGCGTCGGCGCTTACTGGATTACCCCTTTTGGAAGCACAAGAAGCCATCCGACTTGTGCGTTCCCCCTTCCCGTGCTGGTTTTGCTGAGTTATCTAAAAGGAATTACAATCTCCTACTTTTCGGGGAACAAGTTGGGGGGTGAATCTTTGGTAAGTGAGGAGATTGGTGGAAAAATATATGGGGGGGGTGGGTGGATAGACTAATGGGGGAGAGAGAGAGACAGGAGAGAGGACGAGAACGAGAGGAGAGTGAAGATGAGGGAAGGGGGAGCGAACTATATATAAACGTACCAGGATCGGGTTTCCCTTGGATCGATTTCTTCTTTTTATTTTTTGTTTTCTTTTTTCTTCCCTAATCGCTGGCGTTCACAAACCTATAATCACACTACCACACCGTCTCCCTTCTCCTAATAGACTTACTATTACTTTCCCTCTTTAATTTGCATTTATTTGCATCTTTTCTCTCTCTCTTTTTCTCTCTTTCTCCCCTTTCTACTTCATTAATACGAAAGAGGTCTTTTGCAGCAGCAGCAGCAGCAGCAGCTTCTTTTGAATTATTTACATTCCCTTTTTTTCTCTTTAATCTATCTGTCGACCTAACCCATACGCCATGGCTGAGAAAACAGAACAACCCGAAGTCGTCGGCGAGAAGCCCCAGCAACAAATCGGCGGCAACATCACCTCGCTGACCGTCGAAGAACTCTACGACAAGGACAAGTTTGATCTGTCCACCATGGAGCAAGGCGATGTCCTTGCTTTGTTACAGTACGTCTTTTCTCTCTTCCTCTCTGTCTCTCTCTCTCTCTCTATCTCTATCACATCTGTCTACATGCCACCATCAACATCAACACTATCATCATCATCATCACTAGTACTGTCACTGTCACTACGATACACACATACCCCCCCCCCCAAAATTATTCCTATCTTAAAAGACATACTTTATTACACTTCTTCCCAACAATAACAATCCATCCAAAACAAAAAAAAAATTAACCAAAATTTTCTTTCTTAGGACTGGCAAGGAGGGTCTTACGTCCGATGAAGCCGCTCGTCGTGTCGAAAAGTTCGGTTACAACAAGCTCGAGCAAAAGGAAACCAATGCCTTTTTGCAGTTCTTGAGTTTCATGTGGAACCCACTTTCGTGGGTCATGGAAGCCGCTGCCATCGTGTCCATTGCCCTCGCCAACGGTGATGGCAAGCCGCCAGACTACCCCGATTTCATCGGTATCGTCCTCCTGTTGTTGGCCAACTCTTTGATCGGTTTCTACGAAGAACGCCAGGCCGGTAACGCTGTCAAGGCTCTCATGGAGTCGCTGGCTCCTGAGTGCAAGGTCAAGCGTAATGGCGAATGGAATACAATGGAAGCTGCCGAACTCGTTCCCGGTGATGTGATCAGTATCAAACTCGGTGATGTTATTCCTGCCGATGGTCGTCTTATTGCGGTAAGTTCCAAAAAAATTAAAAAGCCCCCATTTTATTCTGTTGTGTTGCATCAGTCCAAAGATTTCTCATTCAAACCGAAAAAATTGTTATTATTCTCCAGGCCCACGGTCAGGTGTCCATTGATCAAGCTGCCCTTACTGGTGAATCCTTGCCCGTGGGTAAGGAAGCCGGTGATGAAGTCTTCTCTGGTTCTACTGTCAAGCAGGGTGAAGCCGAGGCCGTTGTTATTGGCACTGGCTTGAACACCTTCTTTGGTCGTGCTGCTAAGCTCGTTGGTGACGCCGGCGACGATGTTGGCCATTTGCAGACTGTCTTGACCAAGATTGGTAACTTCTGTCTTGTCTCGATTGGTATCTTTGTCGTTGTCGAAATCCTTGTCATGTATGCTGCCTTCCGTTACGCCTACCGCCGTGGTATTGAGAACTTGCTGGTCTTGCTCGTTGGTGGTATTCCCATTGCAATGTGAGTTTTAAATTTTTTTTTCTCGTAATTTTTCTGCTGTTTCCATTGTTTTGATTTTTTTTTCCCTCCAAAAAAAAAAAACTGAAACTAATTTCTATCCAATCAGGCCCACCGTCTTGTCGGTCACATTGGCTATCGGCGCTAAGCAATTGGCTGAGCACAAGGCCATTGTCACACGTATCACCGCTATCGAGGAAATGGCTGCAGTCACGATTCTGTGCTCGGACAAGACCGGTACTCTTACCTTGAACAAACTCATTGTCGACAAGCCCACGATCAAGCACTATGCGGAGTTCAACGGCGATGAAATCATCCAGCTTTCTGCCTTTGCTTGCCGTACCGAAAACCAGGATGCCATTGATTTCTGCATCGTCAACTCTTTGCCTGATCCCAAGCTTGCCCGTGAAGGCATCGAGGAACTCGAGTTCAAGCCCTTCAACCCCGTCGTCAAGCGTACCGAAATCACCTACCGCCGCCTCGAGGATGGCGCCGTCCTCCGTGTCACCAAGGGTATGTCCCATACCATTCTCGACTTGTGCACGCGTGACAAGACCGAGGAGCAGATCAAGGCCTTGAACGATGACGTCGATGAATTTGCCCGCCGTGGTCTTCGTGCCTTGGCCGTTGCTGTTGACGAAGTTCCCTCTGGCGAAGTCGAAGGCGAGGGCAAGGGCATGCGTCTTATCGGTCTGTTGCCCATCTACGATCCCCCACGTTCGGATACCAAGGAAACCATTGACCGCTCGATTGCTCTTGGCGTCCAGGTCAAGATGATCACTGGTGACCAGCTTGCTATTGGCAAGGAAACCGGCCGTCGTCTCGGTATGGGCGACAACATGTTCTTGTCCAAGACCTTGAAGGATGGCCCTCCCCCTGGCTCTGGCTACTCCAGCATTGACGACATGGTCTTGCAATGTGACGGTTTCGCTGGTGTCTACCCCGAACACAAGTACGAGATTGTCGAGCGTCTCCAGGCCCTTGGTCATATGACTGCCATGACTGGTGACGGTGTCAACGATGCTCCTGCCCTCTCCAAGGCCAACGTCGGTGTTGCCGTTGCTGATGCTTCGGATGCTGCCCGTTCCGCTGCCGATATCGTCTTGACCGAACCCGGTCTCTCTGTCATTGTTGAGGCTATCATTGGTTCCCGCCAGATCTTCCAACGTATGCGTAACTATGCCATCTATGCCTGCTCTATCACCATCCGTGTTGTTGTCGGCTTTGCCATTCTCTGCTTTGCCTTCGAGCACGATTTCCCTCCATTCCCTGTTCTTATCATTGCTGTCTTGAACGACGGTACCATCATGACCATCTCGACCGATCGTGTCAAGCCCTCGCCCTACCCCGACCAGTGGAACTTGAAGGAGATTTTCGCCTATGCTATCATCTACGGTTTGTACCAGGCCGCCTCCACCTTGGCCTTCGCTGCCGTCATGTTCCACAGCACCTTCTTCCAGGACAAGTTTGGCGTTGAGCTGCCCCGTGCCGAAGACTCTGGCTCTGGCCCGGACAACTGGGTCAACGACCATATCTACCACTCCATCATCTACTTGCAAGTTTCGACCATCTCGCAGGCCTTGATTTTCATCACCCGTTCCCGCAGCTGGTTCTTCATGGAACGTCCCTCGATCTATTTGATGGTTGCCTTTGTCATTGCCCAGCTCGTTGCCACCTTCATCGCTGTCTATGCCGACTGGGGCTTCACCTACATGCGTGGCTGTGGCTGGGAATGGGCCGGTGTCGTCTGGATCTGGAACATCGTCTGGTTCTTGCCCATGGACTTCCTCAAGTTTGCCATGCAGTACTTCTTCACTCCCAAGAACACCCTCAAGGAGAACAAGACGCCTTTGGCTGGTGGTCACTCGCGTCGTGCTTCGGCCATCTCGGGCTCTTCGTCTGCTCGCTACTACGCCAACCGCACCAAGTCCTTGAAGTCTTTGGAGCGTCCCCGCAACTTTGGCCAGCGTCTCATGAACATGAACAAGAAGATGAGCATGGACAAGAAGGAGATGCGTCGCTTCTCGTCTGTTCAGGTAAAGACTTGATATGCACTACTCTTGTAGACATGGAATTTGAATAACTAACTCTCTGATCTGTCGTTTCATTATCAATAGACGAACCACGCAGCTCAAGTCTTGAACAACAACTCATAAGAAAAATTACATCCTTCCCGCAACCCTACATCATCCTTTCTTTCTTCTAAAAAACAAACAAGAAAGTCAAAAAACACACTCTTTCTCTCAAACATCTTTCTACCCAACGATGATTTCACGTATATAATAATACATCTTTTTTTTTTGTTTACTACTGCTGTTAGGTGTGTATGTCTGTCTTCGTGGGTTGTTGTGGTTGGGAAAAGGGGTTCTTTTCTGGCTTCTTTTCTCATCGCCTCCCCGCCCCCCTTTTCAACATACACCCCCTTCATCTTTTCATTCTTAGTCTTTTATTACCAACATCTCTTTCTTTCCTAGTATAGTTTCTTTTTTCCATTTGGTGTATATACATAACATGCAAAAAAGGAATCCGATTATTATATTTTTCTTGTTCGACACACCTTCTCTGTAATTTCCTTATCATATCTTTTCTCTTTTTGGAATTCTAGATTAAAAACAAAGTTTCTTTTTTCCTTAATTTGGATCATAGTAAAACTCTTTCTTTTAAAGTTTTGCAGAAAAAAAAAAGAGCAGTTTGGGCTTGCTGAGAAGATCAAGCATTGCGCAGGCTTAAGTTATGTGTTGTATATATTAATAAGACTAAGTAATAAGAATGAAAATATGGTGTTGAAACGGTATCTAAAGGGCATGTTTTGATTTGTGTGGGGTTGTTGAAACTGTATACAAGAGAAAGAGAGAGAGAGAGAAATTATGTATAGCAAAAAAAAAGAAAGAAAGAAAGAGAACTTAATGTACAAAAAGAAAGAGACGATGTAGGGGTGGGGGTGGGGTAGGGCAATGCATATAGTAAGTATGTATAGGTAGGCTTTTTTTTTTCTTTGTGGAGGTTCTTGGCGTGCAAAATGGCTGGGTGGGGGTTGTATGCGTATGATGTGTGTGTGTAGTATGTTGTTTTTGGCATGCATGCTGAGGATATAATGTTCGAGGATCATAGAGAGAGAGAGAGAGAGAGAGAGAAACGGTTCAGGAGCACTGTTGCTGCTGTTCTTTTTCTTCTGCAAAAAGAACATTGCGCAGAATGGCACATCGTCGTTCGAGCATCTCCAAAAACCCGTGCATCTGCTCCTTGTTCATACGATTCAGCAACCCCGTGAACCGAGTGTCGTCCATTTCCGAGAGCGCCTGCTTCTTGTTCGGTGGAAGCAAAACAGAACCATTGCTGTCTGCATCGTCAGGTGCGTCCCAGTCGCGTACACGTTTTTGACCAGCAGCAAGGGCGGCAGCTGCAGCTGCAGCTGCAGCAGTAGTAGTAGTAGTAGTAGTAGCAGCAGCATTCAATGGCGGAGAAGGAGACGACGATGGCTTTTGAGCAGTAGCATACAAATCGCAGGCATTACAGAGCGGCTCGCCTCGTTCATTCTTGCGCCAAAGCGGAGTGTGTGTCTGGAAACAATTGGCACATCGTGCCTGAAGCAAAGGACGCAATAAACTGGCTGCTACAGTGGCTACCAACTGTTGTTGCTGTTGCTGCTGCTGGTGTTGTTGCTGTTGTTGTGCCGCTGCTGCCGCTGCTGCTTGTTGTTGCTGTATCTTCTTGCTCGGCGTCTTTTGACGAATATGCAATGGTCGGTGCGTGCCGTACTGCTTGTAATATAAACCGCATGCATTGCACAAAGAGTGGGCGCGATCGGGTGTACGTCGCCACAATGGTGTTTTTGTCACATGACAGTTGAAACATTCTAATTGACGCGCCGGGCGTTGTTGTTGTTGCTGCTGTTGTTGCTTGGGTGCTGCTGTGTTTGTGTTTGTAGAGGCGTTTGTGTTGTTGGAGCTAGAAGTACTAGTAATCGCGGTATCGATGGTGTTTGGAGTGGCTGCAGATTCGGAACCAGGACTTGCAGCTGCTGTCATCGCACTTGAAGGAGGAGTTTGCTGTTGCTGTTGCTGTTCTTGCTCAAACTTGACAAACTGATCCAAGTCATCATGTTGGGGTGGTGAAGGGACGGTAGTAAGTGGAGCAACGACGGTGTGAAAGTGCTGCTGCTGTTGTTGTTGTTGTTGTTGTTGTTGTTGGTGCTGCTGATGATGATGATGATGGTGGGGCGGTTGCTGTTGTTGTTGTTGCTGTTGAAGAAGAAGCGACTGCAAGACAGCCAAGTTCAATAGAGACGGATCAAGGGCCTCTGGAACAGGAGAGATGGGGAAGTCGTCTGATACAGTAGGCGAGGGTAATGGTGGCAGAAAGTTGGACAGGTCCAAATCAAAGTCGTCCATCATGATGGAAAAAGGGGGTGTAGTGTGTGTTTGTCAAGTGGGAGGGTGGGGGAGTGGTGCTGACGAGACAGTCAAAGTGTGTTATGAATCGCGTGTGTATGGAGCGTTTGTGATGATAATTGAAAGAAAAGGAAAAGAAAAGAAAAAAAAGGTAAGGTTGGAAAGTGCAGGTTTTTATATTGCTTTTTCGTGTTTTCTCTCTCTCTCTCTCTCTCTCTCTCTCTCTGTTTTGTGTCTCCGGGATACCGGGTTGGATGGGCCTTGAACACCCGAAGTTGGTATATTCTATTTTATTTTATTTACTGGAAAGTGCTGTTCTGCCAAGTGTTGTGAGTGTGTGTTGGTGCAAAAAACAGAGCGTCTGTGTCTGTGACACGCCACATGGTGCAGATCAGCTTTATCTTTTTGCATATTCTAGCCCGCCCTGTCTCCTCTCCTAATGCCTTCCCTCCTCTCCCCCTCCTATTAGACTTTGAAACATGCTAACTCTGTACTCTGGCATTACTGCCAAGTATACTAACCGCCAGCTCTCAGTACTTTTGTGATGGGGGAAGCCGCTCTCCATGAGGGCTCATTTTCCCTGTGGTGAGACCCAGCGCATGGTAAATAGCGTTCAAGGTCAGCGTTCTGCTCAAACCAATGGCCGTGCGTCGACACACCTAGTATACAAGTTGTGTGCACTTTTGCTTATCGGGCCAATCAGCATCGAGTGCATCACTCCGCCGCGCATATCGTTATTATCGTCCATTTTGATTGGAAACAGTGATCCGGTGCGTTCTGGCGGAACATCGTTTTGCCCACCCCACCACCTCCTCGTACTCTTTTTTCAAAAAGCAGAGCAGCAACAGCAGCATGATACATATGCACACTGATAACACGTAAGCGTCAAATCATTGGGGGATGAATTGATGCTGTTTATCACGCCCGAGCTATTGTCGACTTGTGTTATCTTGTTTGTTTGTTAGCCCTAAATGGATTGTGATATTGCCATACCATCTCTTGGATAGTCGTTTCTTATCAGTGCTTTTGATATGCATATCAAGCTAATAGACTGTTACGACGCGCACACATTCAAAAAAAAAGGGAAGGCTTTCTATTGTATTGTCTGTTATCTTTCTCTGTGTAGATTGCTCTTTATTTGTTTGTTATCCTTTTTCAATCGTAAAACAAAAAAGCGCTTATCACTATTACAAATGCCCTGACACTCCCTTTATTATCTATGCACACTTCTTTAATGTTTTCCAACAAAAATTTGATGTTCGGGATGTATTGGAACGAGAATTATTTCTTTTTCGGCTTTTTCCCCATTTAGCTGCTCGCCCTCACGGACAATTTTCGTGTACAATACAATATGCGGCGGACTCGGTGACAGAGAACACTTGTTCTTCACACACACACACATCCATTCTCTTAACTGATAACGATTTTCAGTGTTGCACTACTACTTTGCCTTTCCCGGTTTATCATCATCACTTACTTTAATTGTTATCGTACATAGTATAAAAGGGGGGCGGGTATGTGGTCTAGGTTTATTTGCTTGCCTATTAAAGTATGTATATAATAGAAACTTGTTACGTTTCACATCCGAAGTTGTTATTCCCCACCTTTTCCTCGGGACATATATGATAGGTGGAATGAAACCCCCACTTACTCATCATGCTACCTATGACACCCACCCATATTCTTCCTTTTCTCTCAAGCCCCGCTATCGTATTTTTGAGGATAAACCCGCGGAAATAGGTTTTGTTATTTTAGGATTGGTGCTGTCTCTGTGTGTGGGACCCCTCCATATGCTTTCAAGCTGTGTGTCTGTTTTCTGTGCAATGAGAGACAAGGTCTGATACTTGACAAGGGATTAAATTTTATTTACTCACTCGTACCACTTGATATTATCAACAATTAGCGGCACAATCCGATAATATAATAAAAAAAGAGGACAGAGAGAGAGAGAGAGAGCCACTTGTAGGTGGGGTCTGTCTGTCCATAATGGATCAGTGTCGTGTGGAGAGGCAGACAAAACGGCACGCATGACGGGTAAGAATAGGAGTTTCGCTGCTTTATTTTAGGGGACATATAGATTATCAAATTCACCACCGAAAATACCCGTTGTCCTATAATGCCCAACAATGAACAACCGACGACAGCGACAGCAGTGATTGGATGTGCTTGTTATGTGCCTCTTCAAACCCGTACCCCCCGTATGTGTGTGGCGCTCATCATCCCCCCGGATCTGCAACGATCTGCTGTTATTTTATTGAAAGAAAAATCTTAATGATGGTGGACTACATACACTAATTTAAAAGAAAGTTGGGCTGGATCAATTATTCCAAATGTCGGGTGATAGACCGAATGCTAGTACTACCTTATACGGGATTTGTTAGGGCTTATCAATCCGATCACAGTTTGCTACACCAACACACAACCCGCGCGCACAGATGAATCACAAATGGTCATAAATGTTCCTATTTTGGAAACTCCAAGAGATGCTTGTATTAGTAATTAAGATCGTTGCGACACACACAACATGAACACACACACAGGAAAATTCCCACAGTTGCTTCTTTGTATAGTTGGCCGTCTAAAATCCAAGTACGAAGCATAATCGCCTATCCTACATATATTTGAACTGCTTCAAGCTACATAGCCTCTTGGACTTCCCCAGTTTTATATATTATCTTACGTAAATAAGCGATGAACCAATCATCGGCGCTACGCATGGCACCATCGCTCCTGCTATATTATATTTTTTATGTTCAGCAACGAGCGAATTCTTCACGTGATTCGACTACTCTGTACTGTCTTCATTCAAAGCTGATTAACATGTCCGTGTTCTAAGTAAAAAAAAAAAAACCAAGGTGAAAGTATACAAAAGACATGTTTACTCAAATTGGACTCACTTTCAATTGTCCTTTTTACTAAAAGACTACAATTCTCGCTCTCAATAAATGAGGACCAGGTATAAATATACCTTTTATATCATAAATTGTACATATGCAAAAGTGATCCGCGGGATGATAGAATAAAGAACTCAGTGATTTGTTGTAGAAGGTCAACGAGTTTGTATGTCTGATCTATACTATTACTACTACTGCTGCTGCTATTGCTATTGCCATCCCATTCTGGTAAAGAGCAAAGAGAAAAGTCCATATTCGGTGTAGTATACCACTCTAACGCATAACAGCTCTTCTTTTGAGGCAGGAAGAAAAAAAAAAGTCAAACTAAAGGCTGCTCTCGACATAATAAGCATATTATAGACTGTGGCCGGGCTTCCCAGAAACTCGGGCTCAGATGGTTCCATTGGTCAAAGCGGCAATTCATCTGTGCTATAATATGGTTTGTTCCAAGTCCCGTCTGTCTCCATCTTCCCATACATTTTAAGGTGTTGATCGTTACTACAGTGTGACACGCATTAGTACAAATACTTACTACAGTATTGCTGTTATAGAACTTTCAGCATGGGTCATTCGTATTATAATGTTAGAAGCCTGCTACGTCTTTGAAGCGGTGTGAGTTTCAGTCCATTTACATATAAAGCAACATGTTACTGCAGGCGATGGACCTGCAAATAACAACCAAAGATTAGAAAAAGCGATTGAGATAGATGGTAAGGCAATGCTCTATTGTTTTGTCCGCTGTATAAATATGATTACAATGGTCTAAAAATTGGGTGTGCGTGTGATCATCCGACTACAGGCCCTTCTTGGTGGCTATATACTTGATGTTGACGCTCGTCATGATCTACCCAATGAGGCGATGGTCGGCTGTATGTGGTTTCAACGAACAGTCCTTTTTTCTTCTTGGGGTAAAATTACCGCAGTGCTAGATGAAGACGCCAAGAGAAAATATACACGCATTCACTGTCATAATTACATAATGACCGTAGATTACTTGAACGGTTTTAGAGTCAGTCTAAGATGTATGTACACAGCTATTCCGCATGGATTCATTTTACGTTCACTGTCATCATCTATAGTAAACAGCTTCAGGTATGGTAAAGAACAAGAAAGAAACGATTCCCCATGTGTCGTCACACTCATAGTAGTTGCAGACCTTTCTCCAGTGATTCATGCCATCTTCACTCGGTGCAGAACAATGTATCACTGGGCTGGGTGGTCGCTGCTGTAGCGAATGTTAGAATGTAATGGAAAGACACAGAATTGATAAATGCGCAGTAGGTTCTGTCGTCGTACGTAGTAGTATGTACTGCTACTTCTGCTTCCACTTGATAACCACCTTCTTCGGTATCCACACGTCAAACAGTCAGCCACTGGCAGCTGGTCTGCATTGTTTGTTGATGGCCCATATCTTACATCTGAAACTTTCAGTCAGGTTCCGGACATTTTACCAGGAAGGGCTGGCTCTCCATGCTTTGTTCCAAGGACAGGACAGTGTCGTTATTCATTTTATTTTTTCTCCGATTCATGCAAGTGTTTCTAAACCTGAGAAAGCAATAGTTTCGTAAAAGGCATTTTTTTTCGCTTCCTTCTTTTGTTTTTCCATGCTTCAAAGGTTTATTGTCGCGCGGCGTTATGTTGGCGCCACGTGCACCAGCAACAACAGCATTAGAGCAAGCTCATATGTCATGATCAGCAATAACAACAACAGCAGTAGCAGCTCTAGTACTGCACAGCAGCAACAGCGTGACTATGGCTCACGACATACAGGCGAGAAGAACAAAGAAAAGGGTGACAACATTGGTGACGAAGGTGACAAGAGGACGACCGATTACTTGGAGAAAATGATGGATGCAGAGCAAAAGTCACAAGAGTCGTCGGAACGAGTTGATCCGGACTACTGGAGAGACCCCGGGTCGCATAATGACGAGCCCGAGAGCAGTGGCATAGAAGTAAGTAGATTACTCTCCAGTCAGACATAGCAGGGAAGGAGAGGAGTCATCACGGGGTGTGTGTAGGCAGACAGGCGGACATTGGGCACTCATCATCGAAACACCTGACGGATAATTCTCTCTTGTCTTAGCCCAAGTATCCGCACGCAAACAAGCGAAGTCGACCCAGCAAGAGTGAGAAGAAGAGCGCAGACAAGGAATGAGAATGGGAGGGTTCTACAACTACAATAGAAAGACGAAGACCTTTTCTTTTTTTTTTAAAAAAGTCCAGTACAGCCAATAAAAAGCTTAAAAACAAAAATGTTCCAAGAGTTTCTGCGCGTAGAAGCAAAAAGAACATCACATTCAGAAAAGGAACCGAGGAAACAGTGTGGGGCTTTTTGCTTTCTCTGATTAATGCGTGTAAGGTTAGTTTGGGCTATAGGAGATAGTGGCCTTCCTATGAGTGAGTATGTTTGAGAGAGCGAGAGAGAGCGGATGGGTGTTGCTGTTGGACGCGGACCGGTGAGTGCGGGTGAAGGGTAAACCCCAGTTATTTTTTCGGCACCTTGACTTATTTTCTTTCTCTTTTCTTCTTCTAAACCTTTTGGTTATCTGCTTATAAGTAGCGTTTCTTTCCAAAAGCCAAAAAAAAGTATGGATTCGCTGTTTCTCTCTTTTTAAAAAAGCAAAAACTTCTTTGGGATTCCATCTCTCACTCTCTTCTCGCACCCGTCCACGTACTAGTCCCCCATCCAACCCTCCACATTTGTATCGTTTGATAGACAGTATATTTTGCATTAAAGGAAGAAGATTGTAGCTACTGCCACTGCAAGTCTCAATCAAACAAGCAGCAGCAGCATACAAACAGCTCATCAGCACCACCCTTCGTCACTTTTTGTGTATATGGACTTTGTTTCCATATCAGCAGCATCTAGACGAGCACCCACCGCCACTGCCACAGCCGCCCACAGCACTGCTTCTTCATATCACTCTTCGTCTGCACAGAGACAACACAATGCATCCATCTCGTTTGTGCGATGTCTCTATCAAGCAAAGGCAATAGTGCAAGATCTCGAGCATCTGCGCAGCTCGGCTCTTTTTAAGGGCCCATCCGTGACGCCGCAAATGATCGTTTCCATCCAGACATACCTCGATACCACCTTTAACAAGCTCGTTCGTCTCTGCAAAACCCTCCAAGCCATTCTCAACCGCATGTATGCGCAGTCCTTAATCAATCGTGAACGGTACCAGTCCTTCAAAGCCGATATCGTGTCTGAATGGAGACGTGCCACCCATATTCGTCTTACTATGACAAACTTGTTGCATCGTGCCCGTCGCCAGCAGGCAAATTTGTTGCCGCCTCTCTCGACAACAACAACTACTTCATCATCTCGATCACCATCACTACTCATTACCCAAGATGATCGCGGCTACGACGAAGACAACGATGCAAGTGACAATGACAGCGATTCGCCCCAGTCTCTCAACTAATTCATAGCATGAACCTTCCCCTCCCTTCTATTCTTATTCTCAAATATTCCTGCAGATATATCATCCCTCATTTTCTGTCATACACACACACACACACTCTCTCTCTTTCGATTTTTAACAAAAAGAATCGATGTAGGTAACTTGGTTTGGGGAAGACTTTGTTCGTTTACGTTCTTTTTCGTTCTTCAAATATGCTTTTTTTGTTCCTCCTCTTGATCTGTACATAGGACAAAATTCCTTCTTTTTGTTTCCACGGAAATGTTCGCTACTTCTCCTCTTGATCCGTACACAGAACAAAAATTCCTTCTTTTCATTTCCACGGGAATGTTTGCTAATATTAAAAAAAACATCGAACTCGGATTCTCTCCTTTGCTTTTATCTTACACGATTATTAATGGAAATATTCTACTGAGTGGTGGCGGGTGCTGATGACGATGGTGGTTCTGATGATGATGATGATGGTTCTGATGACGAAGTGGTTGGCGTTGAGCAAACAGCTTTGTGGCCATGCTTCCAGTGATCCTTTTGGCATTCACGCGAACAGTACGATACCTAAAGATATACGAGAACGCTGGGTGTTAGCGCATCGCGTGTTCTTGCTTCTTTCCCTCATAGTCACTTAAGCATTGCGTGTGGGTTAGTGGGTGGCACATACCCGCTGACAACGGCCGCATTTTTTAAAGTCGCCTTCCTTTTCTTCCGTATTTGTGCAAAAAGTACTAGAACATTGTCTGTGTCGCACTTTTTCGGGAGTAGCCTCCTTTGCCACCTGGCGAATCAGCTTGGCCTGATCCTGTACGCTGAGCTTGTCAAAGTTGTCCAGATTATCCTGCTCCAGCGCCGCCTTGGCTGCCATCTTTGCACGCAGGATGCGCACCAGGTACATGTACGCTTCCGGATCGCCACGCACCAATGCCAGTTCCATGTAGTTCTGTGCCTTGTCCATATCGTACAGACCATAGTCCTTGGAGCCGAAAATCAGACCTAACATCAACATGGCATCCGCATCGCCGTTGTCTGCGGCATACTCCATAAAGTCAATACCCGTGACAACGTATTCGTCCTTGTCCTCCACCTCCAGAGCTGCTTCCTTGGCCATGTCTGGGTTCTTGGACATAAGCAAGTACAGTCGACCGAGCGCATTGGCAGAGGGCGCATAGCCCCATTGCTTGCCTTGCTCCAGATATTTCATGGCCAGCTTAATATCCTTGTGTGGGGCGCTTTCTTGTGTGTGGCCCTGGTGGATCAAGCCGAGATTGTGTGCACTGTCTGGATAGCCCTGGTCATATGCCTTGTTATAGTACTTGATAGCGTCGTCCATGCTCTTGTCACAACCGTAGCCATTTTCGGAAAAGAAACCAATCTTGTGGCACGCCATCTTTATAATCATCGTTTAGCTCCTTGATTTATACATCGATCTAATCAACTACGCATGAGCACTTACCGGGTTGCCTTGGTCAGCAGCCTTCTTGTACCATTGGTATGCCGCCTTCTTGGCATCCTCACCACTCTTCATGTTCTTGCCATCGGCTAACTTGTCTTCCTGGACATAGAACGAGCCGATCTGTACAGCTGCCATGGTGCAGCCATCCTCAAAAGCACGTTCCATCAATCTCTTTGCACCTTCAAAGTTTGGACTGGCCACAGGGCTCATAGCAGCGCGATCTTCAGGGCCTGCAGCTTCACGACGCACACCACCGTACAAAAAGCTGCCCAACAGCAAATCATGACGGTTGCTGCTAGTGCTGCCTTCCTTCAAGTCCAATCCTTCAGCAGCCTTGTCAATGTTCATGTCGCTCTTTGACAGCTTTTCAACGGCTTCTTGTTGTACTTTTTCAAATGCATTGTATTCATCCAAGAACTCTGCTTTTGCGCGCTCAAGCTAATAGTTAAATACAATATTCAGTTATTACACACGTGATATCTTTTTTTTGACACATACTAACGTAAGCACACGCATATGGATATCTATCGTTCCATCGTACCTTGTTTCCAATACTGTTGCGCTTTTCGTATTCGGCGGCAAGTTGTTGGGCTGCTATGGGGAGTGCGGTCGGGATCTGTTTGGCGAAATCGGGATCGGTTTCATTATACAAGGCAACCAACAGACCGGACTGTTGTTGGGAAAGGCCAAGAAAGGCCGGGATCTCGGATGCAGGGATCTGATCGGGTGCTGCTTGATCGATTACTTGTGCCATTCTTTTTTGGAACGTTAAAGCGTATCTTTAAAGCGAGTTTCAAAAAAAAATATTATATGTGGAGCTGAACTTCAAGTCACAACGACCGAAAGAAGTCCGGATCTACTGCTGTCTCATCAGTGGGTTAATATCCCTTTTCTACTAAGCATGCACTATGCTTCGGCTGTACTGGAGATATGTCATTTCGAGCTCACACACGGGGATTGCTATGGTAGGCTTCTTTCTTGTATCACGGTTATTAGTCTTTTCTCCTCATCTCATAAACACTGATACATTTGCGTGACGAATAAATTTACGACGTATGATTGCTTGGAACATGATATGGTCACCACTTTGTATAATACAATATCTCAATGATGTTTTTCGAGTGCTATTATAATCAAGGAGATGCAACAATTTGGCATAAACAACCATTATTATTGGCTAATGCTATGGTGTTTGCTGCTAATATATCAAACGAAAATACGACGGAGCAAGAGGATGCCGCTAGTAGTAATAGTCAAGAATGCTTAACTACTACAGCAGTAGCAACTGCACTATTATCATCATTAATTCTCTTTCTATGACTATAATACTGCAGTAGGGAGCATGCAATGCCCAGGTAGTTTACTCTGACTACACTTCTTCCATTGCAGACAAAATCAGCAAACTCAGCTGCAATTTGTAAGTCGCCCGTTTTTCTGCTTGACTCTTTAAACGACACACACACACACAGACATTTCTTCACATTATGCCTCCTAAGAGAAAGACAAGAGCCGCAGCTGCATCTACAAAGAAACGGCGCACTTCCAAATCAGAGGAATCAATTGACAACACAAAAGTCGAATCACAACTGGAAGAGCAATCACAACAACAAACGGAATCTTCACCACCATCACCACCACAACAACAAGAACACCCGGCCAAAGCACTTGAGGAGACAGAAATAATTGCAGATTCATCAGCAGAATCAGCACCAGTAACAGAAAATGTACAAAAAGAGCAATCATCCGGAATGTCACTTGCCGATCGTATGCAAAAATTAAAAGAGCTCAAGCGACGACGAGTATGCATCATTCCTCCAGTCATTATATTTTAAGATCGACAATGCCGACTGTATGAATATAATAATATTGAATCTTTTTATTGTTTCTCCCTTTAGGCAACAGAAGTTGCACAAGGCAATAGCCGTGATCGCAATCTTGAGTTTCAACGCAGTAAAGAAAATCCCAGACTTGAAGCGAGAAATGAAAGAAAGCGATTGCAGGCTTTGGAATTACAAGAAAAGCAGGTAAAGGTTTTTTTCACGTGCCTCTTCCCTCGAAGAAGAGATAAAGTGAACCGAGTTTAAAAACAAAGTATCCATTGTGGTTTATTATTTATTGACAACCTCTTTATAGAAAGCACGAGATAGCGGCGAGGATTATGAACGCAAACAGTACTGGAAATACTCTGCCGAATCCGTGGAGGCATGGGAGGAGAAAATGCAGCGAAAAGCTGAAATGGCCAACAACGGTTTCACAGGTATGTAGCATATTCAAGTTTCCATGAGCCATTTACAAAAGAAAAAAAAAAGGATTGTATGACAAATCAAGGGCATCATCGCTAACGCATACACTACGAAATCAGATCACGCACAGGCTGCACACAAAAAGTATCTCAAGCTGATTTCAGAGCTCAAGCCGGATATGGCACAATATCACGAAAAGAAGTTGGAGGCAATTGAACGAGCTATTCGCAACGGTGAGGATCCATCGGACATCGGTGCCGTGGCCAACAACTTGGATTATGGAGCACTCGATGATAAGCCATCCAAAGAAGCTGTGGATCGACTTGTTCAAGATACAAAGAAACAGTAAGCCTTTTCTTTTTTGATATATCTTTACGCACCATAACAAAATGGACAGCGTATCTCATATACGTATGTCTTTGCTTTACTTGCAGAATTATCCGACGTGAAACACGCTCTCGTGAGCGCAAGGAAGTCGCCGACGATATTTCCTGGATTAACGAAAAGAACCGTGTGTTCAACCAAAAGATTGCACGATTCTATGACAAGTATACCAAGGAAATCCGCGAGAATCTGGAACGAGGCACTGCGTTGTAGTAGGAGCAGAAGCACCAGTACTAGTCGTATTGTTTGTAGTGATAAAAAATGGATATTCATTGTCTTCGCTCTTTATTACATCTTCAATACATATATTAAAGGCGAATGTTTGAAAATACAAACAAATGCATTTGAAGAGTAAGAATAACAAAGACCATCAACCAGGTTGATGGTAGTGTTGATGAAGAAGGGGTAGATGCCTCAGATATTACAGGTTCAAGTTGTTGCTCATCGGCGACACTGAATTGCAAATTTTTAAAGTACGTATAAGTGTCCTTGGGTGTTGCATACTCCTTGGACGAGCCGCCAAAGAAGGAGCTAAAAAGGACACTGGATACAGCAAACGACTTTTGGTTTCGGAAAACGAGACCTTTGAGATCAATAACTGAATGGCCGTCCTGCCAAACCCGGAGCTCACCGTTGTTCTTGCCAGGATCATTCATCTGCGTATATATTTCAACTCTGGACCACTTCTTGTTGGTAAACTTTACATAGCCTCTTGCCAATGATGTACCATAGTCGCTGTTACATTTGACTAGGGAGCTTGTACAAAGCCTATCATTTGATGGTGGCAGGTAGGCGTATGCTTCACCATGTCCTTTTTCAAAGCCATGCAACAGTGCCGCCTGTTAGCACGTTCTTTTCTATGGAACACACAAAATGATAAAAGAGAGAAAACTGATTATTCTGTTACCATCTTCACGCCACATCATCCGGACAGAGAAGCATCTTGTACCATCTGCTTGCTTACCACCTGTACAACCCGATGTAGGCTCACCTAATATGTGGTAGCAGTACATAGTAGGTCATTAAGTAATTGTATTGTGGAACAACGTAGCAGCGGAATGAAAAAAAAACGTACCTCCATAGATGCCAGGCAGCTTACCCCCTTTGACCCAGTCAAGGTTTTCATCAAAAGCAACATCGTAGCGGACGTATCCACGCTTAAATGATGTATCATTGAATGGACGCAGATAAAACTCGGTCCCACCGGTGATGTCGCCTTTTTCATTGCGTGTACCCTTCGGCGAAAATGAGCCCTTTTGATATAAAACACGAAGCACTTTATCACCACTCGTCTTGTCAAATGGATCCGCTACAAACGAAACGTCATCCTGGCCATAAAAATAGCCAGTGCCGAGTCCCCATGCTTTGGATATGAATTCTTTGGGCCCGTTTGTTCCGTTGTGGTTCGTGTCGCATGGCATCAAGGCATCGAAGCTTTTCTTGAGACCAAGGGAAGCAGCTCGGTCGTCTGCAGAGCTTATCGCATGTTGATTAGCGCATGATTTTGTGTCGTTTTTGGAGAAAGACGGCGATGACGATGGGGTCGCTACGGTTACAGAGTTCGAGGAGGAAGCCAGGATCGCAACGAGGATCGTGATCAAGAACAGCAGTAAATTCATGACGAGTGTGAAGTTAAGGCGGCGCCGTTTACTTTATTCAAAGACAAAAAAAGAAACTAGGATCGTCACACAGCATGATTTTTTACACTTTATTTAACGATGTTCAAATATCGGAAGGTGTTCCTTGACTTGCGTTCCGAAACGAGGTTTCAAAACTGTAAGATGAAAGGAGGATTTTAACTTTATAGATGATGATATCGGAAAATATGCTGGTAATATTTAGCTACTAATACTGATTAAGTCGAAAGAATAAGACATGTATGTATAGAAGAAGGGCAAAGGTGAGTTAGTTAAAGAACAGGATCGATCAACAATATATATATATATAATACTACTACATACTTAAAAATGAATTCTGTGTGTTGTTGCCATACATATTAAAAAATAAAAAACAGAAAAAGAAAGCAACAAAGCTACTATTGCTAGTGTTGTGGGGGCTGTTGAGGATCCATCAAGTCTATCAACTCGTCCTCCTCCTCATCAAGATCAAAGTGGTCGAGTGTCTCATCGTCGTCTGTTGTTGCGGCTGCTGCCTTACTATTGACAGCTACTCCACCATGATGATTGTTATTTGCCAAAAACCGTTTGAGAATCTTGGCAGCGACCTTTTTGCCTCGAAGTCTGTCGCATGTGGTCTTGAGACGACCGTTTTCGCGTTTGATGTGATCCAATTGACGAAGCAAGAGTTCGTTTTCTTTTGTCAGCGATGTAATCAGCGTTCTCATTTCACCATGCTGCTGGTTCTTTTTAGCACGGTATTTAGCAGACGCAGCCTTGTTCCGCTGACGCCGTTCCTGCAATGACAACGGTGGTTGGTTTGCTGTAGCGCCAGTCATAGTGCATGATGGCGATGGTGTACTGCTGTAAGGGTCGCCATTGCTACTGCTGCCATGTTGGTGTCCTCCATGGCTGTAGCTATGATTATGATGATGGTATACTTGTCGCTGCCTTGTCTCGGGTGAGCTTGGTGGGGAAGAAGACGATGATGCAGCCTGGTACGATGAAGGAGACGTACTGCTATACGATGAAGTTGTTGAAGAAGAAGAAATGATGGATGAAATGGCCATTGGCTTGGGATCAAAGTCAGCTGTCAAGGACATGATGATAAAATGGTATACGATGATGATATGGAAAATGCTAGTAACTTCTTTTTAGTCGACGAATGATGGAAAAATAAAACAAAATTAATGCACCCGTGGTTTATAAATGCTTGTGTAGACTTGTTAATGCTTTGAAGTCTGATGTTTTTTGTTGTTGTTTTGTTGATTTAATACGATCTAAGGGCTGGTACCAATGTTAATGCGATAATTCAAGATTGGACTGAACTAAAATGCATGTTCAACGCTGTCGTGTTCCCCTTATTACTGTATTATAGCGGCCCCAAAAAACATTGATTCTCATCACATCAGTCCAGGGATCATTTCTAGTGGCCGAGCTGAGTGCTTTTTGTTTACTGCTTTTTTTTAGCCAAGACCACTAGGACCACTACTAGCAGTACCAGGGAAAAACACAATAAGAGCTGACAAAAGGGTCAAATAGTTAAAAATATAATTGTTATGCCTTGACGATTGCCGCTATTATTGCAACCATCAAATAATAATAAGGAAACAATTCATTACCATACTGTGACCAGATTCAGAAACTATAAGTGGAATATATATGATGTATACAAACTCGTGGTTCTACACAAGTCGTAAGATGATTTGGATGGATATTTCTCGTCCTTCGGCGCTTGGAAAGTACTGTTGCCATTTTTGAGAAATTGGGAAAACAATAGAAGGGGCCGGATAAAGACACAGAGAGAGCAGCTGAATTACGAACATTGCCGTCAAAGGAAGCCATGGCGACACAGCATAGTGCAGCATTGACGATTATGCGCTTTATTGTTGTTGCTCTTGCCGTGTAGAGCTACTGTAGCCCCTTAAATTCTCCATACATTTGCACACCTGCATATTACCATGCATGACGAAACGATACACGGGTGAGTGACAAGAGTTTTATGATTGTTGACTCAATTTACGCTATAGAGCCGCGGGCAACATGCTGAGTTTTTACTATGATCGAGAAGAGGTAATCGGGAAATTTTGAGTTGCTGTGTGCTTTCCGCAATGGTAAAATTCGTTTATGTTGTACAAGCAATGAATTACACGATATTGCGTCTGGGCCTGCCAATACAGTATTATTCAATGTTGTGCGATTGCCAGAGCGAATGTTTCTTTTTTTTACTTGCCGCTAATCGAATGTCACCACAACACGGAACAGAACCACATGTTAATAACCGTTTTAATGTTGCACTCATTGGAGTTTTCTTTTTCTAACGTTCTGACATTGATGTAGTATATACGCCACTGTAGAGTGCATGGCCAACAACAACCGTGTCATCATTTCAGTAAATGTAACACGAACAAAAGAGGGGGCCCAGACGCCAGAACGATGATGACCCTTCATTCGCGCGTCGTCTATATAAAAGAAGCCCGTTCGTCAACGAATGTCTGTTTTTTTTTTCTTTACCTCAACTCAACTCTTCTCTTCTCTTTTTTTCCTTCTTCATTTCCCCTTCCATTCCTTCTTTCATACCCATGCGCACCACATCTGTGTTTGGTATCTTGATTGCCCTGGCTGGCACTCAACAATTGGCTTTTGCTGGCGAGTGTGAGAACGCGCCTTTCGGTCGCTGTGGCGGTACGTTATGATTCTCCTTCATTTTCCATCATATCAGCAGCAATTGCCAATCATGCGACTCACTCAATGAATTTGTCTTGTAGGCGAGGGCTGGGAAGGCTCCGAGTGCTGCAATGAGGGCTACGAATGCAAGGTTCAGAACCCTTACTACTCCCAATGCGTTCCTATCGATCAATCCGGCTCCTCCTGTGCCCAGGCCTATGGCCAATGCGGCGGTAAGTCAATTACGCGAAAAAAAAAGTTTATCAGCGACATGCGTATCGAACTTTGGGAAATCAGAAATTCTTATTATCAATGATATTAATCCTTGTGTAATGCACATCAATTAACAGGCAAGGCTTTCACTGGCGAGACCTGCTGTGTTTCTGGTTTCGAATGTGTCAAGGCCAATACTTGGTACTCGCAATGCTTGCCCAAGTACCGTTGGGGTATGTTACATTCTTTATTGCTCGATATGTAGTATTCAACAATGCGATTAGCCTTCTTGCTTTTGCTGATTGTCGACTTCTTGTATACAGGATCTTCCGATGCCCCCGTCGAATCCTCTGGAAACGATAAGGAGGCTTCTAAAAGCGTCGAGCCCGTAGAGCCTAGCACTTCTGTTCCTCAGGTCGAGAAGCCTACCACGACCTCGACTACTACTACCACCACTGTCAAGGAGACCGAGCCCACGACCACCAAGGAGCACACCACCACAACCACCAAGGCACCTGAAACCACCACCACCACCAAGAAGCCCGAAACCACCACCACTACCACCACCTCGTCGAGCAGCAGCTCCTCGACTTACGCTCCCATCTCTGGCGGTTCTTCCGGTGATGGTTCGACCACTCGTTACTGGGACTGCTGCAAGGCCTCGTGCAGCTGGCCCGGCAAGGCTGATGTTTCCTCACCTGTTGGCGTCTGTGCAGCTGACGGTGTTTCCTTGACTGACAACAACGAACAGGTACATATATCATGACGCAACGACAACACACCTATTTATTTTGTGCAATACTAACAATAATAATCATTGAATGTTGATGTGTGCATTCACAGAGCGGTTGCAACGGTGGCAGCGGCTACATGTGCAATGACAACCAACCCTGGGCTATTAATGACGATCTCGCGTACGGTTTTGCTGCTGCTTCCATTGCTGGCAAGGACGAATCTGGCTGGTGCTGCGGCTGTTATGAACTTTCGTTCACTTCTGGTGCTGTCGAAGGCAAGAAGATGGTTGTCCAGGTTACTAACACTGGCGGTGATCTTGGCAGCAACCACTTTGATCTCCAAATCCCTGGCGGTGGTGTTGGTATCTTCAACGGCTGCCAAACGCAATGGAACGCACCCTCTGATGGCTGGGGTCAGCGCTATGGCGGTCTCAGCTCTGCTTCTGGCTGCTCTGATCTTCCCAAGGAGTTGCAAGCTGGCTGTGAATGGAGGTATGGCATTAACCAAAAGTTGTTTATATTTATTTGTTTGTTTAGTGTACTGACATACTATTGTTCTCGCCTTGTATTAGATTCAACTGGTTTAAGGTACGCTTATGTTTATTTCGTTGTATTTACAGGAGAAACCAATAGCAGAAAAAGCAATTTGGTCTTTTTACTGATGTCTATATTATTACTATATCTATTATAGAATGCCGATAACCCAAGCGTCACCTTCAAGGAAGTCACCTGCCCAGCTGAGCTCACCAAGAAGACTGGATGCTCGCGCTCGTAAATTAATACGACCGGATCGTATTGAAATGATGACGATGATATTACCTTCAGTTATATCTATCACAGTATAGTCATCATTTAGAAAATCCCCTTTACCTCTCCTTCCCATAACAGATATTATTTCTGCCCGATTACACGCTTCCATTATCTACAAGCTTTTCTCCACATTTTAACAATAAACACAAAATCTCATATATTAAACACCACAAAAAGTCACAGAAGTCCTGTTACAATACTGTCATTTTTTGCTGATTCTTAGTGTTCTGCACATAAAACGCGCGCTTACATAATACGCCTATCGCTACATGTTTCCTCAATCCGCATATGACATGCATGCTATATAAACTCTAAAAGCAGTTGATGAGTTACATAGGTATGGCCAGGATCAGAACGTTGTGGATATGAGAGGGCGGTATGTTGCGTAATTTTTTCTTTCCGCTTTTTCCTGCTATTCTACCTGCGAGCACTATAGATGATGCGACAGTGCAATGGCTGATGTCGGATATGAATATTCACATGCTGGCCAGAATGCTCTCGTATGGGCGCACAGCCGTGTAACTTTCTATTAAATGTTGTGTCCACATTACGTTATCTATCTACAGGTAATGAGAAAATGTGATGCTGGATTGGGATCTTCTTCTTTATACTTAATTATTGCAATTGAGAAGAAATAATGATATCTCTGTATGCATTATCAAATCGTCTCTCACGGGTATTAGAAAGACGAGGATAAAACATTTGCATATCATACACCTCTAGCAAAAATGTAATGGGCACACTAAAAGTATAGTAAATTGTTACTGCTCTTCACTTTTCTTCGTGTTTGCGTCATTAGAAGATGCAGCCAGGTCAACCGCTGTTCTATTGGTAAATTCTAATTTGCGTTTGACCGGTATCGGCAATATGCAGAGTCTTTTTTGTGATCGTTTACAGGAAAGTCTAAAAAACCCTTGTTCATCGTCTTAGAATTAAAAGTAATATGGCGCCACCTTCATGGAAAAGAACATTTTGTTAGGCATAATTATATGCAATTGATGTTAAACACTCACACTACAAAAGCATAGGCTCTCCTGAGAATGATGACAAGCTATGAATGCTTGGAGATAAATAATATGGTCGCCTCAAGGCTTTTGTCCTTCGCCCAAGTAAAGAAGCTATTGATACGGATTTTGAACCTCTGAGTTGCAAAAACGCGTCTTCTTACATCTTAAAACAATGCGTGAGTGAAACGAATATCCGTCGAAATAGTTAAACGGTACATAATACAATTATCGAATGCTTAAATATATGTAGTAAATATGCACTGCTTTTACGTGGTCTCTTTAACCTAGTTAAAGCCGTTTTGGTCTTTCAAGCGAAACTCTCGGACTACATGTATCCCAATACGTATCACCACGGTCACGCGAGTGCTTATAAAGAAAGCCAGCAACTTCTTCGTCTTCCGCCGTGCGTTTTCTTTTTTTAGGCAGGAGCAGATCTCGTTCAACATGGCTGCAGCTCCACCAGTAAATCATATTCTCATCAAAGATATGAAGCCAGCACAACGGGGCATTGACTGCGATTGCATTGTCTTACAAAAAGGTTTCATTTTCTTGTTCTTTAATCAACGAGTTTAGAAAGGTCTACAGTTGATAGGAAAGCTGATTTAGTGGCAACATACTTGCATAATAGAATCGGATCCAGTTACCACTAGAGAAGGCGACACAATTTATAAATTCTTGATAGCCGACCGAACAGGGGTTATATTATTATCGATTTGGAATGCTCTTGGACAGTACGTCAAGAATGGAGACATCTTGCGATTGTGCGGCTGGTGAGCATAAACTTTCACTTGTCTAGAAGAAGAACGGATTATGCGGTTCATTTTGAATTAACAGGTCAAAATGTAGTGAATGCAAGATTCGAAAGGGACAACTCCAACTTTCTGCTTTAAAATCATCTAAAATGAAAAGACTTGGTCAGGACACGTTTCTCTATGTCGAAAAGCCCAACTTTACCGAATTATCCATGCAAAGTCAACAACCACCACTGCCACAACACCAGCAGCAGTATCAGCAGCAACTACAATCGCCACAGCAACAGCCAGCCATCAACCCAATGCATGCTTATCAACACCAACAGCAGCAGCAGCAGCGGATGTCGCCATACTCACGATCACGGCCACCGCCTCGGGGAGGATATCGTGGAGGCAGAGGTCGCGATCCGCGACAAAGAGGGCGATCCACGCCACAACCACAATAACAACAATGAACCCATCTTTTCTGCTGATCCCTCTTTCATTCTTCTTCTTTTATACACGTGTAGATACGTACTTAAACACACCTTGCACATATATCACACTGAAAGCAACTCTATTTAGCCCTTTGTTTCTTCTTTCTAAGTTTTGTTTTGTTTTATTTCCTTTTCTCCATCATCCTACCTGCGAATATTTACAATTTCACACACCTACATCCCTAATACCAACATGGCCGAATCCAAGTATCTCAAGATCCTTAATCGTCGACATGACACACATGATGATATAGAACACAGTCTGGACGAACTACGTTGGGTTGTCTTGTCAATTCCTTGTCCACTAGAGGTACCGACATCAATCCATCATCATCCTTCACAATCCCAAAAATGAATAAAAACTCACCCACGGCTTCGTTCATGATTGTTATCACACCATCGCCACCTCCATATGCACATATTATGAAAGCTGCGAGGTTGGGTTTGGAAGATCCTTCTTCGATTGCGGAACAGCGTGTCTGCATCATGCTACATCAAACTTGTCCTTCGTGGCGCGAGCGCTATGGACACCAAGATCCGTAACGATACCTTTCGAACCATGACAACCGATGCCAATTTCATCGAACACGTCTCTGAGGATATGCTGATTCGAGTGTTGAATGCATTCGTCTGGATCAGTCAACAAGGTAAACTGACAAAAGAGAGGTGAGGTGGGAAAGCGAGTTAATGATCTAACAAAAAGAGAGAGAAAACGTAGATAGTAGAGTACAGGATACTTCTGAAGAGCTTCAACTGCGTGCAGCACTTGAGCAACGACCGACGGCTGAACTGACCTATGTTCAGGGCATGAATGTGTTAGCTGCACCATTCTTGATGGTACTTCCGGAAATGGAGGCGTTTTTCGCGTTTTCCACGTTTCTTTGGCAATGGTGTCCGCTATACGTACACCCGAATCTCAAAGGCGTTCATTGTGGGCTCAAGGTATTGATCTTATAGAAAAGGAAAAAGAGGGTGACGAACCTGCAGGCCACTTTTCTTTTTTTTACTAAATCAGCTCAATTTAGTTAGTGGATATGTGTTTACGGGTACTCGATCCAGAACTCTATGGCTATCTACTGGGGAAAGGGTTGACTGCAAACATGTACGCTTTTCCATGTAAGTAATAGTAACTTTTTTTTTGGCTAAGAGAAATATACAGCGAGTATAAAAGAACAATGGATGATTCACCAAGAACCTTATATGACGTAGCCGTACTTACATTTTCGGCATGTACGCCGCCGTTGGCTGAAGTACTGCGTCTATGGGATGTCATGCTTGCATTTGGGTTTCATCTCAATATACTTTATATTGTTGCTCAGCTGCAACTTGCTCGGGATGATATCATTGATTGTCCAAGGTAAAGCGTAGTGAAGGTTGATGATGGAGGATAAAGAGAAAACAGATATGCTTATTCTATTGTATATGTGCGCTATACATAAGTCCCATGAAGATCCTGCGCAAGCTCCCGCCACTTAAATCACAAGCTATTATACAAATTGCAGTCGCATCATGCAAGAAGTTACCACCCAAGCTTTACGAGAGTCTTGTCCGGCACCTTTACGATGAGAAAGTGGCTGAAGACTTGGGAGTGCAGGTTGCAGCAACTACCAACACAAGTCGTCACCATCACTATAAGAAATGATATCGTATGTTTTGTCATTGTTATCCGCACTTGTAAAGTCATCAAGGAACATGTCGGCGTGCAGCGTTCACAGAAAAAAAAGCATGTTGCAAACGCTTATTACAAACTTGCACACCCACTACTAGCTATTACATCATATCAAACCATGACAAAGAAAGAAAGAAAGATTGTTTCATCTCAATTAAAAAGCCTCGCTCGCTTTGAATAAAAAAAAAACTAGATAAATGAAATTGGTTTCAACTCTTTCCAACTGCGACAGCAGTGCTAAATGGTTATTTCCATCAGCAGCGGCCTGAAGTTGTGTGCAATCTGACTATTCAACTGACTTACCATTTTTGTTGCCATCACAACTACACGTACGTGTTAACCGAGAAACAAACAGTGCATCAAAACGCGTGCTATGTTGGCGACTCCAGAAATAGCGAGACATTTCACACCTACAAACAACATGCCACCAATAGTCAACACGAGTCGAGAAACCGGTTCCATTTACAAAAGTCAGGTAGCGAAATAGAAAGGTTACGAAAACACGCTCAAGGAGGTTGGCTATGTCGAGCGGCAAGAAAGTTAGGACAAGTTCCAGATTCAAAGGGAAGCTCATCCGATATTTTTGATGCCAACGGCAGAAAAATGATTGGCATATTAAATGTATTGAGCTAGAAGCGACGAAATGAGATCTCGAATAGCTGGCGATAGCCGTTTTTCATATATTGCATAAAAGATCTCTTAACCTTGTATCATAGACCGAGGAAATAGTATACTATTCAACGAAAATCTACCATAATGTCTTTAAACGTATATACTTACAATAAGCCAGGCCAATATTCACTTGATGCTTCATCTCTATTTAGACTACATGGTACAACACGTCTACTCGTGCACCTCGACATTAATTCTTGTTAGTCGATATTCGACAGCTTTTCTTAAATTAAGCAAAATGCGTCAAACCACCATCGCCATTCAGACGCACCAAATTCTTCAATAGGAAGGTGGGACCAGACTGCGACTTGCAGACTGACAATAAACATTCAAAGTGAGCAAATCAAGTTTTCAATGTAGCCATATACATTAGACCTTTAAAGCAATATGCATGCTCCTGCTATTACTGACATTGCAAAAAGGATGTATAACAACAGCAGGGATATAAATACACAAGTACGTTACATAGTTGCATGCATGCATCTGCGATACATACTGGGCTTACGTGATAAATGTGCTCATGTGACGGGCCGTGAATTCATGACTTGTTCTGGATTAAGGGCGATCGGATGCAAGTAGGTAGTGGGTGCGCCGCATCTTTCTTTCTGGTGTGATCTGAAACCAGACATGTCTCAAACCTGCCGACCGACTGTGCTTTAACAGACGACCCCCAAGGTTATCGACTGGTCGACGGTTAAAAGAGCAGCGTATTCGATGGGAGAACCCTATCTCCGGTTGGTTTTGTTACAGAGTAATTAAGTCCATTTAAGAAGTCAGTATGTGTCTGCTGAGTAGTAAAATTTAAAGTTCTTTTTAAGCGCATGAATCGATAAAAAAGGGTCATCACATAATAGCATCGACAGCCTTGATGATGAAAGCAGCGTCACTCCATGATGCACACGCATCACGATAAATGGCTGCATTGGGAGTAGTGCTGTAAATGGGGTATGTCGTAGGGGCAGAGTGATGCAGACCTTCTACGCTTTCTTCAGGTGCTCGCCCAATCCGTATTTGTATCTGCAGGTGCATTCCTATTGGTTTGAATGACGTTGCTGCGCAGGAATCTTTTTCCGAAGGCCCAACCCCGCCCCACACTGGGTTAAGTTTCTTTTCACCTTTGATTATTGTATAAATATAGGTCCTTAAGGCAGTTTAAAAATAAGGGGTTACAAACACTTCTCTTTCCTCCTCTCTATACTTCTTTGTGTAGAATCAAAGCAAAGCATAGAACAAAAAACATAGAGACCATGTCCCTTCTCACTCGTTTATCCCATCAGGCGACTCGTCCTGCCCTATACCTTTGCACAAGCCATCGCTGCGCTTCTGTACTGTCCTCAATGCCACCCAAACCGCTCGAAGAACAACCACAACACCAGCACAACAACCATCACTCGCTTGACCACATCGTCACACCGGCATCGCTTCCGCTCACCGCACTTTCCAACAATGCGTTTCATCCAGACTATATACCCAAGGCTGTCAAAGCCCGTCTGACATTGGATGAGCTCAAGGAAGTGCTGGATACTTCCAAGACGTTGCTGAACCACCTGCAATCCGAGTACCTGGAACACCAGATGCTCCAAGATACCATGGTCGAGCTTACCAAGGAACAACAGGAACTCCTCAAAGCGCTGCGCAAAAGCAGCAGTGGCAATAGCAACAACGACGATGACAAGTCATAGACTGTCTCTCGATCCTAGTAATTTATTTTGGCTTCACTCCTCCTCTCCTCATCCTCCCTTCTTCTGTGTCTCCCCCTTTGAAACGACTCTACCAGCTCATTGCACCGCAACCACAACCCACACCAAGCATAAATTAACACACACACACACACACACATCCCACTTTAGCATATCCAGCATTTTGTTCATCCCATTGGCAGTCATAATAGTAAATATACAAGCATGCATTGTTAGAATAAAGTACACATAGTATGAGATAATATGGAAATGATGATGGTGATAATCAAGAGATTATGTATGATAACGAAAGCAAAAACACATGGAAAAGGATACATTATCCCGGGGAGAGGGGGGTGGGGAGGAAAGATCAGAAACAACAACAGAAAAAGTTTTCCTTCTTTCCATTTACAGCTTTGTCAGTAGTCCCATGGCATCCTCCATGTCATTGTTGACTTTTTCGAATTCTCGTTGTGCAGCTTGTACTTGCTCCAGTGATTTCTATCATGGGTACATATGTCGCACCATGGCAACACTTGTATCAGCACTCTCTCTCTCTCTCTCTCTCATCCCCTTCCCTATCCGTTCCCCTTCGCCCCACGATGAAATCCCTCAGATACCATACCACGTTGCCTTGGTTCGCTTCTTGCTTTTTCTTCTTGATCGGATTCAAGTGTGCAGAGAGATCCGTCATGAGATCATCAAGCTTGTCTGTCAATGCTTCGTTTTTCAATTTGAGCGTCTTTGGATTAAATTTCGACCGTTTTTGTAATGACCCCTCACTCGACTTTTTTGTTCGCTCGTATGGCTTTGTTGTTTTCTTTGATTCCCTTCGTTCTTTTGGCATAATCTATTTAACGTTGTAGGAAAAGAAAAAAAAACGCCTAAAATAGCGGGGAAGTTAATGATGGCTTATCATACGAGCAGATCACACGCATTGATGTCGGACTTGGATTGACTTCGAAAAGGTCATGCGGCCTATTTGGATCCACCCAGAAGTATGTGAGTATTGATGGATTCGCCACTCTCGAAAACACTGTAGTAGCATCACCATATACCAAATTATCACATTATATATATAAACAATACTGCATCATCAAAGCTCTATAACTTGTTCCACCAACGAGATAAAAGTAATATATGGATCCACTGTTTAAATAGCTGCTTTTGCTCCCCATCCTAGGGACAGCATCTTGATCCTTCGCCTTCCTTCAATAATGCCATCATCTTGAAAACAGACACATTATCATAGTATAGTTCTCAATCACATACTTGCGCCCTCATAGTCTTAGTATGTATAAAAAAAATACACAAGTTAGTCTAAGATAGTCGGTCTCTTATGGCGACGCATTTGAAAATCGCCCTAGAAGGGAACGGCACCTTATGGGTATAGTTATTCAGACGGTAATTACGTATAAGTCGCTTGTTCTTCATCGCAGTGTTTGTAAGCCTCCTCAAAAAATTCGCTAACGACGGTCCCCCGGTGCCCATTGGCCGTCCTTCTATCACCTTATCTGCCACACTTCACAAAATCATTGAATTACATCCACAAGGCCCTCAAAATCTCAAGACAGCCAACGAGCGGGCCGCCTTTCTCCTTGGGATAACCGGTCTGCTTTGGCCCTCGGATCTTCACCGCATTGTCCTGCAACAATGCTCGAATACGGACATACGACTCACTTTGGTCATCTCACACCCGAAAGAGCGGCCCTATCGTCAGGCGGATCACGATCAGTCCCCATACGGAATGCCCTGCTCTTTGCCCCGTCCAAGCTTTCATCACACTTTGCGATCATTCTCTGGCTCGCACGGCGCGACCCTCTCAAGTTCTCTTCGTCGACAGCACCCGGCCACAAGTACCTGTTCAGATCCAAACAATCCGCAACTGGCTCCGCAATTTTGTACGACTTTCAACTGACATCCGCCCGACACCTTCCGTTCGCTCTCTTCCTCCGCAGTACTCAACGATCATTATCGACGAACAAGACTGACACAGACAAATGTCACAAGTGCAATCGTCGAGACGCCTCCAACGTAGTTATTTCTTTCTTTCTTTTCATTCCTTGTTTTTTCTCTGTATCAGCATATCTACCTTCAGGTCGGAATCGACGGTCTTTCGGGATTGGCGGGAGATTTATCGACCGTCAATTCCCACTCTAGACTAGAGAAGAAGACCTGAAGTAGATATGCTCCCACCCTCCTCTACCCTCTTTCTTTTTTCCAGTCGCTTAGAAGATCAACGTGATACAGATAGACCATCATCCTCCTTTTATTTCTTTTTCTCAGACATTACGCTCAATAAACACCGAACTAGAAGATCACAGCATATCTACTTTAGGTCTTCATCTCTAGTCTAGAGTAGGAAATGGTAATGCAACGACATAACTAGGGTCATTGCTAGGAAACCTTTCATAGATATGACAATGGTGTAATCTGCATGCTCTCTGTCTTTTCCTCAATGAACATACAATGTAGTTTGCCATGAACATCCACTGGGCCCTCAAATATTGCTATCTATAATAATGATCTTGCATCAATTCGAGCACCGGTGGTTGCGAATGGTGCTTCTCATGAAGTGTATAATGTATCTAAGAAAATAGACTCCCTAGAAATGGTTTATTTTGCATACATACTGTTGATGTGCAGTTTCCTTTCATATGATACAACGCGGCTAAAGTCATCTATGGCTTAAGCAAAAGTTTGCCGGTAGTTTTTCGGCTTTCGATATCAATGTGGGCTTGTTGGGCATCCTTCAAATCATAAACCTTGTAAATGTTCGTCTTGATGACATCCTTAGCAAGCAGGTCAAAAAGTTCACCCCACCATCTCTTTGACTCTTCTCGCGTGGCCAGGAATCCAAACACCTGTGGTCGCATCAGTTTTAGATTCTTTTGAGCCAGGATTGAAATAGAAACCTTTTTTTATGTGATAAACACATTTTGATGGGTTAGCAACCGGGTCCTGCTATAATTAATACACTCTCTCATAACACATTTTATAGGGATTTAGATATTTTTAATGAGTAATAACATACCGGGGGAACCACGCCAGATGCATTTCCAAATGAAACCATGGTTCCAAGGCGACGTGTACATTGCAAAGACGTTTCCCATGTGGACTTGCCAACACCGTCCAGCACAGCGTGACAACCCAACCCATTTGTAATCTCGTTCACTTTGTCGACGACTGATTCTTTGGTATAGATGATGACATGGTCAGCACCATTCTCGCGCGCCAGTGCAGCTTTTTCGGGTGTGCTAACAGTGCCAATCACAGTAGCACCCAAATATCGACCGAGTTGACATAACAAAAGGCCGACACCACCACTTGCCGCATGTACAAGTATGTTATCTAGGATTTTGTTTTTTTAAGATTTGTTACTGCATTTATAACAGAGTTCGTGTCCTTTTCACCCACATAACAATAAAACAAGCAATTTTTTTACCTCCTTTTTGGACTGGATAGCAATGACGAACAAGCGTTAGCGCAGTCAGTCCTTGAAGACCTACGGCAGCAGCCGTCTCGAACGACACATCACTAGTGATTTTTTCGATGCTCGCAAGCTTGGCCTCGGTGTACTCTGAATAAGTCTCGCCACCAACGTATACGACGCGATCACCAACTTTGAAATCATTAACGCCAGAGCCAACTTCTGTAATTTCGCCAGCACTATATTCGAAAAGAAACAATATAGCCTTTAAAACACATATGGGAACACACATATTAACGACGCGTCCTTTTACCTCTCGCGGCCCACAACAAAAGGCAAAGGAAGAGCATAAAGACCGCTTCGATGATAAGTATCAATGTAGTTGATACCTAATTCAGATGATCACTGGTGGAAATTAATAACATGCGGTTGATTTATAAGCAACGTGAGATCGATCGCTTCTTACCGATAGCGTGGTTCTTAATGACAACCGTGTTTTCATTGGCCTGTGGACGAGGAATGTCCTTGTAAACCAACTTGTCAGGAGCACCGGGCTGTTCAACAACGACTGCTTTCATGGTTGCCATGGTGCGAAGAATTGTAGTTCTGTAGTGATGAGGCACAGAGGAAAAAGAAGTGCGTGCGAACTGGAGACGAGTCAAAAGCATGTTGCTACCCCCGCGCATACGGCAGGCATGATGAAATCTCTTATCATATCGGGCCATTTTTGCAGATCGGACCTTTGACAGGTTCTCGTGCTTTGTAGTTGCATCGCCTGGGATTCTTGGTCTTGTTCATGCATTTCTAGCTTGGCCAATTTTCCTCTATTTACAAAGTTTTGATTTCTTTCTCAACAAACACCACACTGAACGTATTATTTCAACTTGAATTAATAGCGAAACACTAAACTCTCAAGATTAACGCAGGCGGAAAGTAAGGCATCGGTTGGTTGACCGTTGTCACACAGACTCTTCTTAACTACATCAGCATCATAGTGCGCTTATTATGAGATGCGCCTTGACTTTCCAAGCTACAGAAATAGACTGCTCAAGCTTATATAATACATATACCAATTCGTTCGTCACATTGCTCCTACTGCTGTTCATAAGTAAGTCGACTAGAGACATTGTAAAATGCGGTTTTTTAAACTGTCAACCTATATGACAACACATACTGTTAAACTATATCATATTTAAAGGTACTTTATTAATAAACAAAAAGCAAAAATGAACCAAAGGAATACAAATGTAAAGAATAAACATCAGGTGGTGGTTTTCAGTTTTCAGAATAAGCCGGGGGCCCGCCCCAATTGCCTGATAATCGGTGCAACGACAATCTATTGCGTGAGAAGCTATTCGATGCTGTAGTCTTCTTTTTAACATCACGCTGTTGCTTTTCCAACAAGGAAGCCGAAGGTCTCCTATTGTGACCATTGTTTTCTTTGTCGGTATGCTCGTTGAGACAGGGACAGTTATTACACCGGCCCCAAAACGATTCCTGGGTGATTGGTGACCGTTGAATCCAAAACTCGGTATTGTTAGTCGACAATGCAGTCTTGCCAGCATCAATTGTTTCATACGAAGGAGGTGGCGGCAAGATCGTTTGCCCTTCGTCTTCGGATACGAGACGACAGTCCATCATGCGTACAGGTGTTGTGAGTGTGACTTCATGCATTTTACCATTACATTCATAGGCTACTATCAGATGCAGCCAGTGGCGGATCGTAATACTTTCATGGGACATGGTCGGTCGTAACAGATGGCTGCAGGTAGGAATTGGCATGATAAAGCGGCCTTCAAGGTATTCGCCAACTTGGAGCGGTTGGTCCAGCGTTTTCAGGTTCAGTAACTCGCCTGTTAATGGGTTTGCATGATCGACACCCGTTTCAATCGATTCAGGGCTGCTGTCACAGTAGTCTATTAGTGGTTCACCTCGCTCTTGTTCCACTTTTTGTCGGAACAGTTGGACGTTTCGTCTCGCCGTGTTATTGTCTTCCAATGTCGACCAGTTCCGGCGATGATGACGATAATGTCGACTCAATATGGGCGTTTGTCCTTGTTGCTGCTGTTGTTGCTTGATTTTTTTTTGTTGTTGTTGTTGTTGCTCCATGGGTTCATCTATATCTACCAAGGAGTTTACGCAGCTGCTGTTTTCGTCGTGTTGGGTAGGGTGTCCATACGCCCATTTGAGCAGGACGTTGATGGTTTCAACGGCATTGCGTGTCTCGGGCTCACCGTTAATGGCACTCGCATGGTCACCCGGGGTTTTCATGCAGAATTCACGTCGTTCTTGAATGCGCGTTACAATGGATCGGATGGTGATGTTTTCCAAAGTCGGCTCAAGCAGTACTCCAACAGTAACCCGGGTACCAATAGCAATGGCTGTGCGATCAATGCTGAGGCGATAGCGGAGGCCATTCTGGGTGGGCTGGTACCAGTCTTCCACTGTACGTCCTGCGAACGACTGCGCAAGATGATCGTGCTGCTCATCAAGATCTAAACCAAGATGGAGTTGGCTGCCATCCAGCGGTCCGGCTTGTCCAATACCGTAGAAGCGATCAAGACTCGTTCTTCGATGATTATGCTGTCGATGTTCGTTATTACGGCCATTGGGTACTGAGGATTCATCGACGGCCATAGCTGTTGCTGAATGGTCTGCTGCAGCCGACTCTTCCACTACTGCATCATCACTCGGATGTCGAGGCTCTTCAGTGATCTCACCGCTGTTTGCAGCTTCGACGGCGATAGTAGGTGGAAGGCTTGGCGGTGCAGGTTCGATCGCTCTGACAAGTCGTACTTTGGCCGTGGCAACCATTTTTTGCTTCTTGTTATTGAACCGGTCGAGGAATGATGTTGTCAAAGGCGTATCCTCAGTAGATTTGCGTAATGTTGCTGTGAGCTTGTACACAATATCAAGACGGTCAGGTATGGAAAATGTGCTGGGAAGCGACCCAGGTACGGGAAACTCAAAGGGGAACCGCTGAATGCCTGCAGGCATGATGCCTTTTGAATTGGGTGGCAAAAGTGATAGCTCGGTGACATGAAGCTTGGTCTCGATGGGCTTGCCCAGTGCACGGCCATTCATAATCTCTGTTGCAAGAAAAAAATGAACATAAAGTACGCATTGAACAAAAGCATAGAGCTGCATGTTAGATATTGACGATCTCTCAGGCTGCCCGAGATAGTGATAGTGAAGGAAAGAAATGGGAAGAAGTTTACCTCGCCATGGGTAATATGTCTGTATGCCCTGAAACACAACCTCGATGGGGCCCTGAATAGTTGTGTCCTTGGCGAAGTTGACAATAACCTCGCCACGAATGATCCTGGTTCCAGTGCTCTTTCCGAGGTACAAAAGGGGCTCATCAAGAACGACGCTGAGTACGTTGTTTCGACCAAGGCCCAAAAAAACCCCTTTCTTCGTCATAAAAAGATAAAAGAACTAAAGATGTGGTTTTGGTGAAAATTTTCTGTTTTAGAAAAAAAGAAAAAGAAAGAGAGAGAGAAAGGAACTGATCCAAATTGTTTCCTCCTCCGATTTTGATGATCATCACTCCAGTCTGGTAGTCTGCCTCTCTTGCGCTATTCTTGTACTTCAATTGCACCTGTGACCAAGAGCAGAAGCAAAAGACCATTCCCATCTTTTCTTTTTCCCATTCGTCTGTTTGTTTGTTTCCCATGGTAGCAGACACAGTTGCTATGCAACAGATGTGTCTTTAGTCTAGTCAAATGCTGCGTTTCGTATATGCAAAAGCATCAGTCTTTTCCACATTAAAGCAACGATGAGTAACAGTGATAAGTAGCCAATCAAAATCAAACTCTGTGTAGAGCCGGTCCGCTCCGCTATTTTTTGCATTAAAGCAGCTTTTGATTCTCAGGATATACCCGCAAGTCCCAGCCAATGTATATTTAACTTGAGCTCAGCTTCATAGTGGTTCACAACTACGAATGGCAAAATATAAACTGAAGAAGTGTACCGTCAGGATCCAATAAGTAAGTTTACCAGCAGGGAAAATAAACAACAAGATTAGAGTTGCGTTGTGTGATATTACACTCCCAGTTATAAGAATATTATCAAGTCCTCAAAGGAAAAACTAGAAAAAAGCGGTTATGCTATATAGAGTGATTACACTTAATTTGTATCACTTTCGAACTGCAAAGAGGATTTCTCGGTTGACATAGAAACAAAGAATTTGTCGTTTTGTTCGTACCTCTTATTGAAAACAGATATGACGGGAAGGAGAGTTTGTTGGCATGGTTACTCTTCACCGTCATATTACTGGCACATTTACACTTTAAAGCAGCAGGTTTTAAATAGATGCGTTGTCCTAGAAACTTCAGAATGTGATCTTCCCTTTCGACTGCGCAACTGAGAAGTGATGTGATACTGAAATGGTATCATGATTACCTTAAATAGCCGTCGGCTGCACCGAAAAAGTTACACAATCAATGCTTATTATTCTCCGGTGAATCATATACTCGTTACGAGCGAGGACTAACATGTACAGTATTATCCACACATTTTTCTGGCAGGGACGATAGATGTGCTGAATATTAATGTGTAAAAGTGTAAACGCTATGGATTCAAGCCTGTCCTGACAAAGAGGTTTATCTCGCACAATTTACATCCAGTAGAATCATGTTGTTACAGGGAGAGATCGAACCAGCCAAAAGATAGAGAATAGGACGAGGAGGATGGGCGGGTAATATTGTGGCATTACAGGCCATCCTATGATATGCACAGGCGAATGTTAAATTCTGCTCAAAAATTTCTGCTCAGAAGGTAATTATGCACAAAGAAAGCGACAAGCTAAAACATTTCCGATATACCACAGTTTTTTTGTCTGCATGTTATGGTTGTAATCGTCAAGCTCTTTTTTTTTACAAGAATAAAAGAAATGATGGAAAGAATGAAGAATATACAGTTTTTTCTTGTCAGAAAAGAAGGATAAGAGAGGGAGGGAAGAGAGGAAAGAATATATAATGTATATAGTCACGGGATGATAGATAAAGGATGAAAAAGAGAGATAAAAGATGGACACGCAATATAGAGAAGGGGTGATGGAGTATATGATTTTTCTTTTAACCCGTGGGTTTTTGTTGGGTTGTATCGTACATTCTAATGATTTTACCCTGGTCTGTATCGCTTTGAGAGAATGCGTAACCTCGAGATTGCTTGAGACGCTGGATCTTGCGAACCTTGTTGACAGCTTGTCGGAATCGATCCATACGTGGTCGATAATCAGGCAAATTGAGTTTCTGAATTTCTTGAATGTAATGATAGCTTCGAGTTCGATACATGCGTTTATAGCTAAGTGGCAAAAGGCAAGAGAGAAATTTGTAAGGTGAACTTTGCTAGCCTTCATTTGATCATGATACTTACTATTTCCATAGGTAGTCGCGCAAAATGCATACGAAAGGGACTAGAATGACAAACAGCCAGTAATTGACATTGCCATATAGACGAGGCACGATACCCACGTACTCGAGGAAAATGCCCCATGGAAGCATGGGGCCCACATAAGCAACAAACGGTAAGAAGACAAACCAGATCACTAATGATCCCAGAATGGCAATCATAGCATACTTTGTCCACATGCTAATAGAAAAATAAAGTATTTGATCAATGACTGTCGTAGTCCATCCATTTCTTTCCTTTACAGTCAAGACAACTTACTCTGTAATAAGCGCTCCCTTGTACAAGATAGTCGCAAGTGTAGCCGAAAAAATGGTTGTACCGACCCACCAGTGACCTCCTGTCCATCCATTCTCAAAGTCGGCATCATTCATGAATGCTGCCATACCAATAAAGAATAATAACTAACATGAAGCATCCACTCTTTAATTAGCTAAGGCGTTTTTTTTTCAAAACAGTAAGCTATTTGTAGTAACTTACAGCAGAATGATATACGGCATTTAGAATCCAGCCCCAAAATCGCTTTTGGTTAAAGAATTCGTTGCTTTGGCCAAGCATATACATTTGAGGATATTTGTCGAGCAACCGTGCTGCTGCAAACTGATCAAAAATACCAATCACCATAGGCGGTAGAATAGTGAAAATAACGTTGAAGCAAGACATGGTCCAAGATTCGTAGAGTGTTTGCCCAGAAAATCCGTTGAATATGGTATACTTATCGGGGATTTACGCACAAGTTCAGTTGGGATATATCGTGAAAGCAGAACATGTCGAAAAAAAAAAGAATATCTTACCCAAAATTGTGTGAGATACAATGCGACATTTTTGTAAAAGTAGTAAAAGATCATCTTGCTCAGACGCTGGTAAGCCCAAGATCCGTGAACCAGCAGTAACTTGCGCAAAAAGCGAAATTGGGCGATACTGAAATCTGCACTTCGCGCTGCCTGTAAACCTTCGACGCCACTGATGCCCACACCAACGTGTGCTGCTTGAATCATGGAAACGTCGTTTGCGCCGTCGCCAATTGCAAGCAAGATCGATTTCGAAAACTTTTTTACCAACTTGACGACCAGAGCCTTTTGAAGTGGGGATACACGACAGCATACTACGGCCTTGCATTTGATTGCTAGTTCGTAAAATGTCTTTTCAAGGTCCTTTTCTAGTGCAAATGTCAGTGATTTTCCTTCAATGACAAGAGCAAGAGGCTGGAAATATGTAACCGTTCTTGATTAGCTGAATACTTTCAAATTAGACAGATGGTATCGCACAGATTAGTTACCTCAGTGCTTCCTGAAGATTCTTGCGTTTGGGCATCCGCAAGTTTCTTCTCCAAAAACTCTCGGGTAGCTTCATGGTTTTCAGCGTTACATATGATCAAATCCATCTCCTCTGTCAAAAGTTTACAGCTGTAGCCGATGTTGATGGCCGTCTCCTGTCGATCACCCGTAAGCACCCAAACTTTGATGTTGGCTTCATGCAGCGTGTGGATCGTGTCGGGTACGCCATCCTGCAGCTTGTCCTCAATAGCCGTAGCACCGAGCAAGAACATGTCCTTTTCGATCACCTCTGCTGCCTTGTCGAGTTCCTCTGCACGATTCGTCAACGTTGTTGCTGCTTTATCGTAAATCTGCACCCAGCGCGCATACTCTTCCTCTGGAATTTCCCTCATGGCGTAACAGAGTGTACGGAGACCCTCTGAAGCAAATTCCTCGAGATGATGCAGTGTGGCGTCGACAAAGGTGTTGTTCTTTCCCAGACGTTCTAAAATCACCGTATCTGCTCCCTTGCAATAGAGTTTAACTTTACCATTGGGTTCGCGGATAATTACTGACATGCGCTTTCGCGTCGAGTTGAATTCACACACGTTTAAAATCTGGTATTCGACGTCTTGCTCGTTGATTTTGCAGTTGATCGAATGTGGTCGTCGTGCATAAAAGTTGTATTTAAAAACATCGCGCGCGCCCGTCACGAGTGCTCCTTCATCTGGAGATGATGCTTGGTAGACAATCTCGCCTGTTTCCTCACTTGTTTCTGGTATCACTGTTTGACACGTCATTAACGCAGAAAGAAATTCGTGGATCACGTTCGCATGCATTGATGTCGTGAGATGGCTTTCGAGCTGTCGGAATGAGTATTGGCCAGCGCTGTCATTGTCGGACTTTGGCTGTCGATCAGGATCGGCTTTGGTCGCGTAGGACAATCCAGCAATGGAGCATTCACGAAACTCCATTTGGTTACATGTCAACGTTCCTGTCTTGTCGGAAAACACATATTCTACCTGTCCCAGTTCCTCAATCAAGCCACTGCTCCTTGCAACTGCTGGCATGTCGGTTTTGTCATAGTAGATATCAAGGTCATTTCCGATGAGTGTTGCCTGGACAACCTTGACGATTTCCATGGTAACCATTAAACTGACGTAATCCATCACCCCCTTAATTAGCTTTGTCATATCACCTCTTGTATGTTTGCAATTTTCTACTAACCTAATTGGAATAAAACTGTTGAACAAGATCATGAACGTCAAGATATTAAAGCCAAATTCACGGCCACGTTCTGAAGCGGAGAGCGCAAGATATCCAAGTTGATCGAAATCTCGCATCTAGGCTCATAATACGATCGATTAGCCAACCTCCCTTCTACATACACACTTCTCCTCCTCCACCAACCCCTTTTTTTTTGCCAAATTCCAATATTTACCGATAAAGCAAGGTATCCGACCGAACACATGATACTCATAATAACAAGCATCGTAAACAAATACCAAATATTGCGGTTCGTGATGTGTGTTACATTAGAGGCTTTCGTAGGCTTTTTACTATCCGGGTTCATTATTTTGAAAGTGATTAGAAGCAATAAATCTACCAGGAGCATGTCCCCGAATGCTGTTTATTTATATTTTACCTGGAGTTGAGCATGAGCTTGGTTTCATGACCCGTAAACACAACAATGGCATAGACCCAGCTCGTATTCCGTAATTGAGCACCGCGTAAAAGCACCTTGTTCGGATCCAACGGATAATCCTGACTCCTTCCGTCGGTTTGCAATGTAAGTGTACCGTCATAATTGTATAATCTGTTGTTTGGCTGTTCGGATGTGATGTAGCCCTGGATCCGAGCTACGTCGGCTGGTGAAATAAATTTGGCAGTTTCTGGTAAGGCTTGCTTAATTTTCAAGTTCACTTCACTAAAGTATGTTATCAGCAAAGGTTAGAACTGCTAATTTCCACGCTGTCCTCGAGCTCTGCTACCCTCGACATACATCTTTCATATCCCAAAGCCACGAGCAGTATAAAAAATATAATTATTTACCCATCCAAATTACTTGTCTCGATATAGCAGAGACCTTCTGGCTCCGAACTGCTCAGAATAACCAAGTCGGCCGGAAAGAACTCTGAACTTTCGATCCGACAGATGTCTCCCACTTTGACGTCTCGCCAGCGCTTGTCTACAAATTGTGATCCTTCCAGGATTTTACATTTACGAGCGTTCAGTTCGCGATCTGATTTATGAACACCCTGTGAGAAAATCATAACGAGGTAGAGTTAACTGTTTTTAGTATCACCAATTATTTTTTCGAATCGGCTTGTGATTTTTCTTATTGCGGTCTGGCTTATTTACATAATCTTCGATGATCTCCTTGACCGCAGTGATGAGCAAAACGATGATGAGTGGTACGAGCGTGGTATATCGAGAGGTGGGTGATACGTCGGGGATTTGCTGTTACATTCGTGTATATTAGTCAAGTTGCACCTTGTTTCTTTGCGATAACGCTCCAACGTACCTGAATACATGAAATGAATAAGAAAAAGATGTTGGCGGCTTTACTGAATTCGACGTAGAGGAAGATGAATAGAAAGGTGACTAGGTTGTATTTGGCCGTGGATACACGATTGCCGATAAACTTTTGCTCTCCGTTTCGTGCGGGTTCGTTTAAATATATTGTTCGAGGGGATTGATCCGCTGTGTTTCGCCTTCGCCAGAACATCAGGTCTGGCATCCGCGGTCGTCGTCGTTGCCGGCTACGTTTGGATACTTGTCGTTTGATAGTGCCCCGATGTGTAGGTAGGTGACTCCAATCACCACCACCGGCACCACCGGCCTCCTTGTCAGAGTATGGTTTGGCGAGCATCTCGGTCGACTCGTTCGTATCGTACATTTGTGGTGGATGTGGGGCTTCATAGGATGAAAAAGAGTATTGGGGCATAAGAGAAGGACGTCTTATCGAAGGTGGATGTGCTAAAAGCTGTAGTTCGTCTTCTTCAAACCCGTCGCCTATTTGTGTGTTATATATCCATCAGAAAAAAAGATATTCGGATCAACATGAAATTCGTGCATATATAAAGGAGAAAGAGACGAAGAAGAAAAGAAGAAGAGCGCAAAAGGAAAAAAGGGTGATATATATAATATAATCAAAAAAGGGTCGCTTTTGTATATTATATATAGGCGTGTGTGTGTGGTCTTGAAGGTTTACCATGCCTGGGATTCATTGTGTTCAAATCAAGACTACCGTCGTCGGTTCTTTGTCGGTTCCAATTTGACATGAGTTGGTGCAATGGACAAAAGGTGACCCAAAGTTAGTGTGGCTCCAGGGAGCCCCTCGTATATGAGTTACAAGTGAAGAGTTGGTTGAGAAAAAAGGTTTAAAAATAAAGAGGGACGGGTTTGACTGTCGCGTTGAAAGAGGGAAAGGAAAGAGAGAGAGAAAAAAGTACGGGAGTAAAAAGAAAGGGGAAAATGGGGTCGGGGCTGTATGTGTGCAAGGCCTTCAACGAGGCACTAATAAATGCCAGGAGGCTGGAGAGAGTTGTACAGGAACAGCTTCTTTTTCTAATATAATAGCGCCGGTTGCTGTGTGGCTCTCTCGACTTCTTCCCTCCTCGCCTCCGGATCGAAAAGCATAACGCAGTCGGCCCATGCGCTATTGGCAAGAGGCATAGAAAGCGTGATGTTATGCCAAGCATAGCACAAGAATAACAAATCAACAGTTTGGGTCTTTCTGATCATGTCGGATGGCTATAAATAGACGGTGGACGAACCTTTTGTGTCACCTCCGTGAAATTTAGTGTGATTGGGCCATGAAGTTCCAGACGCGTAACTTACTAGAAATAAGCCTATCCCAACAAATAAGACATTTATCCCTTTTGATTAGCCAGTTTTTCTGTGAATGAAGTACTGTTATTACAAGACATTGGTCGAACGTAGCGTAAGACAAATGTTATAACGGAAGAGTTGCACAAACGTTATAATCTCATCATACAGATTAAACGCTGTGTTGTGACGTCCATCATTGGACCGTGGGGGGAAGGTAGAATGTGTGAGTGCGCTCAGGCCAGCGTTCCTTGGGTTTGATGTCGCACCATCCTCATCGCCACCCACTAAAACGAGCAACTCCATTCAGCCACTCTGTTGTTGTTGTTGTTGTTGTTATTTGCTGCAGGGACGCCAAACGTCTATTTTCGTACGGGTTTCCTATTACAGCTTAAAGAAGTCGAGCTTGAGTTACCTTCTTATCATGAAAGGCGGTGTAGGCTGAGTATGGCACTTATTCGAATACTCGACGATGGTTGCCACAGCGTAAACAGCTCAGGGTCTCTTAGCAATTGTATGACTCCGTGTTCCATCATGGAACTAATAAGCACAGGCGGAGACAAGATGCAACCTGAACGTAGTCAACTTAAATCTTTCAATTAAGACCCCCCCCCCGCCACCGGCTTCCGAATATCAAAACCAACAATTTTATCGATCTGAGCTTTCCGAAATCTGTGAAGTGCAAAACATCATAGCTGACAAAGATGCTGTATCGCGCAGTCAAATTTACGACGGTGTTCAGTTTCTATTAAAACCTCAAAAGTGACGTATAAAACATATGTCAATAAAATAAGGATTTGCAAGACGATTCTATTTAGACGAAACTTGCGAAGTAGAGTGATTATTACACCAATAACCAACGTCGAGGCGGTAAGCACCTGGTACGACAGATATCGGCGGCCATTGACAGCTTCCTCGATAGCACTGCTTATAATTGGACCAAAAAAAACAGGACTGATAATCAGCCATACTAATGCATTACCAGATGCCAGGTTCTCAAAACCAACAATGGTTGCCACTGTAGGTGCAACCAATAGGCATGATGTTCAATGGTTAGTGTGAAGCCCAATAGCGTAAAAGCTGTTGGAAAAGCAAAGTGACATATCAAACACGTAGAAAGAGCCGCTATTGGGGCCCACAATTATAGCGTATCTCGCCAATGAGCTGTAATTGAATGCAAACCCCCATAGGAAGATACTGGCTAAAGCACTGATTACGTCTGTCAGCACAAGTATGTTAAAATTTCCAATTTTGTCTGCTAAAAACCTTAAGTAACGTGTGCAATACAACAGTGATAACAAAGAAAGATAATGTATGAGTCGTTATGTACACTTGCTCTAATTTATAGATTAAATAAGCAGCACTTCGAGAAGTATACACATACCTTTGAGAAAATACGACTGACTACGTTGAATGCGGCCGATATGGTTATTAAACTTGATGATTGAGATGATGTCAAACCAATATAGGTAGCATATGCTGGAATAGAAAGCTTAATGTAAGTAATAGCGATAAGATACGCCTTCTAACAACCTCTTAATATAAAAATGTTGTAAATATGTGGTATAATATGGTAAGGTAGTATTGGTTGGAGAGTGCGTAGACAAAACAATTTGTCACCCAGATGACGAAGTTTGAATTTTAAAGGTTTTCAGTTGATTATTGCTGTGCTAGGAGTATGCTGCTGCTACTGTTGTTTTCCGCTAGTACTATCCTTATTTTCGCGGAGCAAAATACAAACAAAAATGTCAAGAACAACAAATACAATGGCTATAATGCGAAAGGCCCTATTGAAGCAATAACAAGTCATTCTGTCTGTGCGCAATGTATTCGCTTTAAAGTCCTCCCGTATTTACCGGCATGATGAAAAATCAGATATAATAGAAAATGTTACCACGATATTCCAAGGGAACTGTTATTTGACACAAAATCTAATATAAGCGGGAAGATGACACCACTGGCACCTATCTCTGTAAAAATAAATCCCATAGCAAGCCCTCTTCGCTTCGTGAACCATTGCGGTATCACTCGATAAGGTATATACAATGTATGGTCAAGATATCAAACAAAAAAAGGGGTAGACGATCCTTACAAAAGGATCAGTTTATAAAAATTCTTACCGACCAGTAAATAGAAGAGGCAATAACAGAGCATACGCCAACAGACATGTATAATTGCCAGATCTGTGGGAATGGTAAGTCTGCTGTCAGCTGCTTATATCTCTCTTTTCTAGTTAGTAGTTTATCTTAACATGATTTCCTTGTCGCTTTGTTCTTTGCCTGATTCGAAAAACCATTTCAATGCAGAAAATTGCAGCTGCTATCAAAAGTATGATTCTTAAACCGAGCGTTACTTCCAAGAGACGACAAAAAGGCGATGAAGCGTGAAAAGAAACGCAGAAATAGATCCTAGAAATGTTAATTTCGTCGTAAACTCTTTGGTCTGTTCGAGTTTGTGCCTTTCAATCATAGTACATTGATAATGACGCCTGTATCATAAATGTGGCTAGTCAGTAGCTATTATATGTGGTACGACGACAATACAGCTCACAGATGCGATCTCTTACTTACCACTGCAATGTTTTTGACAGTGCAAAAAGATAGAAATGGGACGAATGAATTAGCAGTGCTAGGGATAATAATAGTAAGAAGATCTAGCTTGTATGCTTTCAATGCATACTGTAGATATCTGCTGAATGGAATCACTGCAGCTTGCAGAACGCAAATAAACGCTCCCAAGACAACTAGCCATCCTCCAAAAGGAACCACCTTTTTCGCCTTCTCGTAGTCCTTCTTCCACATGGTCTTGCCCTTGATGAATATGTGATTCCGCCAGTGCACTGGTATTATCATTGTTGTCTAGATTCTCCTTTTTAGTTTGGTTTTTTGATGTTAAAATCATCACTAATCTGAAATATGAAAATAATGTCATTTATAAGTTCGACACATCAGTAACCATGATCATGACAGATTTATATATTACAGGTCTCTAGATACACCAAGTTGGTAATATTGTACCTTTTTTGTTCTGTTGCGTCATCGCTGATGATGAGGCGACAGTACTCGGTTTTTTATCTTTGTTACTATTATTGACAATATCTACATATAATAAGCTTTGAGAATTTGTCATCCTCTTTTAGATTGTTTTTCAAATTGTTTGCTGACAGGAAGAAAGGAGTTTGGTTGTTAAATGGGAAAAAATAAAGCAGCTTAGAAGTTTGTATATTTCCATGTAATTATTTGTGATTCTAATGGCTGAACCGCTTTCTGAAGCGTGCTACTCGTTCCTTGCGCAAAAGCAATCATAGCAAGAAGGCGAACAACTAATGGCTGCATATATGTGCATATATGTCCCCCAATAGAAATGGCTCCCCTGTTTGGAAACAGCGTAGTCGAGAAAGATTTTATGTTCAGTTTTACTATACATCCAGCAACTAAAGCGATGTATGCCGATGTTTAATGTTTTTACAGCTGCTTCTCGGCGTAACTTTGTTTATTTTAACTTTAGCAACCGTCACTCTTGTGCATGATGCGCATGAATATTATTTATCGCAGTATTCCAATTGCCAAATTAAGTGCATAAAAGCTTGGAGCTCGCCTTTCAATTCATTAAATTAAGGGTCGACTTGAAGGCTCGAATCTTTTATGCAAACTGCGGACGAAAGACCTCACGACTCAATTCACTCCTCACACAACAACTTGTCCCGACCTTTTGTAACCATATCCAAAATGAATTCAGGTATGTACAGGATTCTGAATCCAATCCCGGACACGGGCTCTAAAATTTTCGCGAACGGGATTTTTTTTTCGCTCATGGGATTTTTTTTTTTGGTTTACAGGATTTGCCATTTCGTTCGCCAACAGCATTTTATTTCGCTAATGGCCCCTTTTTCCGCCTAACGGCATTTTCACTTGGTCAATGGCTCTCTTTTTCACTAACGGCGTTACTAATTTGCTTGCAGCAATTTATTTCGTCAACGGCATCGTCACTTGGGCAACGGCCCCTCGTTTGGCTTACAGCATTATTGTTTCGCCCATGTTACTGTCGCTTGGCTAGCAGCATTTTCAACCATTAGTCTTTGCTTTTTGGTGCCTACGCCTTTCACTTATTCAAACAAAGGTGCTTTGTTACAGCGTATAATTATAGTTTCATATTTATAGCTTTTGCCACGTCCAGTGGAATCGGTGATGCCGAATTATCCATTCTATACTTTTTATATTATGTCGAAGTGAGAAAAAAAAAGAGCAAAGCTGAGTTTCCTTGCGTGTGCCTGAAAAAGAGGCAACCGAGTGTATGATTGATTCTTTCGACGAGATCGTACTGTCGCTTTGACCTGCTGTACTGTTTTGGGATGCTACACGTTCGATGCTATCTAATTGAGCAGTATTCCTGCTAGAGTGATTGATGCGTATTCAATGCCATCCTCTTATTGTCTATATCATGTCCTGAATCTGTATTTTGTGTGCGTGCTCTTCTTAAAAAGATTTCTTGCTTATAGTCACATCTCTTGGATGTAGAAAATACTGCAGACGTTGCTGTCTTTTATAAATAGCTGAACAATTTTTAATTTGCCGTCTCAGTGTAAATCGTTATATTGTTACCAGAAATAATATCAGCTAAAGAAGTGTATGATGTGCTATAAACTGTTTAACAGATAAAAGAAGTGTCAGCGCTCAAAGACTTTTTTTCTCAAATGAAACTAAAAAGAGGAGTACTATTGTATCATAACAAGCCAGTTAAGAAAGGTTATGAGGAATCGCTAATTTGGATTCTTATTGGAACATTTTACTTCAATACAGTGCAAAATTCTGTACTTTTGCTACAGTGCTGCATATCTTCCGGTGGATTATCTTGGTCGGGTGTGAGGTTGTTCGTTGCAGATGAATTTTCCTTTTCCATTCTTGTCGACTCGATTGGATCGTTGAAATCCGCTCTGGTTTCACCATTGTGTTTTTCTTCTTTTCTGTCTTCTTGCTTCGTTCCTTCAATGGGCTTTACAATGGGCACGATATGCTGACCACCATTTTTTCGTCTCTGGTCCTTCGATGCGTCACCACTCCTAGATCGCTTTGAAAATTTTGGCTTGGCGTCGCTTTCGTCGTGATAGTCAACATCACAGGCCACATCATCATCATCAATCCAGTCAAGTTTGTACCGTTTCTCAAAAGCCGTTCGGTCAAAGACGCCCTGCCAAGATTCGATATATTGGAGAGCTTGTGCAAGATGTTCAAGCAAGACCATTCTAGGATGGTTACCGTCTTCATCAACAGCAGCAGCGCCGAATGTAGAATATTTCCCCTGGACCGTCTTTGCTACTAGGCTAGCCGTGTAAAACAATTGGGGAAGACATCTGGACCAAGGTGCGACGCTTTCGCATATCAGAGTATCTCCTTTTTCGAATCTGCGCTGTTCTGTCGCAGGAGACAAGTGCTCTAACAAAGGCGCCTTGAACTTCTCACCTTGGTAGTCAATGGTAAATAACTATTCTTGTACCGTGTATATATAATCGATCAGGTCACTGACGCGATACCATTTCAGCTCCGAACTGACAATGGTATCTTCTATTGACCAGCTCGTATACATAAGTTGCAGGTGGTTAGCAACGAAAGTTGATTAATGGCGGCTTAAAATCGCACTGAATATGTACGTATGAGGAGGAGGCTAAAGGTACTGTAGTTGTAGTTGAGTAAGTTAAGTAAAGAAAGAAGTGGGAGTAGCCTATAATGTTGATAGGTAATCAGATGTCAAGGGAACATTTATATAAATTTACATACAGTAGTACAGCTTTGGGCATACAGGCAGCAGTATACACATTGTTCTTCATTGTGTTGATTTCCCACTAATAAGTGAGCTATGTTGCGATCCCATTGTGTTTCATCCTTAAAAATCGACAAACGCAATCTTTGTCCATATCGTATTTTCGATCTGCAGCTTTTGATAACGTATATATGTTGCATGATTTTGGATTTAAAAATTTCGAAAGATACACACTTTGCTTCAATATAGCGAACGTTCTCATTATTGACTGTACTACTGTAACCCACATACATATATAATACAACAATTACGTACATATACACATGAATGGAGCACCATCACATACCCAAGTATGCTAGCAATTCTGTATCAACACTAACTAACTTTGGCTGTCCCGGTATCTGTTGATTCAATGCTACATAGGGTAGTAAAAAGTGATCGGCGTGTTACAACCAACAGTTTACAAAGCCCGTGCCAGAAGTTGGATAGAAGCTTTATGTTGCTGCAGATCACAGGTATGCATGAACTGGGCGATACAGGCTTACTGACGTTAACAAAACCTATCGGATAACTACGCCATAGCGCTTTTCGAGAGCCCTTATCGTTTTACTTGCTCTACGGACAAGTATATTTACTTTTGCAAAAAAATAGCTCGGGCGTCATTGTTCGAGATGAACAAGGTCTTTGGAACGGGAATAATAAGAGTTTAATAAAAAGCTTAACGTACTTAAAGTATGTACAATACTGAAAGAAATGACAACGAAGAACAGAATACTTGCGCCCAGGCAATTGTACTTAGGTGGTTTGTTTGTTAGATATGCTATGGAATCACTTTTCTGATAATAGAGGAGTAATGTATATACATGTATATGCTAGGAGCATATTATATTTGCAATTTTATTTTATTGAGTATTATATGTAAGGTGCCCAGCCTATTTATGTATATAACATATACAGACGGTAAACAATGTTAGTCATCATAAGGTCAATAGATCAGAAACAGATGGGAGACGTGTATCTATACTTTACCGACAAACATTTGACTCAGGTTCTCGTTTGAGGAGGCTGAGGCGATGAGTCTCTTGACTTCATTGTTGACGGAGCGGCCGTTGTATATTTTGTTGTCGATTTTCTCCATGTGTTCGCGGGTGACCTCCTAATTATTTTGTAGAAGGGAATTTTTGGTTAAGGCTCGATCGTGAGTAATCAATAGCACAGTCATCATCATCTTTGACACACACCATGTACACTCTTGCTTCTCTCCTCCATTAAAGCAGTAACCGGGCGAGGCCGAGGAGGAGACGGCTATAGAAATGAAAGAAAGCAAGAGATTTGATCGTGAGTCGTCGTGATACTTCTTGACAGACATTCACACTACCACACGCACGGCCATGCGATGGATCCCGTTTCCCAAGAGTTATACGTACAGTTGGTGACGAGGAGGAGGAGGAGAAGGAGAAGGAGAAAGAAGCGGAAGAGAAGAGGCCAAAGAACTATGGATGGGTGGGTACGCGTACCTTTTTATATAAGACTCGTTGTGAATAATTGGAACAATCAATTAGATTCTTTGGCAATTGCGTGATTTGTCTGTTGTCCAATAGCCAAACGAGCGCATAGGCGATGAGGTCAACATTAAGAAAGAGCACAATGCATGTTTCAGTCAACAGTGCGGCAGAGAAACGATCGTTTTTCATTGACCATTCTACATTATTAGCTATAGTGTCGTCGTTTATAATTCGAGGATTGTATCAATATTGGCATCATTCTATAGCCACGGCTCTGCTCTACATGAATATTTCTTTGCTGAATGACGAACATAGTCAGTTTATTTGAAAAGGAAGGAAGAAGAGGGCACTGTCGCAACTGAGTTTCAGACTCGATTGTTGGAGAAACAAGTTTTAGACACGGTGTAGGGGAACCTGGCATCGTCTTTTTAAGACTAGGCAATTTCCAAAGCAATATTCCGCCGCAATTATCGTCGTAACTGTACATGATATTAGTATCATGTTAAAGCTAAAGACCTGCCCTTTCTTTTGATAACCTATTGCTAATGTGTCATGAATGGATAAAGAATGAACGGGAAGGAGTAAAGAGTTTGTACAGGACTCGTGGGAAGGCAAGTTCCCGATGCATGAATTTCCTGCAATTGCTTCCGCTGCACACAAGTACGGGAAAACATTGACGCGTTTGTTGTATAGAAAATGATCGTGCTATTTTGTGCGCTGTAGCATTCAAGTTAAAATTAATGAGAGTGTTATCCTCCCAGTAAGGAGGATAAAGGTACCCGACGAAGGGTTATGGTGTCGCATCAAAAGTTGAGAGGCTAAATCAATATGAAGTCACTGCGCTCAATTTAATAGTGACACTGCTCAAAAGAAAGAGTATGTAGCAATTTGAGGTATACTACGCTAATATTTCCCTGGGACAAAAAAGACTTTATATAAGCTTAGTTGTATGTCATGGTTGTTGAGGGACCAACCCTAAGCTTTTGCCTCTCAATGTGACACTTGATTATATAGACGTGGAATATCATGCGTAAAAAAGGTACATCTCGGATTTTGCGTATGACTATTGCAATTGCGCTACCGTCGACAGTGACGATAATGAAGTCCACCAGTTATCGCTGAAAGATCAATTCTCTGACGCGTTCGTTCTGTGTGATTAGTTTTAAAGTTATAAAAGCTAGTTGATGTGGACGTTTTTCCTAAGTACAGCAAGTTGGCATTTTTAATTTTCAAACCCATACTATGTATTTCGTCTTATCCATGTTATTCCATCTATTTGCATCATGGCTCTTCCGCACAAAAATCACACCCGGCAGGGTACAAGCCCTGCCTCACCCCAATCGCCCCCAAAACCGCAAAAACTCGACGTTCCTCGACTTTCATTCGCCAAAGTCGTTCAGAAACATCGACAGTCGCTCATGCGACAAGAATCAGAGACTAGAGAATTGCTTGACGATAAAAACAACACCCGCACTACTCGGGTTATCCATTCCAACATCTGGCGTGTTGGTGGATCACCCGCCTCAGCAGACAGTGTCTACTTCGACGTTAGTAGCCGTACCGAACCAATCCCGCGTATTCTTGCCACCATCAACCAGCAGTTCCCCGAGAATTGTGGTGCGCAATCAATCCAAGAAGGCCCTCGCGTTATCATCGAGCTCTACTCTGAGGACCCGGAAGTGATTCAAGCTGCCTTAACCCAAGGACTTCACTTTAAAGACGGCGTTATCATTCTCGCCTGCAACACTCTATCAGGAGATGCCCAGATCAAGAAAGTGCGCCTATCCCATCTCCCCTACAGGAACCACACTGCATTAGTCGCGGGCATTATCAACAGCCTCAGCGTATACGGCAAGGTATTAGACTGCGGCATCTATTGAGACGCCGTGTCCGGCATGTACTTAGGCAATGGCTTCGCGGTGCTGGACCGCCAACCTATACGAGATGAGCAACCTTACTATGACCTCGCACACCGTGTTCAATGGGAAACAACTGAAGACTGCTTCTACGCCACCTGGGCCTCCATGGCTCTACATTGCTCGCGTTGCCACAAACCCGACCACCATGTTCGTCTGCCCGGAACGCCCTCAGGCACATCGTGCCTGCTGGACCTGCGGACAAGTCGGGCACATTTCGGCCGGCTGCCCGGACAACCCCAACAGCTACAAAGGGAAAACTAACAAGCGTCGCCGCAACGCCGACCGTCAGACCAAGAGTACCATCTCTATCACCGCCCAAATGATATTCCGCTTCCGGTGCTGTCCACGCTCGATAACATTCTGCTACAATTGACCACTGAGCACTCCTCCACATCATCTTTCGCCGAGTCCCTCAGCGTTTCCACCGTTTCATCCAGAACGTCAGCACCATCATCTACAACCGACTAGCGCTTTTTTACCCGCTGCTCTTCGTTCCTTCCGGTGTTAGTCCGGTTTCCGTTATTCATCAAGAAAAATTACGTCAGAGAAGTTTTTCAATCACAGAGTAA